TGCTCCCAGCCCCGGCAGCTCCAGTACCCCCAGTACGAGCACCTCCAGGACGAGCAGCTCCAGAACCTCCAACTCCAGCGGGACCACGAGGAAGGCGAAAGCGCTGGACGTACCAGTCACGAAGCTGCTGCTGTGTGAGAGGCTCCCGGAGAGACGGCTCAGCACCCCGAACCGGAGCACCCCCAGACGCAGCAACCCCAGGCTCCGTAGGCTCAGTCGCAGCACCCCCAGGCTCAGGACCCCCAGACTCAGCACCCGAAGGCTCAGCGCACCCAGGCCCGGCAGCTCCAACCCCGCTAGCACCGCCAGCTCCAGCAGCTCCAGCCTCAGTGCTCCCAGAACAACCAGCCCCGGCAGCTCCAGTACCTCCAGGACGAGCACCTCCAGGACGAGCAGCTCCAGAACCTCCAACTCCAGCAGGGCCACGAGGACGGCGAAAGCGCCGGACGTACCAGTCACGAAGCTGCTGCTGTGTGAGAGACGGCTCAGCACCCCGAACCGGAGCACCCCCAGACGCAGCAACCCCAGGCTCCGCAGGCTCAGTCGCAGCACCCCCAGGCTCAGTACCCTCAGGCGCAGCACCCCCAGGCTCAGCACCCCCAGACTCGGCACCCCCAGGCTCAGTACACCCAGGCTCCGTACACGCACGCTCAGCACCCCCAGTCGCAGCACCCCCAGGCTCAGCACCCCCAGGCTCCGTACTCTCAGGCACCGTACCCTCAGCTCCAGCACCCTCAGTCCCAGCACCCGCAGCCCCAGCACCCCCAGGCCCAGCACCCCCAGGCTCAGCACCCCCAGGCTCAGCACTCCCAGCAGCACCACCCGCAGCAGCACCTGAGTCACCTGTGACCTCGACAGGCTCAGCGACGGGAGGAGGGTCTACCTGAGAGACACCTGAAGGAGCAGGACCCTGAGGGGGAAGGGGGTCTACCGGAGGGGGACCAGGAGCGAGGAAAAGCGGCGGGAGAGGGAGGGGGGCAGTGCGGTAGGGGAAGAGACGGTAAAAAGGGACCGACTCGTCAAAGGTGACGTCCTGAGAGGCGAAGACCCGGCGCGAGGTGGGGTGGTAAAACTGCCAGCCAGGCGCGTCAGGAACAAAGCCAAGGAAGACACAGGGGACAGCGCGGGCGGAGAGCTTGTCCGCGGTGGTATCGCGGACAAAGGCACGAGAACCCCAGACCCGGAAACGCGACGCATCGCCAACCTCCCCCGTCCACAGCAGTGTGGGCGAGGTCTCCGGCAAGGAGACACGGGGCCAGAGGTTGAGCTGATGCGCGGCGTACCGGACCGCAAACGGCCACAGAAAATGGGGGGCAGCCGCATGGACCATGGAGGTACGAGCGACCTCCATGACCAAGCCAATGCGGCGCTCAGCAATCCCATTCTGCTGCGGAGAGGCCGGAAGCGTGAACGACTGGGTGATGCCGTGCTCCGCACAGTAGGCTGCCAAGAGGTCGGAGGAAAACTCACCACCTCTGTCAGAGTGCAGACGCAGGACGGGAAACTCTGTCCCGAACCGCCGGCGGAGCTGGAGACGAGCAGCGCGGATCCAGGGGATCAAAACAGTAGGGACCTCACCCTTGGTGCGCAAGGGGAAGACCGTGGTGTAACGCGTGTAGTCGTCGACGACCAGCAGGAAGTACCGCTCGTGGTCCTGTCCACGGACGCGGGCTGGGCCCCACACGTCCAGGTGGAGAGTCTGCAAGGGAGCCTCTGTGGGAGGGAACGAGGAGGAGTGAGGAGCGGCGCGCTGCCGCCCCTCGACACAGGGAAGACAGGGAGGAGCAGGCGAGGGTGGGAGGGGAGGGAGAACTCTGGGAAGACCAGAGACAAGGACACGACGGTGCATGCTGCGAAGGCGCTGCACCGAGGGGTGACCAAGGCGGTGGTGCCAAAGGAGGGTCTCGTGCGACAAGGCGCGACACAAGCAGGGGGCCGACAGCTGACCTGACGCAGACGCAGACGCAGCTACCTGAGGGGACTCAGTGGTCAGGGTGTACAGGCTCGAGCCAGGCTCACGGGTGAAAGTGGCCAGGTGTCGGCCCGTCCGAGCACACGTACAGTGAGTCACCCGCTGACGCGCAGGAGTGAACTGGTCAACCCCCCCATCCTGGAGGTCAGCTCCACTCACCAGGTTCGTAGAGAACGAGGGGAGGTAGAGACCTGACAGCAAGCCAGACGGGGCGGCCGGACACGGCAGAACCGTGGAGTAGTGGGCAAGGACTGGACCCCCAGAGGGGTCGGCCAGGGAGACTGCAACCGGCCGACGAAGCGGCGTAAGTGTGGTGCAGTCGCGAAAGAAGGAGCGGGAAGCTCCTGAGTCAAGGGTGAAGGTGTGCAGGGTCGCAGCAGGCGAAGAACCTGAGAGGGCAGACTCACCAGGACCTGGAGCAGCAGCCTCACCAGCACCTAGAGCTGGAGACGCAGTAGCACCTAGAGCAGCAGCCTCACCAGCACCTAGAGCAGGAGACGCAGTAGCACCTAGAGCAGCAGCCTCACCAGTACCTAGAGCAGCAGGCGCGATACCTGGGTCAGGCGGCGCACACAGGTAACAGGCACGGTCAGCACTAGTAGGCAATGCATACATGGCAGTGAGAATAGCATCATAGTCAAGAGCAAATATATCTACTCTCTGCCTAAGTAGCTCCACCCAGTCGGGGAGCTCAGCCCCGTCGCCAAACTCGGTGCGCCAGGCGTCGCTCAGACGGGCGAAGCAGCGGGACTGCGTGTGACTAGGTGTCCCGCAAGGCTGACCAGTCCGAGCACCAGTGCGAATGACGTAAGAGCAGCGAACAGAACTGAGAGACCCTCTACTCTGAGCGTACCACTCACGAAGCTGCTGGGGCGTGCGAGACTCGCGTGGACGACAGTGTAGCTGCATCTGGCCACCGCCAGTAGCAGCAGCAGCAGTAGTGGCAGCAGTAGCAGCGCGGCCACCCCTACAACCCCAACTAGCGGACCACTCACGCAGCTGCTGGGGCGTGAGGGACTCACGCGGACGTCGCTGGGGCTGCATCTGGCGTCGGCCAGTAGCAGCAGGTCAGGCAGGCAGGCAGGCCGGCGGCGCGGCAGCGCGCTAGCAAGGCAGGGGCTCACCAGTAGCAGGAAGAGCAGGCTCTCACCGGGCGAGCAGGGCCGGTGCTCGGCGGACGGCGGCAGGGTCAGCGTACGACGGCGGCGACAGCAGGGCCGTGGCAGCGGCTACAGTGAAGGGCCGGATCGAGTCAGCGGCAGGGCAGGGCCGGGTCGTGGCAGCGGCAGGGCAGGGCCGGGTCGTGGCAGCGGCAGGGTGGGGCCGTGGCGGCGGTAGGGTGGCGCGAGCCGCTGCCGGGGGCCGTGCACTGGCGGGTAGGGCGCGGCGCGGGCCGCGCGGACGGCGCGCAGCGCGCTGCGGGCCGCGGACGCGCCGCGCGGACTTGGGGCGAGCTGCGCGGGGCAGCGGCGGGCCGCGCGCGCGTCGCGCGGGCTCGGGACGGGCTGCGCGGGGCAGCTGCGGGCCGCGCGCGCGTCGAGCGGGCTCGGGACGGGCTGCGCGGCAGGCAGCGCGACGGCGGGCAGCGCGGCGGGCAGTGCGACGGGCGGGCAGCGCGGCGGGCAGCGCGGCGGGCGGGCAGCGCGGCGTGCAGCGCGACGGGCGGGCAGCGCGGCGAGCGGGCAGCGCAGCGGGCGGGCAGCGCGGCGTGCAGCGCGACGGGCGGGCAGCGCGGCGAGCGGGCAGCGCAGCGGGCTGCGCGACTGGCGGGCGACGCGGCAGGCAGCGCGACGGTGGGCAGCGCGGCGGGCAGCGCGGCGGGCAGCGCGACGGGCGGGCAGCGCGGGCGCACGAGGGCGCTAACGAGGGGCGCACGAGGGCGCTAACTGGGGCGCGTGAAGGCGCTAACGAGGGGCGCGCGAGGGCGCAGCGAGGGCGCGCGAGGGCGCTAACGAGGGCGCGCGAGGGCGCTAACGAGGGCGCACGAGGGCGCAGCTAGGTCCTAGGGACCTCCTGCTCTGAATACCATGTTAACAGAACTAGGCAAGAATGGTGCATTGATCAAAACAGTTGGGTACAAGTAGCAAACCCTAGTTGGGGTTGTACCCCATATTGGCTACCCCACTACAGCCTACCAACATGTAACACATTACAATTTAACACATTCCTGACCGACTTTTGAGTCGACTCAATAGTGCCACAATGGCGGCAGGTCCCTTCCCTGATTGCATTCCTGACCTTGTTACGCATCCGGTCGGAAGCCTCTTCAATGGTGACCTGATACTGTCTGATACATACTGCACTGCTCCAACTAAAGCCTGCTTACCAACCTCCCGTTTTCTGATACAATGCTCTAGGATTTGCACAGGGGTTGTGGAAACACGGTTGCAAGAAGGCTCGTGATTCGCACGAGCTAGTGATGAATCACCAACACCTTTAGTCCAAATTGATCTCAGATGTTAGCAGCAACTAGTGAAGGTTAGGAATGCATCAAGAGATGCACATACGGTAACTCAGCAGGTTTTGTGATGGCATCGCTTACAAGGTTTCCTCCTGTGCATCCTCCCTAATCCCTATCACAGTGCGGCAAGGCAAGCATTTGAAATAAAATAACCACCAGATCAGAGGAGACCCATTGTCATGGATTAAGAGGGGTCAGTCAGAGAGTGACACGCCTCTGCTACCTAACAGGTCTTGGTCAGGTGGCTCCTAGGGTACACTGCCTCTACCATACATGATTATTTTAGGAGCCTCAAGATTTGCTCCTCCTAGGGTGCACAAACAACTGTACACCTGCATTTCACAGAGGTCTCAGAAAGCCCGCTACTCGAGGAATATTGAGAAGGTGCCTACTAGAATGCACCACCATGAACCCTGCATTTCACACGCTCCTCTTGCCCTCACGGAGTACTGTACCTACCAGCATTGCATAGACACACAGAAGGGTGAGGAGGAGTGCCAAGGAGTGCTGTGGCGAGGAATCTTAGCGAACGAGTGCGAGTGAGGTACGAGTGGAGATTGGTTAGAGTCAGGAGTCGTCGGAATCGGGGCCGGTGTTGAATGTCTTGATGAGATGCTTGAGCTCATCGCGTACTGCTGTGTAGCAGAAGCGGTACTGCTCCTGTTGGGTGACGAGAGAGGTAGAGAGGAGTGAAGGGAGGTGAAAAGAGGTAAAGAGGAGTCTGTGTCAGGAGTCATCAAAGTCGGGGCCGGTGTTGAATGTCGTGATGAGATGCTTGAGCTCATCGCGCACTGCTGTGTAGCAGAAGCGGTACTGCTCCTGTTGGGTGACGAGAGAGGTGGAGAGGAGTGAAGGGAGGTGAGAAGTGGTGAAGGACTTGATGAGACGTTTGATGGGGTGAGGTGAAGGCTTTGGTGAGCTGCTTGCCCTAATATCACATCACACCATTCTTTACCCTCACATCCCACTCACCCTCATGATGAGAGAGAGAGAGGTGGGGAGGAGTGAATGGAGGTGAAAAGAGGTAAGGTCTTTGATAATATCACACCGCTTTTTTACCCTGACATCACACTCACATTGGTCTGCACCAGGCCAGCGCGCTGCTGTTGGGCAGCAGCACCGTTGCAGCCATGTTGAGAGCTGAGAGGTCGCCCTGCAGCACCCTGGTTTCTTGTACTTACATCACACCTTTCACTGCCCTGACATCCCACCTACCTTTGTCTGAACCATGCCGGCCCGCTGCTGTCGGAGAAGCAGCACAGTAGCAGCCATGTTGAGAGCTGAGAGGTCGCCCTGTAACACCCTCCGCACTGCATGATCCACCACACAGTAGGCGCCCGTGCGGCCGATGCCCGCACTGCAAACAGTGGAAGGGAGGGAGAGAGAGTGAATGAGGGCGAGAGAGGGTGAATAAGGGCGAGAGAGGGCGAATGAGGGCGAGAGAGGGTGAGAGAGCAGTTGAAGGAGGCGTGAAAGTGAAGGAGCAGACTTGCCAAAGTGAAGTGGACGAGGGCGAGTCTCTGAGAAGCACATGACGATTTGAGAAGGCACAACACAGCACTACCTGCACTACCTGCAGTGCCGCTCACCTGCACTACCTGCAGTGCCGCTCACCTGCACTACCTGCAGTGCCGCCCACCTGCAGTGGATGACAAACGGCCCAGCGGACGAGGGCGAGTCTCTGAGGGAGCGGATGAGGTCACGAATAGACTCTGTGTCCCGAGGGACCCCGTGGTCTGGCCAGTCTAGGTAGTGCAGATGCAGCACCGAGAGGGGCGCGCCTGACGCCTGGTTGACACGGCAATGGCAGGGTAAGGAGTAGCAGTGGAAATCAGTGCAGGGGCAGGTAAGAATAGAGAGACTCCGTGTCCCGGGGCACCCCGTGGTCTGGCCAGTCTAGGTAGTGCAGATGCAGCTCCGAGAGGGGCGCGCCTGACGCCTGGAGGTTACAGCAAACGGCAGGGCGAGGAGAGGAGAGAGGGGGAGTCAATGTGAAGGCAGGCAGGCAGGCAAGAATTGACTCTGTGTCCCGAGGCCACCCGTGGTCGGGTCAGTCTAGGTAGTGCAGATGCAGCACTGAGAGGGAGGGGAGGACAGATGGAGGCTGAGGTCATGTCTTACAGCTTCAGTTTGCCGAGCGCCATTCTCGAACGCCATTCTCGAATCAAGGTAACTCACCATGTTCAAGTAGCATGAGACATGAGCCCATGCACGATATGAATCCAATTCAATGTTCATATTGCATTTTGCCCTTATCCCTGCTGGCAATACTCGTGTTGCGGTGGCTCAAACACCAAAACAACACTCCTGCCTCACCGTCTCATTGGTGACGGTGACTTGGCGCTGCAGTGTGCCACCATCACTCATCTCCACCGCCGCCTCGTTGCTATTCGCCCCCTCCTCAACCCGTACTAGTGGTTCGTCACTCACCCCCTCATCGCGCACTCAGCCACCATCTCGTTACTCACTCCCCCCTCACACCGTCTCGTTGGTGACTGTGAGTTGGCGCTGCAGCGTGCTGCCATCACTCATCTCCTCAGTCGCCTCGTTGCCGTACGCCCTCACCCCCACTGGCCATAATCATCGTTCCCCACTCACCATCCCAATCCCCACTCACCATCCCAATCCCCACTCACCATCCCAATCCCCACTCACCATCCCAATCCCCACTCACCATCCCAATCCCCACTCACCATCCCAATCCCCACTCACCATCCCAATCCCCACTCACCATCCCAATCCCCACTCACCATCCCAATCCCCACTCACCATCCCAATCCCCACTCACCATCCCAATCCCCACTCACCATCCCAATCCCCACTCACCATCCCAATCCCCATCCCAATCCCCACTCACCATCCCAATCCCCACTCACCATCCCAATCCCCACTCACCATCCCAATCCCCACTCACCATCCCAATCCCCACTCACCATCCCAATCCCCACTCACCATCCCACCCCCCACTCACCATCCCAATCCCCACTCACCATCCCAATCCCCACTCACCATCCCAATCCCCACTCACCATCCCAATCCCCACTCACCATCCCAATCCCCACTCACCATCCCAATCCCCACTCACCATCCCAATCCCCACTCACCATCCCAATCCCCACTCACCATCCCACTCCCCACTCACCATCCCACTCCCCACTCACCATCCCACTCCCCACTCACCATCCCAATCCCCACTCACCATCCCAATCCCCACTCACCATCCCAATCCCCATCCCATCCCAATCCCCACTCACCATCCCAATCCCCACTCACCATCCCAATCCCCACTCACCATCCCAATCCCCACTCACCATCCCAATCCCCACTCACCATCCCACTCCCCACTCACCATCCCACTCCCCACTCACCATCCCACTCCCCACTCACCATCCCAATCCCCACTCACCATCCCAATCCCCACTCACCATCCCAATCCCCACTCACCATCCCAATCCCCACTCACCATCCCAATCCCCACTCACCATCCCACCCCCCACTCACCATCCCAATCCCCACTCACCATCCCAATCCCCACTCACCATCCCAATCCCCACTCACCATCCCAATCCCCACTCACCATCCCAATCCCCACTCACCATCCCACCCCCACTCACCATCCCAATCCCCACTCACCATCCCAATCCCCACTCACCATCCCAATCCCCACTCACCATCCCAATCCCCACTCACCATCCCAATCCCCACTCACCATCCCAATCCCCACTCACCATCCCAATCCCCACTCACCATCCCAATCCCCACTCACCATCCCACTCCCCACTCACCATCCCACTCCCCACTCACCATCCCACTCCCCACTCACCATCCCAATCCCCACTCACCATCCCAATCCCCACTCACCATCCCAATCCCCATCCCCACTCACCATCCCAATCCCCACTCACCATCCCAATCCCCACTCACCATCCCAATCCCCACTCACCATCCCAATCCCCACTCACCATCCCACTCCCCACTCACCATCCCACTCCCCACTCACCATCCCACTCCCCACTCACCATCCCAATCCCCACTCACCATCCCAATCCCCACTCACCATCCCAATCCCCACTCACCATCCCAATCCCCACTCACCATCCCAATCCCCACTCACCATCCCAATCCCCACTCACCATCCCAATCCCCACTCACCATCCCAATCCCCACTCACCATCCCAATCCCCACTCACCATCCCAATCCCCACTCACCATCCCAATCCCCACTCACCATCCCAATCCCCACTCACCATCCCAATCCCCACTCACCATCCCAATCCCCACTCACCATCCCAATCCCCACTCACCATCCCAATCCCCACTCACCATCCCACTCCCCACTCACCATCCCAATCCCCACTCACCATCCCAATCCCCACTCACCATCCCAATCCCCACTCACCATCCCACTCCCCACTCACCATCCCACTCCCCACTCACCATCCCAATCCCCACTCACCATCCCAATCCCCACTCACCATCCCAATCCCCATCACCACCATCCCAATCCCCACTCACCATCCCAATCCCCACTCACCATCCCAATCCCCACTCACCATCCCAATCCCCACTCACCATCCCACTCCCCACTCACCATCCCAATCCCCACTCACCATCCCAATCCCCACTCACCATCCCAATCCCCACTCACCATCCCAATCCCCACTCACCATCCCAATCCCCACTCACCATCCCAATCCCCACTCACCATCCCAATCCCCACTCACCATCCCAATCCCCACTCACCATCCCAATCCCCACTCACCATCCCAATCCCCACTCACCATCCCAATCCCCACTCACCATCCCAATCCCCACTCACCATCCCAATCCCCACTCACCATCCCAATCCCCACTCACCATCCCAATCCCCACTCACCATCCCAATCCCCACTCACCATCCCAATCCCCACTCACCATCCCAATCCCCACTCACCATCCCAATCCCCACTCACCATCCCAATCCCCACTCACCATCCCAATCCCCACTCACCATCCCAATCCCCACTCACCATCCCAATCCCCACTCACCATCCCAATCCCCACTCACCATCCCAATCCCCACTCACCATCCCAATCCCCACTCACCATCCCAATCCCCACTCACCATCCCAATCCCCACTCACCATCCCAATCCCCACTCACCATCCCAATCCCCACTCACCATCCCAATCCCCACTCACCATCCCAATCCCCACTCACCATCCCAATCCCCACTCACCATCCCAATCCCCACTCACCATCCCAATCCCCACTCACCATCCCAATCCCCACTCACCATCCCAATCCCCACTCACCATCCCAATCCCCACTCACCATCCCAATCCCCACTCACCATCCCAATCCCCACTCACCATCCCAATCCCCACTCACCATCCCAATCCCCACTCACCATCCCAATCCCCACTCACCATCCCAATCCCCACTCACCATCCCAATCCCCACTCACCATCCCAATCCCCATCCCAATCCCCACTCACCATCCCAATCCCCACTCACCATCCCACTCCCCACTCACCATCCCACTCCCCACTCACCATCCCAATCCCCACTCACCATCCCAATCCCCACTCACCATCCCAATCCCCACTCACCATCCCAATCCCCACTCACCATCCCAATCCCCACTCACCATCCCACCCCCACTCACCATCCCAATCCCCACTCACCATCCCAATCCCCACTCACCATCCCAATCCCCACTCACCATCCCAATCCCCACTCACCATCCCAATCCCCACTCACCATCCCAATCCCCACTCACCATCCCAATCCCCACTCACCATCCCAATCCCCACTCACCATCCCAATCCCCACTCACCATCCCAATCCCCACTCACCATCCCAATCCCCACTCACCATCCCACTCCCCACTCACCATCCCACTCCCCACTCACCATCCCACTCCCCACTCACCATCCCACTCCCCACTCACCATCCCACTCCCCACTCACCATCCCACTCCCCACTCACCATCCCAATCCCCACTCACCATCCCAATCCCCACTCACCATCCCAATCCCCACTCACCATCCCAATCCCCACTCACCATCCCAATCCCCACTCACCATCCCAATCCCCACTCACCATCCCAATCCCCACTCACCATCCCAATCCCCACTCACCATCCCAATCCCCACTCACCATCCCAATCCCCACTCACCATCCCAATCCCCACTCACCATCCCAATCCCCACTCACCATCCCAATCCCCACTCACCATCCCAATCCCCACTCACCATCCCAATCCCCACTCACCATCCCAATCCCCACTCACCATCCCAATCCCCACTCACCATCCCACTCCCCACTCACCATCCCACTCCCCACTCACCATCCCAATCCCCACTCACCATCCCAATCCCCACTCACCATCCCAATCCCCACTCACCATCCCAATCCCCACTCACCATCCCAATCCCCACTCACCATCCCAATCCCCACTCACCATCCCAATCCCCACTCACCATCCCAATCCCCACTCACCATCCCAATCCCCACTCACCATCCCAATCCCCACTCACCATCCCAATCCCCACTCACCATCCCAATCCCCACTCACCATCCCAATCCCCACTCACCATCCCAATCCCCACTCACCATCCCAATCCCCACTCACCATCCCAATCCCCACTCACCATCCCAATCCCCACTCACCATCCCAATCCCCACTCACCATCCCAATCCCCACTCACCATCCCAATCCCCACTCACCATCCCAATCCCCACTCACCATCCCAATCCCCACTCACCATCCCAATCCCCACTCACCATCCCAATCCCCACTCACCATCCCAATCCCCACTCACCATCCCAATCCCCACTCACCATCCCACTCCCACTAACCGTCTCATTGGTGACTGTGAGTTGGCGCTGCAGCGTGCCGCCATCGCTCATCTCCACCGTCGCCTCGTTGCGCACGCGCATGTGCCCATACACCTCGCTCGCACCCGCCTTGGACGGGAAGTAGTGTGCGCACTTGATCTGGGGCGGGGAGGGAGGGGTGGGTGGGTGGCAGGCGCAGGGGGAATTGAGAAACTCAGGCGTCAGGCCTCGTTGCGCACGTGCATGTGCCCATATGCCTCACATGCGCCCGCCTTGGATGGGAAGTAGTGCGCGCACTTGATCTGGGGCGGGGAGGGGAGCACATGGTGGAGGAGAGGGGCGATAGGGGGGAGAGGGAGGAGAGGTGGAATCAGCAAACTCGCCTTCCTTGACTGCCCTCCGTCCCTATCCCCCGCATGCCCCTCATTTCCCTTTCCCTCGACACACACAGCACTGCCCCTCACACACGTGCGTGCGTGGATAAGAGCACTCACCCGGGATCCCTCCACCTCCCGTGTGAGCATGATGACAGCAGCGGCGCGCTGCTCCCACACCATGTGCCAGAAGGCTGCTGCCGTGTCGTCCAGCGGGCCTTGCGCCGCTATGTACCGCGGCATGTGTGCCTCCGACGGGTCCTGGGGTGTGGTGTGGTGCGGTGGGGTGGGGTGCAAAGGATACGAGGTGAGGTAAATATGGGGTCATCTTGGGCCCTGAGCCGCTATGTACCGCAACATGTGAATGTCCTGTGGTGTGGTGCAGTGCGGTGTGGTGTGGTGTGGTGTGGTGGGTGCAAAGGTAACGGGATAACACATGAGTCAGCTTGGGCCCTGAGTGGCTATGAACTGTGGCATGTGTGGGTCCGACCGGTCCCGTGGTGTGGTGCGGTGGGGTGGGGTGGGGTGGCGTGGAAAGTCAATAAGGCGATCTAAGTCAGCTTCAGCACTTAGCTAAGTACCCTGGCACAGGGGGGTCGGGCACAGGGGGGTCAGGCCACGTGGTGGGGGTCAACAGAGAAAGTGAATAGCTGACTCAGAAGAAACAAAGAAGTACTGGAACCAACGCAAAGATTTCTATTACAAGTTGCCGGGCTGGGAGTGACTACGCCATACCGTGACTATATGCGACGCGTTGATGTAATCTGAGCCGTCCGATTGTGTTCCGCTCTGCCCTCCCAAGAGCACCCGACTGTTTTCATCTGAGGGCCAGGCAGGTGGGCAAAAGGAACGAAAAAAGAGCGGGGACATTCTGAACAAAAAAAAAGGAGGCCAAGATGCAGGCGAAGATTGTCCGCACAGCTTGAGTTACAAGGGAGCATGACATTAATTTGGCTCTCTGGCTGGTTGACTATAGAACCAACGCCACTCTCTCAACTCCAATACAAGGGCGCGGATGTGGATCACATTCACACAGAAGCACATTCGCATGTAAGTCCATCTGCCATTTGATTTGATACAGACTGTATAATACACACTCGGTAAGGGCGCGCGCGACTCACATGGGAGCACGTCAATGTAGCGGTTCTTTGGGCGGTTGACTGGCAGCATTGCCGACGTAGCTTCCTGCCTGCTCTCCCCCGAAGCTCTCGCCTGCGCCTTCCCATTCATGCACGCACGCGCGGGGAAATCAACACAACCGTTCGTACATCGCAAGAAACCTTTGTTAGGTTTTTCAAAACAAAAACTCAGTTGCGTGGCATTGTATGCTGTTAGCTCTCTCCCCCGAGGCTCTGGCCTGTGCCCGCCCATTCATGCGTCGGAGAGTGCTGTGGTGCGGGGGATGCAACACGCTGCGATCCAACGGAACGCGATGCAAGGGGATGCAGTGCGGTGAAACGGGATGTGATCCCACGAAGCGCCACTCACCCGCAGCCCTTCGAACTCCTCCACGAATCTTTGCTTCCCGGTCACATTCGATACAGCGTCAAGCTCGCGTATCCGTTTCTTCAGCTGCTTTAGCGCCTCCTCGCACCATCCCAACCGCTCCTCTGTCATATCCCACCCTCCCCACTCTCCCTTCGTCTCTCCTTTAGCCTCTCCCTTCTCCTCTCGCTTCACCTCTCCTTTCGCCTCTCCCCCAGCTCCTACTCCTGATCCTTTCCTCTCTCCCTCTCCCGCCGCTCCTCCCTCTGCCCTTCCATCCGCTCCAACCCCGCCCGCGTCTGTCCTCTCGTCGGCCATCCCCTCTTTGCTCTTCTCCAACGACTCGTTATAAGACAGCCCGATACCCCCCAGCGGTTCTCGTTCCGCGATAGTCGGTTCCGCGACCCGCGGCGCAGCGACATCGTCCTTAGCGCCGGAAATAGGTCCGGAGAACGAGTGTCGGACCGTAGGCGGCCGAACCCCGGAATCCACGGATCCCGAGACGCTCCTGCGGTTCGGGCTCGCGAAAGGGTCGGAGCTCATGGCGAGGCAGTCGTCGTCTTCTCCGACCGAATCTCTGCCGTCGCTCGCGGAGTCGTCGGGCTGCGCTCGGCGACCGCTGCGACTACCCGGGTGACTAGCCGAGTGACTACGGAAGTTGTGCGACAAACGCGAGGCGATGCCTTTGCCGGCGTGCTCGGTTTTGCGCTTGATTTCCCCCCATATCCGACCCGGCGACATGCGAGCGGGCGACGACATTGCTCCTGAAGCCACCGTTAATCAAGTCGTGAAGGGGCCACGGTAAACTAAGGTCTATGTCAGTTAAGACTTTACTAGGATGAAGGGTAATGATAAACCGACGTCGGGGGCTGGGTCAGAAAGTCAACCTTCAAGGGGAGTGATATCCTTATTAGACTGTGACAGCTGTTTCGAAGGAAACAGCGGAAATGCTCGGAAGGTGATAAGCGGCGCTAAACTGGTGGGGAGAGGAGAGGTCTGACTAACTAGAAGTCTGCCAAAAGTAGTCTGTTTTGCAGAAATATCTTCAATTATCTTCCACACCACCCAGCGAGGGTGCCACCCACACAAGTCAGACAGAGGTGCGGGGGGAAGAAAGCATTCCTTCCTTCCCAGCCAAGGCACGCGCGACAATTCCAGCTGCTTCCTCGTCCAGTCAGGCTGCTGCCCCCCCTGCGACCGCGCGACACCCTCACTCCTTCGAGGCTGCTCCGTGACCCGCTCCTCTCCCCTCCCCGCTCACTGCTTCGAGGCTGCGCTTCGTGAGTGGTTGCGGCGGTCGAGATTGACACAGGTTCGTGAGGAGATGGCGCGAAAGGGTCAAGGTTCGGCTGAGGCAGTGCGAGGTGTGCTTGGTTCGAATGGTGATAACGATGAATAATCTGGGATCTGAGGACCCCTTGAAGCAGATCTGCTGAGCGACGGCTAGGATTTTGCCGATTTCGTTGCGAGTTGCAGTGGTGTTCGCCGAACTGGTATTTTCTGAGTTTTGCAGGAAACGGGAAGCCCTGATTGGCTGGAGAGCTCCTCTGACCACGAAAGTGTAACACAGACAAACTATCATCTTGTATTTTCTGGTTACGATCTCGTTACAAGATATCAACTCGCTCGCATGCCTTGATTTTTTCGCGAACCCAAACCAGTCAACTCCCACACGGCACCAGCAGCACCCACACATTCTGACGCACTATTTCAAATCCGCTTCAGCAATGCACATTCTAGCAAGCCTTGTTCTACTAATAAATCGTAGCATCCCTAGGAAATCGATTGATTGTTGTTGCACTGCGTGTCAGCATTCGTAAACCGTCAATTGGTGGGTCGAAGACCGGAAGGCGATTTGGTTTGACCAGATTTTAGGTTAATATCACTACGTATACCGCTCGACGTGGTCGCTTAGCTCGAGCGGGAATCTGACGGGTGTTTTTCTGCGAACGAACGGAAATTGTCAGTTGAAGGCCGTTCCAGCTCCAGAAACGTCTGCGTCTGTCGCAGGTTAAAAGGATAAGCGGATGTCAGATAACATTCGTTTCGAATTCGACCACCTCCGTCAGTACCACGTACTTGCGAATCGCTGAGACGGAGGTCTGTGGTTGTGCGAGAGCTACGGCCGAGGAAAACCTAGAACGCGGTTACGTGATCGGGATCGTGATCTGCCGGGCGTATTGAGTTTAACGACACGTGGAGAGAGGGAGAACAAAAGCACTGTAGAATATGTATTTCAGTTACCTTCGTGATATGTAGTGAGGCATGATTATTCTTGTGTAAAACTTCAGAACCAGGCTTACGCTATCATGGACTTCCTCAGCCGAGCTACAGGCAGTAGCGATCACCATGGTCAGGTGATATTGCAATGCTGAGCGCTTGCTGACGCTTGATTCATGGCTGATTGTGTTTCCAATTTTGCTGGTTTTATAACCTCTAGTGGGTTGCACTTCAGTGATTGTAATTGTTGGATTTTTTTGTTTTGATTTATGTCCTTATTTCAATCACTGTGCTACAGCAGGAAGGGATTCCCGAGGAGCCAGACTACGCTATCCGTTGTTATGCAACCAAGCACTCATGGAGAGGACGGTACAAGCGGCTCTTCTGTGTGTCATCCTCCGCTATTATCACACTCGATCCTCACTCGCTCTCGTCTACCAACCATTACACCCTCGCGACGGATTATGAGGGAATTGTGGTGGCTCCTCCGCTTGGAGGCAAGGAAGACGGACAGGTGGGTGTAAAGGCTGGAAATCATGCTGTGGTTGGTTGTTGCTGTGGAATTCGGAATGACCAGCTGCTACCTACCTGTATTGATTGGATGTCTTTCAGCCGCGTAGTATGCATACCTTCTCTATCAACTTGATTTTTTCACTATGTTATAATATTTGGAGATGGCGTTTAATCGGCCTTTCTTCATCTATCTGTGCCTTCTCCTGCTTCGTTTTACGTCTACAGCAGCTGGAATTCACAATCAACGTTCGCACAGATGGACGTGGCAAGTACAAGCCCATCAAGTTCTCTGCACGGTAACCTCTCCACGCCCTCCCTGAAAACGCTTTTATGTGCATCCACATAATTCATCTTGAGCTTTGTGTTTCGTAGTCCAGTCAATGCTCCTGAGTCAAAACGTTGCAGGAATCTCAAGTTCTACAACATACCATTATCAGTGCTCCACTTTAGTTGCCCGAATGCTAACTCTCAATACAAGTTATCTGTTGTTCTCTGCTTCCAGGCACCGTGCGTCTTTGCTGACGGAGCTGCACAGGGTGGTGGCGGCACTGCATCCACACCCTCCTCGGCCCCTCACCACGCCCTCCACTGTCTTCCCTGTTCTCTGCCTCCGCCGTCGCTCCCAAAACTGGGTGCCTAGAGTACGTCTCTCCACATGCAGGCCTTCTCAGTGCTTTTATTGGATGTGAATTTGCCCGTTTTTTCCACTCTTTGGCTGCTCTTTTTACTTTGCGAAAGCATTTCATTGCTCACTGCCATTCATATTCATCCATCCAGGCTATGCGCATCTCGCCAGTTGGGATCGAAGTCATCCAAGCACCTGTGGAAGCAGTTTCAGCTGCTTCCACCCCCTCATCCTCCTCCTCTGTGGCCTCCGTAGCAGCAGCAGTGCGCTGGAGCGTGGAGTTTCAGGGTCTCTCCTCCCCTGCTGTCACTGTTCTCGCTAGCCCAGAGGAGGCCGCATCTGGTGCAGGTGCTTCTGGTGGAAGCTCATCTGGAGGGTTCTTTGGTGTGCGGAGAGGCGTGGCGGGGAGGGAGGATGGGGGGTTTATTCTGCGGCTGGGGTTTGGGAGGCGGGCAAAGGCCATCATGGCTACTGGAGGGTGCTCCAACTCGGCCATCCTGTCAAAAATTGTACGGTTCACGTCCAGCAGAACAAAAGTTCCATCATCCAATGACTTGCCTTGCAACAGTTCCAGCTGTTCCAACTGTTCGCCTCTGCGTGTTAACTTTCGCTACTTCTTATTACCATTTTCTACATCACCCAAGTTTCGCACTCGACAAGCCACTTCTGCAAGTCTTGACACAATTCTCTGCTACCGTTTTTTCTGTTTCTCTCAGGTTGACACAGCTAAGGGCTCCATAGGGCGGGCGCTCACAGTGGATACCACCTCTCGCCCAAGCGTCTCAGACTTTGTTTCACAGACTGGTACGTGCTGTGTGCAATGCGAAGACAAAGCACAGCAGGCTCAGTCTAGTGCTCCACAAGTGTGGTTTCATTGCCTCATTCGTTTGCTTGCTTTCACAAACAAACCTGACCTGACCTCACGGTCCCCCAATGTGCCGCACCCAAAACCCTTCTTTCTTCACAGCTGTGAGTGGAGTGGGTCCCAACGAGCCTCCTCTAGGGGAGTGGTCTGTCACCCTCGTCCGTCCCTCTACTCTGCTCCCAGACCCCTCCCCTCGTGCCTCTTCCGCTGCTGCCGGTGGTGGTGGTGCGACCTCTAGCAGCAACAGCAGCAGCAGCAATAGCGTGGCAGGGGGGGGATTGCAAGGCGGTTTGGGTGTGGAGCGGAGTGGCTCGGCTCGTCAGTTTGCCGTGACTCGGCACTACTTTGTGGAGCGCAACCCTGTCACTTATGAGGTGAGCAGGCAAGGAACACTTACAGAGTCGCCGTAAAATATTGCCGTGACTTGGCACTATTTCATGGAACGCAACACATCTATTAGTGAGTTGAGCGGGCAAGTGGCCTGTTGGAGACTGTAATGAGGGATGAGATCATTCCAGGTGGTGGCAATGGCATGGCATGGTCAAACAGCTGTGTCATTTTCAGCTTCACTCGTGTTTTGCTGCTGCTGAAATCCGTTCGTTGCTGTGTTCGCCAGGCCACATACATGCGGCAGCTCTCAACCATGTCTGCTGTGGTGCGATGGGTGGAGGAGCCTCAGCTGCTCGCCCTGGAGTTTGTTGATGGCGCACCAATCCTGGTGAGACACGTGTTGCTATGCCCTACTTCCTTTTCTCTCTCACATCTGTCAGCGCGGCAGCGCCAGCGCCCTTTTCAGTTGCTTTTCATGATTCGACCATCATGCGTGCAACGCACATGTATGTCAAGTCAATCCAAGTGTTCATGCTTGAACAATGTTCAAGTATGAGTATATTTCTGTCACCCACCATCTGCCAGGTGTACCGCTGTGCAGCACGTGACTCTCTCCTGTCCGCCCTCAAAGATGCCATTGAAACCGAGGTGAGGGTATTAGGTTTTAGACCTTATGGTCTCGAGTTTAGGTGTATGATTTTAGTATCCTTTTTTCTGTCTCGCTCACACCTCACTCACTCACCCTTCATTTCCACCCTAATGCCACATCCTCGTACACTAACACGCATTCTCTGCCTTCCTGTCCTATCCCCCACACAGACATCTCAACCCGTGCCTGTTCTTGCTCGTCCCACTGCCACCGGCCACAGACTAGACGGCCCTTACGGTGACGCCTTCCATGCCTACTCCCCCCCATTCTCGACCTCCTCCTCCCCCACCTCCTCTTCCTCCGTTTCCCACACTGCTACCTCTGCTGCACCCACCTCCTCCTCCTCAGACCCCTCCCCAACTCCAGCAGCAGCAGCTTCCTCATCCTCGTCAGGAGCAGCAGCGGCGGCGGCAGCGGTGGCAGCAGCGGCAGCGTCTGCAAGCCTAGAGGCATCGTCTCTCTCCATGTCCCGCCTAGGCCAGGGTCTCTTTGGCGATGTGGAAGGGGATCAGCTCCTGGTGAGGCACCTCGCAGCAGCAGCCAAAGATGCAGTTGCTGACGGGGGAACCATTCCTGGTTCGAAGACTCGGCTCTGGAGAAGAGTCAGGGAGTTCAATGCCAGTGTGCCTTACTCAGGGCTTTCGGCAGGGGTTGATGTTCCTGATGTCGTGGTCATGGCTGTGCTTAGCATGCTGCCCAGCCCGCCTGCTCCTCCTCCTGTGGGTAACGAGGCTGCTTATAACGAAGTAGGTGCTTATAGTGCAGCCGCGATTCTCCCTGCGCCTTCCCCGAGGGCTGCTGGGACCCACATTGGGCTGCTGGCGTGTCTGCGGCGCCTGGTGGGGGCAAATGGCGCGTTTTCATTGGTGGTGGGGATGCCCGGAGCAGTGGGGAGGATCATGGGGCTTGTTCGGAGCGGGTCAGAGGCAGTGGCTGCTGAAGCACTCGGTGAGTCTCTCAGCTTGGGGGAGCTGCTTTTATATGCGCCCCAGTTTTCCAGTATCCTTCCTGCGTATACCCAGCTTCTATCCCGCTTCGACCCAGATTCTACCCTGCTCCTCCCCGTGTTTACAGCTTCCAACATGTCCCCCCTGGGCCCTGCCCTTCACCCACCCACCAGGTCTGCTGCGAGCCATCATAGCACTCCCGGTTTCTCTCCGGAGTACAGCCAGCCAGGTTGGAGCAGCCAATCAGGGCTCAGCAGCTGCCAACAATGCGTGTAACAAGGCCACGGCTGCTCGTGCTGCTGCCAAAGCGGCTTTCTTCCCCACTCCTGTCCAGGTAAGAACCCCCTGCACAACCATCCAAAAAAGGTTTGTTTCCCACACCCCCGTTTGTAAAAGTCCCTCGCTTGCCATGTCTCCTTGGCAGTTATTTTTTTACAATCTCTTGAAACCAGGGGCGAAATTCTAATTTCGTTTGTCTCTGTATGTCGTACCTAATTTTTGTCTCTAATTTCGTTCATCTCTTCCCTGCCCGTGGTTGCACCTCTCCCAGGTGGCAGCGGTGGTGAATCGCCTGAAGCCACGGTCGGTGTCGCCACTGCTGTCAGCGGCAGCAGTGGCAGTGGTCGAAGCGCTGGTATGCTCCCCTGACAGCGACACCACACAGGATGCAACCTTTCACGAGACTCTGCGCCAGGTGGCGAATCTGAAGCGCCGCCTCTTCTCCCTCTTCGCGCATCCCGCCGAGGGCACGCGGGAGGCAGTGGCAGTCATCATGTGCACCATCGCAGAAGAAGACAAGGCTGCCGCCCGGCCCATGCGCGACGCCGCGCTGAAAGACGGTGCTTTCCTGCGGCACCTGAGTAACAGTGTTGCAGCAGCTGGGGGAGAGAGGAGAGAGTTGAGCCGGCAGCTGATTGCACTATGGGCCGAGGGACATGACCCCAGTCTGGATCTTATCCGAAGGTGCTTCCCTCCTGGCCTCTGTGCGCATCTGTACGCGCATCGTGACACATCAGCAGTGCCAGGTCAGCAGCAGCAGACCGGGAGGAAGGGCAGAAGGAGGGTATCAGCAGCTGCTGCTGCTATTGGCCGCAGAAGGCACGGGCTAGGGGGTGCTGGCGCTGGGGGTTGGGGGGCGGGGGAGAACTTGACTGGTAACCTGGGGGTTGGTTTGGGAGGAGGGTCGATGGCAGGAGCAGGGAGCGGTGGGGATGGGCAGTTTTCAGCATCTGCAGCTGATTTTCTGTCTCAGTCGACGCCTTTCCTGCCCTCCTCCCGCCCGCAAGACCTGTCCATTTCGGACCTCTGGCCTGCCGGAGCTGCCTCAGCTTCGGCCCTAGCCAGCTCGGTGATAGGCTCGGTGTCCAGTTCGGTCCGGGATGCAATCGCCTCTGCTTCTGTTGCTGCTGTCGAAAATGCTCTCTCTGGCGGTGGTGTTTCCACTGCCGCTGCTACAGCTGCTGCTGCTGCAACTCCTGCTGGTAGCACTGTTGCTGTCACTACTGGTGTAGGTAATACTGGTGCAGGTTGGGTTGGTCCCGGCATGCCTGGTGGTGCTGCTATGGATCCATTTGCTACTGCCATACATGTGTCAGGAGGAGCAAGTGGAGGAGCAGTAGTGGCAGGAGCAGTCGCAGGAGCAGCAGTGGCAGGAGGAGCAGGAGCAGGAAGCACAGCAGGAGCGCCAGGAGCACATCAGCCACACCCTTCTCAGGTGCAACAGCAGAATCAACAACAATCGCAGCAACAGCACCAGCAGCAGCATCCACATCAACAGCAGTCTCAGCAGCAGCAGCAGCAGCAGCAGGAGCGGCGCACCAGCAACAGTAGCACCAAGCACACTCCCAGTACCAGCACCAGCAACAGCACTGCGTACAAGCTCAGCTACTCCCACCCAGCTTAACCCCCAGGTGCCCCATCGCCCCAAGAGTCAAACACAGCTGGGGGAGGTCTCAACTGGGAGCGGTTCTGGCACGAGTTTGCAGGGGACCACTGCAGGGCGGATCTGATCTGGAACGAGCGCACGCGGCAGGAGCTGAGGGAGGCGCTTCAGGGGGAGGTACATCTGCTGGACGTGGAACAGGAGAGATTCATGGGTGGGGGAGGCGCAGAGGAGGACAGGGAACGGGAGAAAGGACAGGAGAGGGGAGGTCCCGGTGGGGAGGGTGATGGGGAGGGGGGTGGGGAGGAGGAAGGGGGGGTTGTGCTTAGCTGGAATTACGCTGAGTTTCGAGTACGGTATCGGTCGTTGGCCTGTGAGCTGTGTGTGGGGGGTATTACCTGCGCCTCTTCCTCCACCCAGGTGCCCTTGACGGTCAATCAGACGCCACTGCTGCTGCTTCAGCTGGTGATGGCACTTTGGATTCTCCCGCTGACAGTGCAGGGGAGGCAGGGGCAGCAGCAGTGGGATCGATTCGTGATCCTGCAGCGTTTTTCCGGTCGCTGTACCACCGGTTCTTGAGGGAGGCGGATATGGGGCTCGTGGTGGATGGGGTGGATGCCTCTCACAACCGTGCCAGGTATGTGCTTGCATGTGTGAATGACTTTCGAGAATCATGAAGAGCGATTCAAGTAGAGGCGGATATGGGGCTTGTGGAGGACGGGCTTGATGCCTTACGGGACCGTGCAAGGTGAGTGCTTACTCTGAATCTCAGCAGCCGAAATCAATCTATCGTGATGTGCAGACAACGGTCTTTGCCCTTTCTCCATGTGATTGCAGGCTGAGTGAGTGGTGTGATCCCACAGGGGAGGACTGCTTCGGAGGAGCTGAGCTGCAGCAACCTCCTGCAGCAGGGGGTGAAGAAGCACTGGAAGGAGCAGGAAAGGCCGATGGGCGGGGAGGGCAGGGAGGGCAAGGCGGGAAGGGACGGAAGGGAGGGGGGGCGGGGAGCAACTCGGTGCGGGAGCTGTGTGCGCCGGCGATGGCGATAGTGTACGGGCAGTACGGGGCGGTGATAGGGGCGTTTGACGGCACGGCGCACGTCACTCTGCTGCTGGATCGCACCCTGGATAGAACCCTGCGCCACCGCCTGCTGCTGCTGCTCAAGGTATGGGTGTGAGTGCGTGAGAATGCAAGTGCTTGTCTGTTGCTGCTGCTGCTGCTCAAGGTATGTGCTATGCGGGTGTGCAGCAGTGTGTTCCTGTGTCTGAGAATTCTAAAACACGTCACTCTGCTGCTGGATCGCACCCTGGATAGAACCCTCCGCCACCACCTGCTGCTGCTGCTCAAGGTATGTGCTATGCGATCGTGAAGCAGCGTGTTTTCGGTGACTAGTCCCTCCGCTGTTGTCCAATATTTTCCTAGCTGTCTCATTCCCCTCCTTTTCTCACTCCTCCACCTGTCCCATTTCCTTGGTTACCTGCAGGAGCTGGTGCGAGTGCGGGAGAATGCGAGTGCGTGTGTGGCGGTGGGCGGGTGTGAGCTGGCAGTGGACCTCCTCTGCTCCGCACATGACGCTCACGAGCGCACGTCCATCCCCCTGCAGGTGTGTGTCTTCTCTGCAACTCCTCACCATGCAGGTGCATTGGACTGCACTGCCTCCTTATCGCGGTCATCCCACCGCCCCATATCATCACCCCCTTCCAACCAATCTCCCCTTTCCCCCATCACCCCCATCGGTCCAGTCGAACCTGCTGGCAGCAACTGCATATACCGAACCACCCAAGGAGTGGTTCTACATGCTGCCCAACGGGGGCCGCGTGGGGAAGGTGGGGCTTTGCGTTCTGAGTTGACTAAGAAAACATTCTTATCAAAGCTACTCCCACCGTCCCCATGCCCCTACCAGTCGAACCTGCTGGCAGCAACTGCATATACCGAACCACCCAAGGAGTGGTTCTACATGCTGCCTAATGGGGGAAGAGTGGGGCCCGTGCTCAAGGCAGCAGTGCAGCAGGCGCGGTGGCGGGGGGAGGTGGACTGGAGCACCCGCTGCTGGGCGGCAGGGTGGGACGAGTGGCGGCGTGTGTGTGACGTGCGTGAGCTGCGCTGGGCCATGGCGACCGGCGTCGCTATTCTTACACCTGCCCATGTACGTCCTGCTCTGGCCTGCTTGCGGCCTACTAGGGTTTGAGGTGCCTCAAAAGCTGTGCTGGGCCATGGCGACTGGCGTCGCTATTCTTACACCTGCTCAGGTCTGTTTGGGTATCTGCTTGGGTTGTTTGCGAGGTGGACTCGGGTAGCAGCAGGTGTTGGGTGGTGGGGTGGGGTGCATGGCGGCGTGTGTGTGACGTGCGGGAACTGCGCTGGGCCATGGCCACCGGCGTTGCCATCCTCACGCCTGCCTAGATATATTTGTGATTGTTTGCACAATGGACTGAGGTAGCTGCCGGTGCTGCGTGGTGGGGTGGGACAAGTGGCGGCGCGTGTGTGACGTAATGCAATGTGCTATGGCTCCTGGCATTGCCATTCTCACTCACGCCTGCCCAGATTTGGCTCGATTCGATGCTCGGGTTTGTTTTGCTCATGCTGCCGTTCTTGCTGTTCGGGATCTTAATCTCTGCTGCTGCTATGCTCAACCCTGTGCTCAGACTCATGTGTTTTTCAGCCACAGCACAGGCCATCGTATTTTTCCCTGCCTCCCTTCCTCATTCACTCTCATTTACTTTTCCTTCCCTCCCCAACCAGGTGGGGGAAGCAGCATTGGACATCCTCCTATCCCTCGTCGCCTGCTCCTCCTCCACCTCCTCGCGCCACCTCCCCTCGTTACAATCACGCACCACATCCGCCAACGGCCCTTCAGAAGTACTAGTGGGAAGCGGGGGAGCCAATGCCGCGGATGGTAGTGTCAGAGGCGGGGGAGGCGATGTGCTGGTGCCTATGCCAAGGGTCAAGAGAGCTCTCTGCGACCCCAGATGCCTGCCGCACATTGCTCAGGTATGCTCTTTACTTTTATCCCTTCTTCCCCCCCCCCCCCCATGTGCCGTTGTCCCTCCATGACTACATCTGTGAATTCCCACATTCTCCACTCCTCTCCTCCTTGCCTCCCCCCTCTTCCCCTCCCCCCCCCCCTTTCTCGTTCCGTCACGCGACCATGAGAGCATCCTTCCACCCAACCACGCCCTTTAACTCTCACTCGCCTGCTTTGTCACTGCAGTGGGGAAAAAACAATATCGCTAACTTCTCCTGTCGCCCTCCCATGAACACTGCCAGGCCATTCTCACCAACGAGCCTGCTATCGTGGAGAAAGCCGCGCTGCTATTGGAGGAGATCGTGCGCTACAATCCAACGGTTGCCACCCGCCTGTACACCACGGGCGTGTACTTCTTTGCATTCGCCTACGCTGGCTCCAACTTTCGCACGATTGCGTCACTCTGCCACGCCACACACACACGGTGAGTTGTCACGAATCATTGAGGCGGTTTGTTGATTTCCATTGCCACGCCACACATGCATGATGGGATCGAGGGTTCTGTCATGCCACACCACACTGTCAGTTTCTAAGAAATCTCCAACTTTGACTCTTGCATGGCGGTGAGGGGGCGGGCGGGAGGCTGTGATGCGTCCCTGCCATATCATATCACGTTGCAGCATCCCTGGGAACGTTGCTGCCAGACAGCCTGCTCTATGTGCTCCACAGGCACTGTGTGCCACTGCCATGCCATGCCCCGCGTCCCACACCCCTGCCACTCCCCCCTCTCCCCTCCTTCCTGTCCACCCGCCATCATTCCCTTTCTCCTACCCCCCTGTGCCTCCCCCACCCCCCTCACCATCACCTGGCAGGCAAGCGTATGTGAGCGGCATAGAGGCAGCGGACATGGCATCACAGCCGCTGGCCAAGCGCAGCATACTCGGGGTGCTGCTGCCAGAGAGCCTGCTCTACGTGCTCGACAGACGGGGAGCAGCAGCGTTTGCCGCTGCTGTTGTGGCGGACTCTGATTCGCCGGAGCTCATCTGGACGCATGCCATGCGCGGCTCTGTGCTCATCCCGCAGGTGAGAAGGAGGACTTTTTTTCTGTTTCATTGATAGGCAAGGCTGGTTCATTCGCACGTGACTGTTGAGCTGAGGCGACTCACAAGCCACCCTGCCTGGACGCATGCCATGCGCGGCTCAGTGCTTGTCCCGCTGGTGAGGAGGACCTTTTATCGACGAGTAAGGCTGGTTTATCAGCACGTAACTAACTCAACTCATCTGGGCAGGCACATGCCATACTCGGCTCAGTGCTCACTCCCTAAATGAGAAGATCTGAGTTTGCTTTACTGCTTGGTTACGGCTACTTCTTAAACTATTCCCTGCAACGTGCTTCAACTCTTTCCACCGTCTCCTCTCTTTTATTCAATGTCCTTTGTGCCTTTCTGCATCCCACCTTCGCACTCCGCCCTCTTCTCCCCTCCTCCTCCCACACACTGCAGATTCTCTCCCACCTGGGCGATTTTCCCCAGCGTCTCAGCCAGTTCTCGCGAGCGCTGTACGACCACACGCCCATGCCGCCCATCTCGTACCCCGAGCTCAAGGACGAGATGTGGTGCCACCGCTACCACATGGGCTCCTTGAGGCGACACAGGAGTCCTTCCTACCCTCTCTCCTCTCCCATTTCACTTCTGCAACCCCATCTCTCCCTCCCACCCGCCCGCCCCCCCCCTCCTGGCTCTGCACTGCAGATTCTCTCCCACCTAGGCGACTTCCCCCAGCGTCTCTGCCAGTTCTCCAGAGCCCTGTACGACCACACGCCCATGCCGCCCATCTCATACCCCGAGCTCAAGGACGAGATGTGGTGCCACCGCTACTACCTCCGGAATTTGTGCGACGAGATCCGCTTCCCTGATTGGCCCATCGTGGAGCACGTGGAGTTCCTCCAATCACTGCTCGCCATGTGGCGCGAGGAGCTCGCGAGGAAGCCCATGGGGATCTCGGACGAGGAAGCATGCGCCATTCTGGAGATTCCCACTGGTGAGTTATTTTTTTAGAATTCTAAAATGAGTCCTACTGGTGAGCCTTTCACTGCAACAGCGTTGCGACATCTGAGTCAACTCAAGAGCCCATGGGGATCTCAGATGAGGAAGCATGCGACAATCCCGTGATTCCCACTGGTGAGCTGTCGTCGTTGCATTTGCAGCCTTGCTTCTCTCTGCTGCCCACCCTCCCTCTATATTTCCTTCAATCCCCCCTTCTTCCCTCACACCGTTTCCTTTCCCCCTCCCGTCCCTTCCAATTCTCGTCCTTCCGGCCGCTGCTTTTCCAGACAAGCAGCAACCCGCCTCCTCCACCACCCCAGGCACAGCCTTCCCCACTACGAGACAAGGCGTGCAAGTGGACGAGGACGTGCTGAAGCGGCAGTACCGGCGCATGGCAGTGAGATACCATCCGGACAAGAACCCCGAGGGGCGGGACAAATTCATCGCAGTGCAGAAAGCCTATGAGCACCTGCAGTCTGCCATGCAGGGCCTGCAGGGGCCGCAGACCTGGCGGGTGCTGCTGCTGCTGCGCGCGCAGATTATTCTGTTTCGGAGGTATCCGGGGGTTCTGGAGCCGTTCAAGTATGCTGGCTTCCCGCTGCTGCTGCAGCTGCTGCGGCTGGAGGATGGGGATGGCGAGGCAGGTGGTGGGGATGCAAGGGATGGTGCTGATGGTGCTGCGGGTGGTGCTGTTGGTGGTGGGGATGGTGAGAAGGCGAGGCGACAGCGGGAAAGCGCATCTAGCTTTCTGTCGCCAGAGCGGTCGGAGTTACTGCAAGCAGCAACGCATCTGCTGTGGCTCATGTGAGTAGCCGTTTGCTTGCAGCTGTGTTGTTCTCTGGTGTTCCATCTTTCTCCTACCTGCTTTCCGCTCCCTGCTGCTGCTCTATTTCCCTGCTTTTTCTCGTATATGTACTCCTTCAGCAAAGAAAATACATATCTTGTACCCTTCCCTCCCCCACGCCCTCCCTTCCAGATGTGCCTGTTCCTCCCTCAATGGAGAAGAGCTCTTGCGAGATGGCGGCCTGCCTCTCCTCACCACGCTCCTCTCTCGCTGCCTCTCCCTGCTCTCCCCCTCCTCCTCCCCACCGACCCCCTGCGCTCATCGCCACCCACATCCTCCGCACGCTCGCCATTCTCTCCGCCTTCCCCTCCGCTCGCACCGAGGTTCGGACCAACCAAGCCTGCGCGGCAGCCTTGGTGCCGGACCTGGTGGTGGCGACGGAGCTAGAGAGCACGCCCGGGGCTGTGGAGGCGGCACTAGAGGGGATTTTCCACCTGGCGCTGTCTAAGGGGCTGCGAGAGAGGCTGCTAAGGGCTGGTGCACTGTGGTACCTGCTGCCGCTGCTGTTTAAGTTTGATGCCACTGCGGATACTGCTGGTGATTCCACCACCATCGGCAGCGGTAGCAGCGGCGGCAGCATGAGCGCAGCAGTTACTGCAAGGGTTGGTGGGGGCGGAGCCTCGCTTCCATCCAGCTCTCAGTCCTCCTATCAGTCCTCTTCCCAGTACCTCGCCCTGCCGTCCACCTCACACACAACCTCCTCCCCTCTCTCCTCAACCGGCGTAAACGGCACCAGAATCACCACCAGCAGCACCACATCCTCCTCCTCCTCCGCCTCCCCCTCTGCTGTCTCAGTTGCCACAGGCCAATCAGCGATCGGCGCAAACGTCCAGTCAGAGCGCAACCTACACGCAGTACTAGCTTCACGAGCCATTGCTCGACTCACAGGATACCTGAGGGAGAAAAGCGGGTTTGCGGAGGGGGAGTTGAGGAGGAGGGGTGGGGGGAGGGGGAGGGGCGGGAGGGGTCGGCGGATGCAGCAGCACGGGCGGCTGTGAAGGTGCTGCTGACGCCGCGGCTTGCTGCAAGGCTGGCAGAGAACTCACCTGTGGGGCTTCTCAAGGCGCTGACCAGCAATGTAGAGAGCCCTCAGGTGAGTGGCTTTCCTTGTCAGTTGGAAAGTAGACTGGCTGCTAGGCTGGCAAAGAACTCGCCTGTGGGGCTGCTGAAAGCGCTGACCAGCAATGTGGAGAGCCCGCAGGTGAGTGCTGGTGCGACTTTTGAGGCGCCTCAAAAGCCCGCAGGTGAGTGCTGGTGCGGGTGCTGCTGAAGGTGGAGTGCTGTGAAAATGTGGATGGCATGGCTGCTGACAGTCCGCTGGCTGCTGACCTCCGGCCAGGTGCGGCAGCAAGGAGGCTGCTGACCTCCGGCCAGGTGCGGCAGCAAGGAGGCTGCTGACCTCCGGCCAGGTGCGGCAGCAAGGAGGCTGCTTGAGGTTGCGGCAGTCCCTGCTGAGATTACAGCGAATCACTTCCGAGAGTTCTGTTTATGTCACTTTGTGGTGAGTGTGGACTCAGCTTGTACCCGTGATGATTCCTTGGTTTTTACTGCAGGTGATATGGAGCAGTGGCATGAGGGCGCAGCTGCTGCGGTTTCTGGAGGACAGGAGGGCGCAGAGGGAGGCAGATGGGTCGTATGCAGTGGATGCATGCCAGACGTTTGTGTACACTGCACTGGAGGACGAGATCCAGGTGAGCTTATAATGAGGACAATATCCGGGCAAGCTTGAAACGAGGATCATTTCTGTGTGGGCTTGGAACGAGGGTGAATGTTGTCGTGTGCGAGTAGTGGTTTATTGAAGCCATTGAGCCGTATGTTCTAGCACTTGACACTGAGACCTCATGGCTTCTTTTTCTGCACTGATCCTTTCCTTCGTTCCCCCCTTTCCACCCCCCTCCACGCGCCAAATCCTGCTCGCAACCCTCCAAGAATTGTTTCCATCCCCACCAGGTGGGAGACATCTACCTGCGGCTCTCCATCCAGCACCCCCACTTCCCTCTCTCCGACCCTGAATCTCTCTCTGCTGCCCATATCCTTGAGACCTCATGCGTCCCCCTCCCCTTCACTGATCCAACTCCTTTCTCCCCTCTACCCCGCACCCCTCATGTGGTCCTCACGCCCATCTTCCAGGTGGGAGATATTTACCTCCGTCTGTTCATCCAGCATCCCGACTTCCCTCTTTCAGACCCTGAGTCCCTATCCGCTGCTCTCGTGCCCTTCCTGCTCGACATGTGCGCCCTCCTCCCCGTCTTGCACCACTCCCAATTGCACCACACACCTCTGCACCCTGCTGCCATCCTGCTGCTACGCAAGTGGGACCGGCGGGGTGGGGAGGAAGGCGAGGGAGAGGAAGAGGAGGAGAGAGAGGACGGGAAGGGGGGAGGGGAGGAGGACAGAAATGGAGGAGGGGAGGGACACGGTGGAGGGTTTAGGATTCCGGACGATTGGGAGATGGATGGTGGAGGAGGGACAGGAGGGAGGGGTGGTGGAGAAGAAGAGGGGGGTGGGAAGGAGAGGAAGGGGAGGCGGAAGAGGAGGAGGAAAGCTCGAGATGTGCGGTGGGTGCTGGAAAATATCATCATGGCCCTCACCTCCCTCCACAACGTGCTCTCCACCTCACCTTCTGCCGCTGCTGCCGTCGCCTCCCCGGCCTCCCTCGCCCCTCTCTTCACCTGCATCTCCCTCTCCCTCCCCGCACTCCCTGCACCACCCTCCTCTCCCTCCTCCTCCTCTTCCTCCTCTTCCTCTTCCTCAACCACCACGCCTGCCGCTCTCTCCGCTGCACACATTGAGGCCAGGATCCGCCACCTGGCGCTGGCAGTGCTGACCAGACTCACCGGATTCGCCCCCAGTGTGGCAGCGATGGTATCAGACCGCGGGTCGCTCCTCATGCTGCTGCTGCTGCTCGTACGATCGCCGCAATCTCGGCCGTCCATTCTGGGCATGCTGCAGTCGCTGGCGGGCACGCCAGAGCTGGCGTGGGTGGTGGCGAAGCAAGGCGGCATCGTCTTTCTCCTCGCCCTCCTGCTCCCTGCCCCTGGTGAGATGGTTTAAGCCCTCCTGCTCCCTGCCCCTGGTGTGCAATCAGCTTTTTAGGCGCCTAAAAATTTGTCTCTTTTATTCAGTTTATTTTGGGCGCTTCAAAAGAACTGACGAAGCGAGGAAGTATTGTCTTCTTCTCACCCTCCTTCCCCCTGCCCGTAGTATGCATTCGCATTACTTGAAATAAAGTGTTCAAAACGGAATCATGTATGCTTTCTCCTGGCACTTTAAGGTGTTTCTCTTCTGTGTGGTTCCTCCTTGCACCACTCTACAGTAGAATCTGCAACCTTTTTCCACTTTTTACCTGTGCCTACATCTCCCTCAGGATGTGTCCCTGCACACTCACTCCTCTCCCTTCACCCCTCCCCTGCAGGAGACGATATACCCCACCCTATCCGCGTCACCACCTCCCTCCTCCTCTCCGCGCTCCTCTCACAACCCCTGCACGGCCCACGGGTCTTCCTCTCCCTCTCGCGCTTCCTCCCCCAAGGCCTCCTCTCCTTCCTGCGGGACGGCTCAGGGGAAGCAGCCATTTCTGCTCTCTCCCAGACCACGCAGACCCCTGAGCTCGTCTGGTCCCCTGCCCTCGCGCTCAATCTCGGCCGTCGGATCGCGGTGCTGGCTGCTGAGGTTGTACGGATGGTGGAGATTGCACGGAGGTCTGGTGGTGGGGGCAAGGGAGGAGGAGAAACTGGTGCTTCCGTTTTTGGAAACCTTGCTTCTTTTGAATGGGATCCACCTGGTCTTGTGGGAGCTACTGGTGGGGCCGGTTCAGGTGTTGCATCAGGTGCTAGTTCAGGTGGTTCAGGTGGGGCGTCAGGCGCATCAGACAAAAGTCTGTTGAATTCACCTGAAGAAGGGGACGAGTGGCAGGTGGGCGGCGTGTACATTCGTCTCTTCCTCAAGGACCCCAAGTACCCGCTGCGCAACCCCAAGCGCTTCCTCGAGGGCCTTCTCGACCAATACGTGCTTGCCACGTCAGCACTGTTCGCCCCGGCTTCTCCTGCTCCTGCTCCCGCAACAGCGGCAGGAGCAGGAGCATCAGCAACAGCAGCAGCAGCAGCAGCAGTGGTAGCAGGGAGGGGGTTTGTAGGAGCAGCAGCAGTAGCAGCAGCCACTGAGAGAGTTGAGCTTTTAGCAACGGCGCTCATCTCCCTGCTGAGAGTCCAGCCACTCCTGAGTGAACACGTGGCACTGCTGGGCTATGTGCCGAAGCTGCTGCTGCTGACTGCAGCGGAGGGGCAACTGCTAACCGCCTCTGCTCCCTCTTCTGCTGGCGCTGCTGCTGCAGCTCCTTCTCCTGCCACTGCCACTGCCACTGCTACTGCAGCAGGGGCAGCTGCAGCTGGGAGTGTAGGCGTAGGGGGGGCACAGGGTGGGACCAGGGGAGGGGTAACTGCAGCAGAGGCGGACGCGGAGGCGAGGAGGCAGGCGGGGGAGAGGGCACGCATGTGCTCGTTGAAGATCCTCCACCAGATAGCCGCCAATGGGCCCTGTGCTGAGGCTCTGGCTGTCCCTGGCACCAACGCCCCTCAGGTGAGACTCGAATGCCCCTCAGTTAGGAGTCCCATGCTTTGAGACGTCTCAAAAAGCAAGAGTATTTGCGGAGGCAGACGCGGGGGCAGACGCGGGGGCGAGGAAGCAAGCAGGGGAGAGGGCGCGTATGTGCTCGTTGAAGCTGCTCCAGAAGATTGCCGCCAATAGGCCCTGAATAAAGGCGCCCCTCTGGATTATCCCCTCAGGATTAAGGCGCCCCCATGGATTATCCCCTCTAGATCAAGGCGCCCCCCTGAATTATCCCCTCAGGATTAAGGCGCCCCCCTGGATTATCCCCTCAGAATTATGGCGCCCCCCTGGATTATCCCCTCTAGATCAAGGCGCCCACCTGGATTATCCCCTCCAGATCAAGGCGCCCGCCTGAAAAATCCCCTCAGGATTAAGGCGCCCCCCTGGATTATCCCCTCAGGATTAAGGCGCCCCCCTGGATTATCCCCTCTGAATTAAGACGCCCCCCTGGATTATCCCCTCTGGATTAAGACGCCCCCCTGGATTATCCCCTCAGAACTATGGCGCCCCCCTGGATTATCCCCTCTAGATCAAGGTTCACCCCCGGATTAAGGTTCACCCCTGGATTAAGGTTCACCCCTGGATTAAGGTTCGCCCCCGGATTAAGGTTCGCCCCCGGATTAAGGTTCACCCCGGGATTAAGGTTCACCCCCGGATTAAGGTTCACCCCCGGATCAAGGTTCACCCCCGGATTAAGGTTCACCCCCGGATTAAGGTTCACCCGCGGATTAAGGTTCACCCGCGGATTAAGGTTCACCCGCGGATTAAGGTTCACCCCCGGATTAAGGTTCACCCCCGGATTAAGGTTCGCCCCCGGATTAAGGTTCGCCCCCGGATTAAGGTTCGCCCCCGGATTAAGGTTCGCCCCCGGATTAAGGTTCGCCCCCGGATTAAGGTTCGCCCCCGGATTAAGGTTCGCCCCCGGATTAAGGTTCGCCCCCGGATTAAGGTTCGCCCCCGGATTAAGGTTCGCCCCCGGATTAAGGTTCGCCCCCGGATTAAGGTTCGCCCCCGGATTAAGGTTCGCCCCCGGATTAAGGTTCGCCCCCGGATTAAGGTTCGCCCCCGGATTAAGGTTCGCCCCCGGATTAAGGTTCGCCCCCGGATTAAGGTTCGCCCCCGGATTAAGGTTCGCCCCCGGATTAAGGTTCGCCCCCGGATTAAGGTTCGCCCCCGGATTAAGGTTCGCCCCCGGATTAAGGTTCGCCCCCGGATTAAGGTTCGCCCCCGGATTAAGGTTCGCCCCCGGATTAAGGTTCGCCCCCGGATTAAGGTTCGCCCCCGGATTAAGGTTCGCCCCCGGATTAAGGTTCGCCCCCGGATTAAGGTTCGCCCCCGGATTAAGGTTCGCCCCCGGATTAAGGTTCGCCCCCGGATTAAGGTTCGCCCCCGGATTAAGGTTCGCCCCCGGATTAAGGTTCGCCCCCGGATTAAGGTTCGCCCCCGGATTAAGGTTCGCCCTCGGATCAAGGTTCGCCCCCGGATCAAGGTTCGCCCACGGACTAAGGTTCGCCCCCGGATTAAGGTTCGCCCCCGGATGAAGGTACACCCCCGGATTAAGGTTCACCCCCGGATTAAGGTCACACCCGGATTAAGGTTCACCCCCGGATAAATGTTCGCCCCCGGATAAAGGTTCGCCCCCGGATTAAGGTTCGCCCCCGGATTAAGGTTCGCCCCCGGATTAAGGTTCACCCCCAGATTAAGGTTCACCCCCGGATTAAGGTTCACCCCCGGATTAAAGCTCAAGGCCCAAATTGCGCATGATTAGTAATCTTGCGCAAGGGTTTGGGCTGGTGGTTTGGGAGGTGAACAGAAAGTCGAGAAAGTGGGGTTCGCTTTTTTCGTCAAGCTCTCGCAAAACTTGCTGAGTCAGCAAACTCTGGGCCAAACATTCTGTTTGGGTCCGATAGTCCCAAATTGAGAAATACTGAAACATGAAGTTTGCGCGGTGAGTTTGGTCTCCGCATTAAGGTTCACCCCCGGATTAAGGTTCGCCCCCGGATTAAGGTTCGCCCCCGGATTAAGGTTCGCCCCCGGATTAAGGTTCGCCCCCGGATTAAGGTTCGCCCCCGGATTAAGGTTCGCCCCCGGATTAAGGTTCGCCCCCGGATTAAGGTTCGCCCCCGGATTAAGGTTCGCCCCCGGATGGAGGTTCGCCCCCGGATTGAGGTTCGCCCCCGGATCAAGGTTCGCCCCCGGATCAAGGTTCGCCCCCGGATCAAGCTTCGCCCCCGGATCAAGGTTCGCCCCCGGATCAAGGTTCGCCCCCGGATCAAGGTTCGCCCCGGGATCAAGGTTCGCCCCCGGATCAAGATTCGCCCCCGGATCAAGGTTCGCCCCCGGATCAAGGTTCGCCCCCGGATCAAGGTTCGCCCCCGGATCAAGGTTCGCCCCCGGATCAAGGTTCGCCCCCGGATCCAGGTTCGCCCCCGGATCAAGGATCGCCCCCGGATCAAGGTTCGCCCCCGGATCGAGGTTCGCCCCCGGATCGAGGTTCGCCCCCGGATCGAGGTTCGCCCCCGGATCGAGGTTCGCCCCCGGATCGAGGTTCGCCCCCGGATCGAGGTTCGCCCTCGCATCGAGGTTCGCCCCCGGATCGAGGTTCGCCCCCGGATCGAGGTTCGCCCCCGGATCGAGGTTCGCCCCCGGATCGAGGTTCGCCCCCATATCGAGGTTCGCCCCCGGATCGAGGTTCGCCCCCAAATCAAAATTCGCCCCCCATATCGAGGTTCGCCCCCCGGATCGAGGTTCGCCCCCGGATCGAGGTTCGCCCCCGGATCGAGGTTCGCCCCCGGATCAAGGTTCGCCCCCGGATCGAGGTTCGCCCCCGGATCGAGGATCGCCCCCGGATCGAGGTTCGCCCCCGGATCGAGGTTCGCCCCCGGATCGAGGTTCGCCCCCGGATCGAGGTTCGCCCCCGGATCGAGGTTCGCCCCCGGATCGAGGTTCGCCCCCGGATCGAGGTTCGCCCCCGGATCGAGGTTCGCCCCCGGATCGAGGTTCGCCCCCGGATCGAGGTTCGCCCCCGGATCGAGGTTCGCCCCGGATCGAGGTTCGCCCCCGGATCGAGGTTCGCCCCCGGATCGAGGTTCGCCCCCGGATCGAGGTTCGCCCCCGGATCGAGGTTCGCCCCCGGATCGAGGTTCGCCCCCGGATCGAGGTTCGCCCCCGGATCGAGGTTCGCCCCCGGATCGAGGTTCGCCCCCGGATCGAGGTTCGCCCCCGGATCGAGGTTCGCCCCGGATCGAGGTTCGCACCCGGATCGAGGTTCGCCCCCAAATCAAAATTCACCCCCCATATCGAGGTTCGCCCCCGGATCGAGGTTCGCCCCCGGATCGAGGTTCGCCCCCGATCGAGGTTCGCCCCCGGATCGAGGTTCGCCCCCGGATCGAGGTTCGCCTCCGGATCGAGGTTCGCCCCCGGATCGAGGTTCGCCCCCGGATCGAGGTTCGCCCCCGGATCGAGTTCGCCCCCGGATCGAGGTTCGCCCCCGGATCGAGGTTCGCCCCCGGATCGAGGTTCGCCCCCGGATCGAGGTTCGCCCCCGGATCGAGGTTCGCCCCCGGATCGAGGTTCGCCCCCGGATCGAGGTTCGCCCCCGGATCGAGGTTCGCCCCCGGATCGAGGTTCGCCCCCGGATCGAGGTTCGCCCCCGGATCGAGGTTCGCCCCCGGATCGAGGTTCGCCCCCGGATCGAGGTTCGCCCCCGGATCGAGGTTCGCCCTCGCATCGAGGTTCGCCCCCGGATCGAGGTTCGCCCCCGGATCGAGGTTCGCCCCCGGATCGAGGTTCGCCCCCGGATCGAGGTTCGCCCCCATATCGAGGTTCGCCCCCGGATCGAGGTTCGCCCCCAAATCAAAATTCGCCCCCCATATCGAGGTTCGCCCCCCGGATCGAGGTTCGCCCCCGGATCGAGGTTCGCCCCCGGATCGAGGTTCGCCCCCGGATCAAGGTTCGCCCCCGGATCGAGGTTCGCCCCCGGATCGAGGATCGCCCCGGATCGAGGTTCGCCCCCGGATCGAGGTTCGCCCCCGGATCGAGGTTCGCCCCCGGATCGAGGTTCGCCCCCGGATCGAGGTTCGCCCCCGGATCGAGGTTCGCCCCCGGATCGAGGTTCGCCCCCGGATCGAGGTTCGCCCCCGGATCGAGGTTCGCCCCCGGATCGAGGTTCGCCCCCGGATCGAGGTTCGCCCCCGGATCGAGGTTCGCCCCCGGATCGAGGTTCGCCCCCGGATCGAGGTTCGCCCCCGGATCGAGGTTCGCCCCCGGATCGAGGTTCGCCCCCGGATCGAGGTTCGCCCCCGGATCGAGGTTCGCCCCCGGATCGAGGTTCGCCCCCGGATCGAGGTTCGCCCCCGGATCGAGGTTCGCCCCCGGATCGAGGTTCGCCCCCGGATCGAGGTTCGCCCCCGGATCGAGGTTCGCACCCGGATCGAGGTTCGCCCCCAAATCAAAATTCAACCCCCATATCGAGGTTCGCCCCGGATCGAGGTTCGCCCCCGGATCGAGGTTCGCCCCCGGATCGAGGTTCGCCCCGGATCGAGGTTCGCCCCCGGATCGAGGTTCGCCTCCGGATCGAGGTTCGCCCCCGGATCGAGGTTCGCCCCCGGATCGAGGTTCGCCCCCGGATCGAGGTTCGCCCCCGGATCGAGGTTCGCCCCCGGATCGAGGTTCGCCCCCGGATCGAGGTTCGCCCCCGGATCGAGGGTTCGCCCCCCGGATCGAGGTTCGCCCCCCGGATCGAGGTTCGCCCCCGGATCGAGGTTCGCCCCCGGATCGAGGTTCGCCCCGGATCGAGGTTCGCCCCCGGATCGAGGTTCGCCCCCGGATCGAGGTTCGCCCCCGGATCGAGGTTCGCCCCCGGATCCAGGTTCGCCCCCGGATCCAGGTTCGCCCCCGGATCCAGGATCGCCCCCGGATCAAGGTTCGCCCCCGGATCAAGGTTCGCCCCCGGATCAAGGTTCGCCCCTGGATCAAGGTTCGCCCCCGGATCAAGGTTCGCCCCCGGATCAAGGTTCGCCCCCGGATCGAGGTTCGCCCCCGGATCGAGGTTCGCCCCCGGATCGAGGTTCGCCCCCGGATCGAGGTTCGCCCCCGGATCGAGGTTCGCCCCCGGATCGAGGTTCGCCCCGGATCAAGGTTCGCCCCCGGATCGAGGTTCGCCCCCGATCGAGGTTCGCCCCCGGATCGAGGTTCGCCCCGGGATCGAGGTTCGCCCCGGGATCGAGGTTCGCCCCGGATCGAGGTTCGCCCCCGGATCGAGGTTCGCCCCCGGATCGAGGTTCGCCCCCGGATCGAGGTTCGCCCCCGGATCGAGGTTCGCCCCCGGATCGAGGTTCGCCCTCGCATCGAGGTTCGCCCCCGGATCGAGGTTCGCCCCCGGATCGAGGTTCGCCCCCGGATCGAGGTTCGCCCCCGGATCGAGGTTCGCCCCCGGATCGAGGTTCGCCCCCGGATCGAGGTTCGCCCCCGCATCGAGGTTCGCCCCCGGATCGAGGTTCGCCCCCGCATCGAGGTTCGCCCCCGGATCGAGGTTCGCCCCCGGATCGAGGTTCGCCCCCGGATCGAGGTTCGCCCCCGGATCGAGGTTCGCCCCCGGATCGAGGTTCGCCCCCGGATCGAGGTTCGCCCCCGGATCGAGGTTCGCCCCCGGATCGAGGTTCGCCCCCGGATCGAGGTTCGCCCCCGGATCGAGGTTCGCCCCCAAATCAAAATTCACCCCCATATCGAGGTTCGCCCCCCGGATCGAGGTTCGCCCCCGGATCGAGGTTCGCCCCCGGATCGAGGTTCGCCCCCGGATCGAGGTTCGCCCCCGGATCGAGGTTCGCCCCCGGATCGAGGTTCGCCCCCGGATCGAGGTTCGCCCCCGGATCGAGGTTCGCCCCCGGATCGAGGTTCGCCCCCGGATCGAGGTTCGCCCCCGGATCGAGGTTCGCCCCCGGATCGAGGTTCGCCCCCGGATCGAGGTTCGCCCCCGGATCGAGGTTCGCCCCCGGATCGAGGTTCGCCCCCGGATCGAGGTTCGCCCCCGGATCGAGGTTCGCCCCCGATCGAGGTTCGCCCCCGGATCGAGGATCGCCCCCGGATCGAGGTTCGCCCCCCGATCGAGGTTCGCCCCCGGATCGAGGTTCGCCCCCGGATCGAGGTTCGCCCCCGGATCGAGGATCGCCCCCGGATCGAGGTTCGCCCCCGGATCGAGGTTCGCCCCCGGATCGAGGATCGCCCCCGGATCCAGGTTCGCTCCCGGATCCAGGTTCGCCCCGGGATTCAGGTTCGCCCCGGGATTGAGGTTCGCCCCCGGATTGAGGTTCGCCCCGGGATTCAGGTTCGCCCCGGGTTCAGGTTCGCCCCGGGATTCAAGTTCGCCCCGGATTCAGGTTCGCCCCCGGATCAAGGTTCGCCCCGGGATTCAGGTTCGCCCCGGGATCAAGGTTCGCCCCCGGACCAAGGTTCGCCCCCGGATCAAGGTTCGCCCCGGATCAAGGTTCGCCCCCGGATCAAGGTTCGCCCCCGGATCAAGGTTCGCCCCCGGATCAAGGTTCGCCCCCGGATCAAGGTCGCCCCCGGATCAAGGTTCGCCCCCGGATCAAGGTTCGCCCCCGGATCAAGGTTCGCCCCCGGATCAAGGTTCGCCCCCGGATCAAGGTTCGCCCCCGGATCAAGGTTCGCCCCCGGATCAAGGTTCGCCCCCGGATCAAGGTTCGCCCCCGGATCAAGGTTCGCCCCCGGATCAAGGTTCGCCCCCGGATCAAGGTTCGCCCCCGGATCAAGGTTCGCCCCCGGATCAAGGTTCGCCCCCGGATTCAGGTTCGCCCCCGGATTCAGGTTCGCCCCCGGATTCAGGTTCGCCCCCGGATTCAGGTTCCCCCCGGATTCAGGTTCGCCCCCGGATTCAGGTTCGCCCCCGGATCCAGGTTCGCCCCCGGATCCAGGTTCGCCCCCGGATCAAGGTTCGCCCCCGGATCAAGGTTCGCCCCCGGATCGAGGTTCGCCCCGGATCGAGGTTCGCCCCCGGATCGAGGATCGCCCCCGGATCGAGGTTCGCCCCCGGATCGAGGTTCGCCCCCGGATCGAGGATCGCCCCCGGATCGAGGTTCGCCCCCGGATCCAGGTTCGCTCCCGGATCGAGGTTCGCCCCCGGATTCAGGTTCGCTCCCGGATCCAGGTTCGCTCCCGGATCCAGGTTCGCCCCGGGATTCAGGTTCGCCCCCGGATTCAGGTTCGCCCCGGGATTCAGGTTCGCCCCGGGATTCAGGTTCGCCCCGGGTTCAGGTTCGCCCCGGGATTCAGGTTCGCCCCGGGATTCAGGTTCGCCCCGGGTTCAGGTTCGCCCCGGGATTCAGGTTCGCCCCCAGATCAAGGTTCGCCCCCGGATCAAGGTTCGCCCCCGGATCAAGGTTCGCCCCCGGATCAAGGTTCGCCCCCGGATCAAGGTTCGCCCCCGGATCAAGGTTCGCCCCCGGATCAAGGTTCGCCCCCGAATCAAGGTTCGCCCCCGGATCAAGGTTCGCCCCCGGATCAAGGTTCGCCCCCGATTCAAGGTTCGCCCCCGGATCAAGGTTCGCCCCCGGATCAAGGTTCGCCCCCGGATCAAGGTTCGCCCCCGGATCAAGGTTCGCCCCCGGATCAAGGTTCGCCCCCGGATCAAGGTTCGCCCCCGGATCAATTCCCCGGATCAAGGTTCGCCCGCGGATCAATTCCCTGGATCAAGGTTCGTCCCCGGATCAAGGTTCGCCCGCGGATCAATTCCCTGGATCAAGGTTCGCCCCCGGATCAAGGTTCGCCCCCGGATCAAGGTTCGCCCCCGGATCAAGGTTCGCCCCCGGATCAAGGTTCGCCCCCGGATCAAGGTTCGCCCCCGGATCAAGGTTCGCCCCCGGATCAAGGTTCGCCCCCGGATCAAGGTTCGCCCCCGGATCAAGGTTCGCCCCCGGATCAAGGTTCGCCCCCGGATCAAGGTTCGCCCCCGGATCAAGGTTCGCCCCCGGATCAAGGTTCGCCCCCGGATCAAGGTTCGCCCCCGGATCAAGGTTCGCCCCCGGATCAAGGTTCGCCCCCGGATCAAGGTTCGCCCCCGGATCAAGGTTCGCCCCCGGATCAAGGTTCGCCCCCGGATCAAGGTTCGCCCCCGGATCAAGGTTCGCCCCCGGATCAAGGTTCGCCCTCGGATCAAGGTTCGCCCCCGGATCAAGGTTCGCCCCCGGATCAAGGTTCGCCCCCGGATCAAGGTTCGCCCCCGGATCAAGGTTCGCCCCCGGATCAATTCCCTGGATCAAGGTTCGCCCCCGGATCAAGGTTCGCCCCCGGATCAAGGTTCGCCCCCGGATCAAGGTTCGCCCCCGGATCAAGGTTCGCCCCCGGATCAAGGTTCGCCCCCGGATCAAGGTTCGCCCCCGGATCAAGGTTCGCCCCCGGATCAAGGTTCGCCCCCGGATCAAGGTTCGCCCCCGGATCAAGGTTCGCCCCCGGATCAAGGTTCGCCCCCGGATCAATTCCCCGGATCAAGGTTCGCCCGCGGATCAATTCCCTGGATCAAGGTTCGTCCCCGGATCAAGGTTCGCCCGCGGATCAATTCCCTGGATCAAGGTTCGCCCCCGGATCAAGGTTCGCCCCCGGATCAAGGTTCGCCCCCGGATCAAGGTTCGCCCCCGGATCAAGGTTCGCCCCCGGATCAAGGTTCGCCCCCGGATCAAGGTTCGCCCCCGGATCAAGGTTCGCCCCCGGATCAAGGTTCGCCCCCGGATCAAGGTTCGCCCCGGATCAAGGTTCGCCCCCGGATCAAGGTTCGCCCCCGGATCAAGGTTCGCCCCCGGATCAAGGTTCGCCCCCGGATCAAGGTTCGCCCCCGGATCAAGGTTCGCCCCCGGATCAAGGTTCGCCCCCGGATCAAGGTTCGCCCCCGGATCAAGGTTCGCCCCCGGATCAAGGTTCGCCCCCGGATCAAGGTTCGCCCCCGGATCAAGGTTCGCCCCCGGATCAAGGTTCGCCCCCGGATCAAGGTTCGCCCCCGGATCAAGGTTCGCCCCCGGATCAAGGTTCGCCCCCGGATCAAGGTTCGCCCCCGGATCAAGGTTCGCCCCCGGATCAAGGTTCGCCCCCGGATCAAGGTTCGCCCCCGGATCAAGGTTCGCCCCCGGATCAAGGTTCGCCCCCGGATCAAGGTTCGCCCCCGGATCAAGGTTCGCCCCCGGATCAAGGTTCGCCCCCGGATCAAGGTTCGCCCCCGGATCAAGGTTCGCCCCCGGATCAAGGTTCGCCCCGGATCAAGGTTCGCCCCCGGATCAAGGTTCGCCCCCGGATCAAGGTTCGCCCCGGATCAAGGTTCGCCCCCGGATCAAGGTTCGCCCCCGGATCAAGGTTCGCCCCCGGATCAAGGTTCGCCCCCGGATCAAGGTTCGCCCCCGGATCAAGGTTCGCCCCCGGATCAAGGTTCGCCCCCGGATCAAGGTTCGCCCCCGGATCAAGGTTCGCCCCCGGATCAAGGTTCGCCCCCGGATCAAGGTTCGCCCCGGATCAAGGTTCGCCCCGGGTTCAAGGTTCGCCCCCGGATCAAGGTTCGCCCCCGGATCAAGGTTCGCCCCCGGATCAAGGTTCGCCCCCGGATCAAGGTTCGCCCCCGATTCAAGGTTCGCCCCCGGATCAAGGTTCGCCCCCGGATCAAGGTTCGCCCCCGGATCAAGGTTCGCCCCCGGATCAAGGTTCGCCCCCGGATCAAGGTTCGCCCCCGGATCAAGGTTCGCCCCCGGATCAAGGTTCGCCCCCGGATCAAGGTTCGCCCCCGGATCAAGGTTCGCCCCCGGATCAAGGTTCGCCCCCGGATCAAGGTTCGCCCCCGGATCAAGGTTCGCCCCCGGATCAAGGTTCGCCCCCGGATCAAGGTTCGCCCCCGGATCAAGGTTCGCCCCCGGATCAAGGTTCGCCCCCGGATCAAGGTTCGCCCCCGGATCAAGGTTCGCCCCCGGATCAAGGTTCGCCCCCGGATCAAGGTTCGCCCCCGGATCAAGGTTCGCCCCCGGATCAAGGTTCGCCCCCGGATCAAGGTTCGCCCCCGGATCAAGGTTCGCCCCGGGTTCAAGGTTCGCCCCCGGATCAAGGTTCGCCCCCGGATCAAGGTTCGCCCCCGGATCAAGGTTCGCCCCCGGATCAAGGTTCGCCCCCGGATCAAGGTTCGCCCCCGGATCAAGGTTCGCCCCCGGATCAAGGTTCGCCCCCGGATCAAGGTTCGCCCCCGGATCAAGGTTCGCCCCCGGATCAAGGTTCGCCCCCGGATCAAGGTTCGCCCCCGGATCAAGGTTCGCCCCCGGATTAAGGTTCGCCCCCGGATTAAGGTTCGCCCCCGGATTAAGGTTCGCCCCCGGATTAAGGTTCGCCCCCGGATTAAGGTTCGCCCCCGGATTAAGGTTCGCCCCCGGATTAAGGTTCGCCCCCGGATTAAGGTTCGCCCCCGGATTAAGGTTCGCCCCCGGATTAAGGTTCGCCCCCGGATTAAGGTTCGCCCCCGGATTAAGGTTCGCCCCCGGATTAAGGTTCGCCCCCGGATTAAGGTTCGCCCCCGGATTAAGGTTCGCCCCCGGATTAAGGTTCGCCCCCGGATTAAGGTTCGCCCCCGGATTAAGGTTCGCCCCCGGATTAAGGTTCGCCCCCGGATTAAGGTTCGCCCCCGGATTAAGGTTCGCCCCCGGATTAAGGTTCGCCCCCGGATTAAGGTTCGCCCCCGGATTAAGGTTCGCCCCCGGATTAAGGTTCGCCCCCGGATTAAGGTTCGCCCCCGGATTAAGGTTCGCCCCCGGATTAAGGTTCGCCCCCGGATTAAGGTTCGCCCCCGGATTAAGGTTCGCCCCCGGATTAAGGTTCGCCCCCGGATTAAGGTTCGCCCCCGGATTAAGGTTCGCCCCCGGATTAAGGTTCGCCCCCGGATTAAGGTTCGCCCCCGGATTAAGGTTCGCCCCCGGATTAAGGTTCGCCCCCGGATTAAGGTTCGCCCCCGGATTAAGGTTCGCCCCCGGATTAAGGTTCGCCCCCGGATTAAGGTTCGCCCCCGGATTAAGGTTCGCCCCCGGATTAAGGTTCGCCCCCGGATTAAGGTTCGCCCCCGGATTAAGGTTCGCCCCGGATCAAGGTTCGCCCCCGGATCAAGGTTCGCCCCCGGATCAAGGTTCGCCCCCGGATCAAGGTTCGCCCCGGATCAAGGTTCGCCCCCGGATCAAGGTTCGCCCCCGGATCAAGGTTCGCCCCCGGATCAAGGTTCGCCCCCGGATCAAGGTTCGCCCCCGGATCAAGGTTCGCCCCCGGATCAAGGTTCGCCCCCGGATCAAGGTTCGCCCCCGGATCAAGGTTCGCCCCCGGATCAAGGTTCGCCCCCGGATCAAGGTTCGCCCCCGGATCAAGGTTCGCCCCCGGATCAAGGTTCGCCCCCGGATCAAGGTTCGCCCCCGGATCAAGGTTCGCCCCCGGATCAAGGTTCGCCCCCGGATCAAGGTTCGCCCCCGGATCAAGGTTCGCCCCCGGATCAAGGTTCGCCCCCGGATCAAGGTTCGCCCCCGGATCAAGGTTCGCCCCCGGATCAAGGTTCGCCCCCGGATCAAGGTTCGCCCCCGGATCAAGGTTCGCCCCGGATCAAGGTTCGCCCCCGGATCAAGGTTCGCCCCCGGATCAAGGTTCGCCCCCGGATCAAGGTTCGCCCCGGATCAATTCCCCCCGGATCAAGGTTCGCCCCCGGATCAAGGTTCGCCCCCGGATCAAGGTTCGCCCCCGGATCAAGGTTCGCCCCCGGATCAAGGTTCGCCCCCGGATCAAGGTTCGCCCCCGGATCAAGGTTCGCCCCCGGATCAAGGTTCGCCCCCGGATCAAGGTTCGCCCCCGGATCAAGGTTCGCCCCCGGATCAAGGTTCGCCCCCGGATCAAGGTTCGCCCCCGGATCAAGGTTCGCCCCCGGATCAAGGTTCGCCCCCGGATCAAGGTTCGCCCCCGGATCAAGGTTCGCCCCCGGATCAAGGTTCGCCCCCGGATCAAGGTTCGCCCCCGGATCAAGGTTCGCCCCCGGATCAAGGTTCGCCCCCGGATCAAGGTTCGCCCCGGGATCAAGGTTCGCCCCGGATCAAGGTTCGCCCCCGGATCAGGTTCGCCCCCGGATCAAGGTTCGCCCCCGGATCGAGGTTCGCCCCCGGATCGAGGTTCGCCCCCGGATCGAGGTTCGCCCCCGGATCGAGGTTCGCCCCCGGATCGAGGTTCGCCCCCGGATCGAGGTTCGCCCCCGGATCGAGGTTCGCCCCCGGATCGAGGTTCGCCCCCGGATCGAGGTTCGCCCCCGGATCGAGGTTCGCCCCCGGATCGAGGTTCGCCCCCGGATCGAGGTTCGCCCCCGGATCGAGGTTCGCCCCCGGATCGAGGTTCGCCCCCGGATCGAGGTTCGCCCCCGGATCGAGGTTCGCCCCCGGATCGAGGTTCGCCCCCGGATCGAGGTTCGCCCCCGGATCGAGGTTCGCCCCCGGATCGAGGTTCGCCCCCGGATCGAGGTTCGCCCCCGGATCGAGGTTCGCCCCCGGATCGAGGTTCGCCCCCGGATCGAGGTTCGCCCCCGGATCGAGGTTCGCCCCCGGATCGAGGTTCGCCCCCGGATCGAGGTTCGCCCCCGGATCGAGGTTCGCCCCCGGATCGAGGTTCGCCCCCGGATCGAGGTTCGCCCCCGGATCGAGGTTCGCCCCCGGATCGAGGTTCGCCCCCGGATCGAGGTTCGCCCCCGGATCGAGGTTCGCCCCCGGATCGAGGTTCGCCCCCGGATCGAGGTTCGCCCCCGGATCGAGGTTCGCCCCCGGATCGAGGTTCGCCCCCGGATCGAGGTTCGCCCCCGGATCGAGGTTCGCCCCCGGATCGAGGTTCGCCCCCGGATCGAGGTTCGCCCCCGGATCGAGGTTCGCCCCCGGATCGAGGTTCGCCCCCGGATCGAGGTTCGCCCCCGGATCGAGGTTCGCCCCCGGATCGAGGTTCGCCCCCGGATCGAGGTTCGCCCCCGGATCGAGGTTCGCCCCCGGATCGAGGTTCGCCCCCGGATCGAGGTTCGCCCCCGGATCGAGGTTCGCCCCCGGATCGAGGTTCGCCCCCGGATCGAGGTTCGCCCCCGGATCGAGGTTCGCCCCCGGATCGAGGTTCGCCCCCGGATCGAGGTTCGCCCCCGGATCGAGGTTCGCCCCCGGATCGAGGTTCGCCCCCGGATCGAGGTTCGCCCCCGGATCGAGGTTCGCCCCCGGATCGAGGTTCGCCCCCGGATCGAGGTTCGCCCCCGGATCGAGGTTCGCCCCCGGATCGAGGTTCGCCCCCGGATCGAGGTTCGCCCCCGGATCGAGGTTCGCCCCCGGATCGAGGTTCGCCCCCGGATCGAGGTTCGCCCCCGGATCGAGGTTCGCCCCCGGATCGAGGTTCGCCCCCGGATCGAGGTTCGCCCCCGGATCGAGGTTCGCCCCCGGATCGAGGTTCGCCCCCGGATCGAGGTTCGCCCCCGGATCGAGGTTCGCCCCCGGATCGAGGTTCGCCCCCGGATCGAGGTTCGCCCCCGGATCGAGGTTCGCCCCCGGATCGAGGTTCGCCCCCGGATCGAGGTTCGCCCCCGGATCGAGGTTCGCCCCCGGATCGAGGTTCGCCCCCGGATCGAGGTTCGCCCCCGGATCGAGGTTCGCCCCCGGATCGAGGTTCGCCCCCGGATCGAGGTTCGCCCCCGGATCGAGGTTCGCCCCCGGATCGAGGTTCGCCCCCGGATCGAGGTTCGCCCCCGGATCGAGGTTCGCCCCCGGATCGAGGTTCGCCCCCGGATCGAGGTTCGCCCCCGGATCGAGGTTCGCCCCCGGATCGAGGTTCGCCCCCGGATCGAGGTTCGCCCCCGGATCGAGGTTCGCCCCCGGATCGAGGTTCGCCCCCGGATCGAGGTTCGCCCCCGGATCGAGGTTCGCCCCCGGATCGAGGTTCGCCCCCGGATCGAGGTTCGCCCCCGGATCGAGGTTCGCCCCCGGATCGAGGTTCGCCCCCGGATCGAGGTTCGCCCCCGGATCGAGGTTCGCCCCCGGATCGAGGTTCGCCCCCGGATCAGGTTCGCCCCCGGATCAGGTTCGCCCCCGGATTCAGGTTCGCCCCCGGATTCAGGTTCGCCCCCGGATTCAGGTTCGCCCCCGGATTCAGGTTCGCCCCCGGATTCAGGTTCGCCCCCGGATTCAGGTTCGCCCCCGGATTCAGGTTCGCCCCCGGATCAGGTTCGCCCCCGGATCAGGTTCGCCCCCGGATCAAGGTTCGCCCCCGGATCAAGGTTCGCCCCCGGATCAAGGTTCGCCCCCGGATCAAGGTTCGCCCCCGGATCAAGGTTCGCCCCCGGATCAAGGTTCGCCCCCGGATCAAGGTTCGCCCCCGGATCAAGGTTCGCCCCCGGATCAAGGTTCGCCCCCGGATCAAGGTTCGCCCCCGGATCAAGGTTCGCCCCCGGATCAAGGTTCGCCCCCGGATCAAGGTTCGCCCCCGGATCAAGGTTCGCCCCCGGATCAAGGTTCGCCCCCGGATCAAGGTTCGCCCCCGGATCAAGGTTCGCCCCCGGATCAAGGTTCGCCCCCGGATCAAGGTTCGCCCCCGGATCAAGGTTCGCCCCCGGATCAAGGTTCGCCCCCGGATCAAGGTTCGCCCCCGGATCAAGGTTCGCCCCCGGATCAAGGTTCGCCCCCGGATCAAGGTTCGCCCCCGGATCAAGGTTCGCCCCCGGATCAAGGTTCGCCCCCGGATCAAGGTTCGCCCCGGATCAAGGTTCGCCCCCGGATCAAGGTTCGCCCCCGGATCAAGGTTCGCCCCCGGATCAAGGTTCGCCCCCGGATCAAGGTTCGCCCCCGGATCAAGGTTCGCCCCCGGATCAAGGTTCGCCCCCGGATCAAGGTTCGCCCCCGGATCAAGGTTCGCCCCGGATCAAGGTTCGCCCCCGGATCAAGGTTCGCCCCCGGATCAAGGTTCGCCCCCGGATCGAGGTTCGCCCCCGGATCGAGGTTCGCCCCCGGATCGAGGTTCGCCCCCGGATCGAGGTTCGCCCCCGGATCGAGGTTCGCCCCCGGATCGAGGTTCGCCCCCGGATCGAGGTTCGCCCCCGGATCGAGGTTCGCCCCCGGATCGAGGTTCGCCCCCGGATCGAGGTTCGCCCCCGGATCGAGGTTCGCCCCCGGATCGAGGTTCGCCCCCGGATCGAGGTTCGCCCCCGGATCGAGGTTCGCCCCCGGATCGAGGTTCGCCCCCGGATCGAGGTTCGCCCCCGGATCGAGGTTCGCCCCCGGATCGAGGTTCGCCCCCGGATCGAGGTTCGCCCCCGGATCGAGGTTCGCCCCCGGATCGAGGTTCGCCCCCGGATCGAGGTTCGCCCCCGGATCGAGGTTCGCCCCCGGATCGAGGTTCGCCCCCGGATCGAGGTTCGCCCCCGGATCGAGGTTCGCCCCCGGATCGAGGTTCGCCCCCGGATCGAGGTTCGCCCCCGGATCGAGGTTCGCCCCCGGATCGAGGTTCGCCCCCGGATCGAGGTTCGCCCCCGGATCGAGGTTCGCCCCCGGATCGAGGTTCGCCCCCGGATCGAGGTTCGCCCCCGGATCGAGGTTCGCCCCCGGATCGAGGTTCGCCCCCGGATCGAGGTTCGCCCCCGGATCGAGGTTCGCCCCCGGATCGAGGTTCGCCCCCGGATCGAGGTTCGCCCCCGGATCGAGGTTCGCCCCCGGATCGAGGTTCGCCCCCGGATCGAGGTTCGCCCCCGGATCGAGGTTCGCCCCCGGATCGAGGTTCGCCCCCGGATCGAGGTTCGCCCCCGGATCGAGGTTCGCCCCCGGATCGAGGTTCGCCCCCGGATCGAGGTTCGCCCCCGGATCGAGGTTCGCCCCCGGATCGAGGTTCGCCCCCGGATCGAGGTTCGCCCCCGGATCGAGGTTCGCCCCCGGATCGAGGTTCGCCCCCGGATCGAGGTTCGCCCCCGGATCGAGGTTCGCCCCCGGATCGAGGTTCGCCCCCGGATCGAGGTTCGCCCCCGGATCGAGGTTCGCCCCCGGATCGAGGTTCGCCCCCGGATCGAGGTTCGCCCCCGGATCGAGGTTCGCCCCCGGATCGAGGTTCGCCCCCGGATCGAGGTTCGCCCCCGGATCGAGGTTCGCCCCCGGATCGAGGTTCGCCCCCGGATCGAGGTTCGCCCCCGGATCGAGGTTCGCCCCCGGATCGAGGTTCGCCCCCGGATCGAGGTTCGCCCCCGGATCGAGGTTCGCCCCCGGATCGAGGTTCGCCCCCGGATCGAGGTTCGCCCCCGGATCGAGGTTCGCCCCCGGATCGAGGTTCGCCCCCGGATCGAGGTTCGCCCCCGGATCGAGGTTCGCCCCCGGATCAAGGTTCGCCCCCGGATCAGGTTCGCCCCCGGATCAAGGTTCGCCCCCGGATCAAGGTTCGCCCCCGGATCAAGGTTCGCCCCCGGATTCAGGTTCGCCCCCGGATTCAGGTTCGCCCCCGGATTCAGGTTCGCCCCCGGATTCAGGTTCGCCCCCGGATTCAGGTTCGCCCCCGGATTCAGGTTCGCCCCCGGATTCAGGTTCGCCCCCGGATTCAGGTTCGCCCCCGGATTCAGGTTCGCCCCGGATTCAGGTTCGCCCCGGATCAAGGTTCGCCCCCGGATCAAGGTTCGCCCCCGGATCAAGGTTCGCCCCCGGATCAAGGTTCGCCCCCGGATCAAGGTTCGCCCCCGGATCAAGGTTCGCCCCCGGATCAAGGTTCGCCCCCGGATCAAGGTTCGCCCCCGGATCAAGGTTCGCCCCCGGATCAAGGTTCGCCCCCGGATCAAGGTTCGCCCCCGGATCAAGGTTCGCCCCCGGATCAAGGTTCGCCCCCGGATCAAGGTTCGCCCCCGGATCAAGGTTCGCCCCCGGATCAAGGTTCGCCCCCGGATCAAGGTTCGCCCCCGGATCAAGGTTCGCCCCCGGATCAAGGTTCGCCCCCGGATCAAGGTTCGCCCCCGGATCAAGGTTCGCCCCCGGATCAAGGTTCGCCCCCGGATCAAGGTTCGCCCCCGGATCAAGGTTCGCCCCCGGATCAAGGTTCGCCCCCGGATCAAGGTTCGCCCCGGGATCAAGGTTCGCCCCGGGATCAAGGTTCGCCCCCGGATCAAGGTTCGCCCCCGGATCAAGGTTCGCCCCCGGATCAAGGTTCGCCCCCGGATCAAGGTTCGCCCCCGGATCAAGGTTCGCCCCCGGATCAAGGTTCGCCCCCGGATCAAGGTTCGCCCCCGGATCAAGGTTCGCCCCCGGATCAAGGTTCGCCCCCGGATCAAGGTTCGCCCCCGGATCAAGGTTCGCCCCGGATCAAGGTTCGCCCCGGATCAAGGTTCGCCCCGGATTCAGGTTCGCCCCGGATTCAGGTTCACCCCTGGATTAGGTTCACCCCTGGATTAAGGTTCACCCCTGGATTAAGGTTCACCCCTGGATTAAGGTTCACCCCTGGATTAAGGTTCACCCCTGGATTAAGGTTCACCCCTGGATTAAGGTTCACCCCTGGATTAAGGTTCACCCCTGGATTAAGGTTCACCCCTGGATTAAGGTTCACCCCTGGATTAAGGTTCACCCCTGGATTAAGGTTCACCCCTGGATTAAGGTTCACCCCTGGATTAAGGTTCACCCCTGGATTAAGGTTCACCCCTGGATTAAGGTTCACCCCTGGATTAAGGTTCACCCCTGGATTAAGGTTCACCCCTGGATTAAGGTTCACCCCTGGATTAAGGTTCACCCCTGGATTAAGGTTCACCCCTGGATTAAGGTTCACCCCTGGATTAAGGTTCACCCCTGGATTAAGGTTCACCCCTGGATTAAGGTTCACCCCTGGATTAAGGTTCACCCCTGGATTAAGGTTCACCCCTGGATTAAGGTTCACCCCTGGATTAAGGTTCACCCCTGGATTAAGGTTCACCCCTGGATTAAGGTTCACCCCTGGATTAAGGTTCACCCCTGGATTAAGGTTCACCCCTGGATTAAGGTTCACCCCTGGATTAAGGTTCACCCCTGGATTAAGGTTCACCCCTGGATTAAGGTTCACCCCTGGATTAAGGTTCACCCCTGGATTAAGGTTCACCCCTGGATTAAGGTTCACCCCTGGATTAAGGTTCACCCCTGGATTAAGGTTCACCCCTGGATTAAGGTTCACCCCTGGATTAAGGTTCACCCCTGGATTAAGGTTCACCCCTGGATTAAGGTTCACCCCTGGATTAAGGTTCACCCCTGGATTAAGGTTCACCCCTGGATTAAGGTTCACCCCTGGATTAAGGTTCACCCCTGGATTAAGGTTCACCCCTGGATTAAGGTTCACCCCTGGATTAAGGTTCACCCCTGGATTAAGGTTCACCCCTGGATTAAGGTTCACCCCTGGATTAAGGTTCACCCCTGGATTAAGGTTCACCCCTGGATTAAGGTTCACCCCTGGATTAAGGTTCACCCCTGGATTAAGGTTCACCCCTGGATTAAGGTTCACCCCTGGATTAAGGTTCACCCCTGGATTAAGGTTCACCCCTGGATTAAGGTTCACCCCTGGATTAAGGTTCACCCCTGGATTAAGGTTCACCCCTGGATTAAGGTTCACCCCTGGATTAAGGTTCACCCCTGGATTAAGGTTCACCCCTGGATTAAGGTTCACCCCTGGATTAAGGTTCACCCCTGGATTAAGGTTCACCCCTGGATTAAGGTTCACCCCTGGATTAAGGTTCACCCCTGGATTAAGGTTCACCCCTGGATTAAGGTTCACCCCTGGATTAAGGTTCACCCCTGGATTAAGGTTCACCCCTGGATTAAGGTTCACCCCTGGATTAAGGTTCACCCCTGGATTAAGGTTCACCCCTGGATTAAGGTTCACCCCTGGATTAAGGTTCACCCCTGGATTAAGGTTCACCCCTGGATTAAGGTTCACCCCTGGATTAAGGTTCACCCCTGGATTAAGGTTCACCCCTGGATTAAGGTTCACCCCTGGATTAAGGTTCACCCCTGGATTAAGGTTCACCCCTGGATTAAGGTTCACCCCTGGATTAAGGTTCACCCCTGGATTAAGGTTCACCCCTGGATTAAGGTTCACCCCTGGATTAAGGTTCACCCCTGGATTAAGGTTCACCCCTGGATTAAGGTTCACCCCTGGATTAAGGTTCACCCCTGGATTAAGGTTCACCCCTGGATTAAGGTTCACCCCTGGATTAAGGTTCACCCCTGGATTAAGGTTCACCCCTGGATTAAGGTTCACCCCTGGATTAAGGTTCACCCCTGGATTAAGGTTCACCCCTGGATTAAGGTTCACCCCTGGATTAAGGTTCACCCCTGGATTAAGGTTCACCCCTGGATTAAGGTTCACCCCTGGATTAAGGTTCACCCCTGGATTAAGGTTCACCCCTGGATTAAGGTTCACCCCTGGATTAAGGTTCACCCCTGGATTAAGGTTCACCCCTGGATTAAGGTTCACCCCTGGATTAAGGTTCACCCCTGGATTAAGGTTCACCCCTGGATTAAGGTTCACCCCTGGATTAAGGTTCACCCCTGGATTAAGGTTCACCCCTGGATTAAGGTTCACCCCTGGATTAAGGTTCACCCCTGGATTAAGGTTCACCCCTGGATTAAGGTTCACCCCTGGATTAAGGTTCACCCCTGGATTAAGGTTCACCCCTGGATTAAGGTTCACCCCTGGATTAAGGTTCACCCCTGGATTAAGGTTCACCCCTGGATTAAGGTTCACCCCTGGATTAAGGTTCACCCCTGGATTAAGGTTCACCCCATTCTTGTAGTCCCCGGCACCAACGCCCCTCAAGTGAGACTTGTACTCCCCACAGGTGTGACCTATCTAGCCTCCCTGTGCTGAGCTGATGACCTTGTTTGGTGCCCTTCCTCCTACTGCCATTGTTCTGATGCGGCATCTTGTTTATGGCGACTCTGGAAGTTATGAACTATTAAGGTGAATCAATTCCCTTCACTCTACGTCATGTCCCCGCGCTAATGTTTCCAGGTGATAGCTCTGCTGATGCGGGCGATCGGGTGGGCGGGAGCGGCAGTGCTGGCTCTGGAGACAATGAAGAGGCTGCTAGCGCCGACCAACAGATCTCGAGACGTCATTGTTGCACAGGCGCTCAGGTCAGCATGGCGGCAGGTGTTTTTTCATGTGCGCCATTGCACATCCGCCAAGTGAGCAACAGGGCATGGGCTTAGCACGCGCTGATATTATTCACTGTCTGGTGTTATTTTGCTGTGTTGCCCAGGAACGGCCTGGTGCAGGTCCTGCTGGCAATCCTTGACTGGCGGGCAGGCGGAAAAGCTTCGCTGGCTGCCCGGATGCGGTGGAGCGAATCAGAGGCAGCGGTGGGGCGAGTGCTGGCAGTGGAAATCCTGAAGCTGCTGGGGGCAGATGGGGCCTACTCCATCCGAGTACAAGAGATTCTCAACGGCTCTGAGGTGAGATGCTCAAATGGCTGAGGTGAGATTGTGTTGCCAAGTTCTGATGCGCCTCAAAGGTGCTGAAGCTGCTGGGGGCAGATGGGGCCTACGCCATCCGAGTGCAAGAGATTCTCAATGGCTCTGAGGTGAGGCATTACGTGTGGTAAGTTCCGATGCGCCTCAAGGTGCTGAAGCTGCTGGGAGCTGATGGGGCCTACTTCATCCGTGTGCTGAGATTCTGAATGGCTCTCAGGTGAGGCTTGCGACGATTCTGAGGTGAGCCGTTTCATAGGCCCAGGTCTGAGGCGCCTCAAATGTCCTGAAGCTGCTGGGGGCAGATGGGGCCGACCCCATCCGTGTGCTCGAGATCCTGAATGGCTCCCAGGTGAGGTTTGCAGCAGCGCTGAGGTGACGAATCCCCCAGGCGGTTCACAAGCTCTCAAACACCACCTCTTCCAGTTATTCCGGTTCAATGCTCCACCTTTCCTGACTTCATCACCTTCCCTTCTTCCACCCGCCGCCCCTGCCCCCCCAACCCCCCACCCCCGCACCAGGTGTGGAGGGCTTTCAAGGACCAGAAGCACGACCTCTTCCTCCCCACCAACGTGCAGTCATCTGGTGCCGGTGTGGCCGGCCTGCTGCACGGCGCTGGCTCTGCTGCCCTCGCCCTCCCTGCCCCTGCCGCCCCTCCCACCACCGCTGCTCCCGCTGCTGCTCCCGCTGCTGCCCCGTCTGCTGCTCCGGCTGCTCCTGCTGTTGCTCCGGCCCTTGCTCCTGCTGCTACTCTCTCCTCTTCTCCTCTGCATCCTGTGGAAGCTGCTAGAAGCACCTCTTCTGCTGCTGCAGTGCCTGCCCATCATTCACCAGTCCCCACCAGCACTCATCTCCCACATGCCTCACACTCCTCTCCCTCTCTCCTGCCCCTCTCCTCCATGCCCACACCTCTCTCTCCCGCCCATCCTGTACCCACTCACTCTCATCTTGCACACAAACCCTTCACTCCCTCGCAACCTGCCACAACCACACTCAATCCCTCTCCTGCCTTAACAGCTTTCTCACCCTCCCCTTCCTTCCCAGCCACTGTCCCAACCGCTACATCTCTCCCGAACCACTCCCAAGCCTTTGACCCGCTCTTAGGTTCGACACCAGGGCTGGTATCACCAACAGGAGGTTCGGGTGCAGGTATGGCTGGAATGGCAGCTTCGGCAGCAACTCGCCCCTCTGTAGAAGAGACAGGAGGGGCAGTTGCAAGAGTAGCAGCAGGGGCACGAACCTCTGGCGCTGTGGCAGGGTCTGCTGCAGGTTTGGCGGCGCCTGCTGTAGTCTCGGCCTCAGATTTTGATAGAGTGGTGGAAGAGAAAATGCTAGGAGGGGGCATTGGTGGGGCTGCTGCTCAGGTTTCTGGTCAGGTGACTGGTCAGGTGGTTCAGGTGGCTGGGCAGGTGAAACAACAAAATGCTTCTAGAGAGGGGAAGGCAAGGTTGGAGGATGAAGGGTTTTTGGTGCTTGGGAGGCAGGAGAAAGGGGTTACGGATAATGGGAATGAGGGTTATGGGGGTGAAGAGGAAGAGGAGGTTGCAAGGCAGCCCATAGGGTTGGATGCTGCCCCCTTGTAGCTTCTCACCAATTGGTGCGTACCATGTATGGTTGCTGTAGGAAATGCTATTGTAATCCAACCCAAGTGTTTTTAGCACAATGCACAGGTAGGTACCATACCATGCATCCAATGCATGAATCTGGTTGCAGCCAATCTGTTTTGTTTATTTTTCAAGTACTGTATGTGTTGTGTTGCGTTGAAGTGTAGCTGAATCAACTTGTACCGTATTCCCCAAAGGACACGCATTCGCTTGCCGAAGCAGGCCCTGCCACGTTTCTCCTCGCCCCACACCAGTCTCGTTCCGAAGCTTGTCGAAACCCTAATTTTCCGTTCCTCCACGTTTCCACATCCGTTAGCGGAGGCAACGCATCAGTCGTCTTGTAATTCTCCTAGGTATCCCCGTCGCTCGCCTTGCTAGCATCTCAGGAAGTCCGCTTTTTCCGTTGTCGGCCCGCTGCTCGCGTTCCGAGCTTCCCGCCAGCATGGCTTCCGCGCTTAGAGCGTCTCTGGCGCCTGCGGGGCTCGGCGCGGCCGCGCTCTCCGCGTCTCCGCTCGGCGGGAGAAAGGAGCACCTCGGCGCGTCTCTCCCCGCGTCCGCCGCCGGGTCTCACGGCAGAGTGACCATGGCGTTGCGCGCTCGCCGCGACCCGCGGCTGATTGCGCCGGTAAACGACAAATTCCTCCCGTGGCTGGCGGAAGTCGCGCGGTCCGACGAGGGGCGCGCGCAGATCGCCGACGCGGCGAGCGGGCGGTTCGATGGACCGCCGCTGCTAGACCTCGCCGCGGCGAAAATGGCGGCGACGCAAATGGCGGCGCCCGCGCAAGTCGAGCGAGGCGGAGGGTACGGCGAGCACCGGCCGCGACGGCCGCCGCCGGATCTGCCGTCGCTGCTGCTGAACAGCCGAATCGTGTACATCGGCATGCCGGTGGGTGCTCCCATCGTGCAAGCGAGAAATAATTTTGCTGCTCTCGGCGGTAACGGAGCTGGTGATGGCGCAGCTGCTGTACCTGCGCTGCCTCGTGCTCCCTGCTCTCCGCACACTCATCAAACCCTTCTCCGCCCCTCCCTCCCACCTCAAACTCCATCCCGGAACGTGCTGTTGGTGCCAGCGGTAACGGAGCTGGTGATAGTGCAGCTGCTGTACCTGCACTTGCTCATCTCCTCGTTATCCTTTACCTCCTTGTCCCCCCTGGTTGCAGCTCGTCCCAGCAGTGACAGAGCTGGTGATAGCACAGCTGCTGTACCTGCAGTGGCTGGATCCGCGTCAGCCCACGTACGTCTACCTCAACTCCACTGGCACTTCCCGCGCTGACGGCGAAACTGTGAGTCACCCTGACGTGGCAAGGTGACGTGACAAGTGACGTGGAAAAGGTGACTTGCCAGCACACGTGAGGTCCTGTGAGTCCTGTATAAAGCTTGCCAGATACTTGGCTGTGTGAATCCAATCCGCTGCTTAGTACCCCCACTCTCTATCTTCCCTTCTTTCTCCGCCCCTTCTGCTCCCCTTCCTTTCGTTTCGTTCCTAACCCCCTGTTCTTCACCTCTCCCCTCCCCCCCCCCCCCCCCCCCCCCCTCTCATTGCCGTGGCCGTGACCACGTGGGCATGGAGACAGAGGGGTTTGCCATTTACAACTCCATGGGGCCTCTCTTTCCATTTTTTCCTCCCCTTTCCTTTCCCTCCCTTCCCGTCCCCTTCCGCCCCTCACTTCTTGCCGCCCTTCACTTCTTGCCCTTCCTCCCCACTCCCCCTTTCATTGCCGTGGGTGCGAGCAGGTGGGCATGGAAACAGAGGGGTTTGCCATCTACGACACCATGATGCAGATGAAGAACGAGGTACGGTGCAGAGGAGAGAGTGAGGTGCGGTGCAGAGGAGTGAGGCGCGGTGCAGAGGAGTGAGGCGCGGTGCAGAGGAGTGAGGCGCGGTGCAGAGGAGTGAGGCGCGGTGCAGAGGAGTGAGACGCGGTGCAGAGGAGTGAGGCGCGGTGCAGAGGAGTGAGGTGCGGTGCAGAGGAGTGAGGTGCGGTGCAGAGGAGTGAGGTGCGGGCAGAGGAATGAGGTACGGTGCAGGGGAGTGATGTACGGTACAGAGGAATGAGCTGCGGTTTAGAGGAATGAGGTATGGTGCACTTGAAGTATGAGTTAGGAAGGCACAGCAGTTAGCCGGATTTGAGATGGTGATCGGTTGCGATGTCGCTAACCTCTTCCTCCCTTTGGGCCCGCTCCCCCCCCCCTTCCCCCGATGCCCTCCCCTTCTCCCCCTCCTGCCCCTGCTGCCCTCCCTTCTCCCCTCCCTGCTGTCCCCCCTGCACCTTCTGCTGTTGTCCCCGCGCCCCCATCCTCTCCCCCTCCTCCTTGGAGTCATGTAGATGCAGACAGTGGGAGTGGGGGCGGCCATAGGGCAGGCGTGCATGCTGCTGGCGGCGGGGGAGAAGGGGCGGCGATTCATGTTGCCACACGCCACAGCCATGATCCAGCAGCCACGCCTGCCCTCCACTGGACAGATGTCAGCCATTGATGTGCACATCCGCGCCAAGGAGGTCCGTTGATTTGCATCCGCGCCAAGTGGGTTTGTGTTGGTGCTTTCAAGATGAATTATCCTGTCATCAGGCCATCAGCTCCTCTGTTTTTTTTTTTTTTTTTTTTTTTTTTAATGTAAACAGGTGTTATCCATTTTTTTCCTCCTCCTCTTCTTTCATCTTCCCTGCTCCCCCCTATCACCCCTATTCCAGGTAGTTAACAACAGGGACACTCTTGTTAAGCTTCTTGCTCGTCACACAGGCAATGTACGTTCAAGTCTCTACTTCTTGATTCTGTTATCCTTAGTCACTATTGAGACAATGGCCTGACAATGAAGGGTACATGCACTCCATCTCACAGCACTCCACCTCACAGCACTCCATCTCACAGCACTCCATCCCACAGCACCGCATCTCACATCCTCTCGGTTCTCTTACTCTCTAATCTCGTGCTCTCTTCTCTTCTTCGGCAGTCCTTTGAGAAGATAGCCAAGACGATGGAGCGCCCGTACTACATGAACCCACAGAGGGCCCTCGAGTTTGGAGTGATTGACAAGGTGGGTGAGAGGGGTGTTTCTGCACATTGACTCACTAGTCGTTTTTTGACTCACACTAGTCGCCTCAAAAATTGACAAGGTGAGTGAGAGGGGTGTTTCTGCACATTGACTCACTAGTGTGTGTAGAGGGAACCTCCACAAGTGAACTTAAACCTGCACTGGTCAAACCCACTCTCTCTCTCTCTCTCTCTCTCTCTCTCTCTCTCTCTCTCTCTCTCTCTCTCTCTCTCTCTCTCTCTCTCTCTCTCTCTCTCTCTCTCCCCTCTCTCTCTCTCTTTCTCTCTGTGTGCTGCATGTGTGTGTCCCTGCAGATCCTGTGGCGTGGCCAGGAGGCAATGGCAAAGACACTGTCAGCGGAGGAGTGGGACAAGGGGGCCGGCATTCGCATGATGGAGAAGCCTGCTGCCGCCCCCCTCTGACATGCCCTCAGAAGCTGACAAAAACTTTTGCTGCGTCTGCGCACACGCTTGCTGCTGCACTCACTCTTGCTTGCTTGCTTGGCATTGTTGCAGAATGATTCGATAGGGTACTGTGTAGGTGGAGTTATGTAGTGGCAGTATTGTCGCTGTATAGAGGTCTAGCCATGCACACAGAAACGGGTAATTTCGGGTTGTAACGAACCATTATTAACTAGGAAACATTTCCGCAAGTTATTCGGGTACAGGGTGAAGGTACAGTATCGCAGCCGGAAAATGCTACCAGAAGAATTGAAGGGGTTCAGCGCGGTACCTATGTTGGCATCCAAGAATGCACCTGTACACACCATGTAAGACCTCCCATTCACTGACTAAGCTGTATGAGCAGGTTTCCCCATCATCTTTGTCCTTCATTCTCCCTTCGCTTCAACTCCCCTCCCTCCTCCATTCCCTCTTCCCCTTCCTCCTCCATTCCCTCTTCCCCTTCCTCCTCCGCTCCACTCGCTATAAGCAGCTGCTGTACCCTCTCAACTCAACTCCCGCTCCTCTGCACGTACTTGATCGTCTGCTCACCACGTCCCTCCTCTGCATCTTTCCTTTCCAGCAACTCTTCCCCCTCCCCCCTCCTCGTCACCACCAGCTGCTGCAGTAGTCGCTTTCTCAGCGCCAACACCCATGTCCGTGCCTCTTCCCTTACAAATCTCTTCTCTCCGCTTCATCCTTCCTCTTCCCCAACCCTCGCCTCGTCACTCATTCCTTTCCTCCCCTTCATCCTTTCTTCCTTCCTCCTCCCCAGCCCCCCTCATCACCAGCAGCTGCTGCAGCCGCTTCCGCAGCTCCAGCTCCTCGGCCAGTCGCACCCGCAGCCGTGCCAGCCGGGGCACCTCTTGCTGCCAGGGAGGAAAATGGCAATTGGGGAAGAAGATAGTGAGGTGTGAGGCATGGAAAGAGTGGGGGTGTGTGTTGAGTCGACTCAGTCCAAGCCTCCAGCTCCTCGGCCAGTCACACCCGCAGCCGTGACAGCCGGGGCACCTCTTGCTGCAAGGGAGAGAGAAATGGCGATTATGAGAGATGGTAATGAGGTGGGGGGCATGAGGGGGGGTGTGTGTTGAGTCGACTCATTCTTCACCTCCAACTTCTCACCCAGTTGCACCCGCAGTCGTGCCAGCCTGGGCAGCTCTTGCTGCACTGGAGGGGAGAAAGCGATTTGTAGTGCCAGTTGTGAGGTGTGAGGCATGGGGAAAGGGGTGGGGGCAGAAAGCCAAGGCAGCTGAGAGCAGGCAGGCATGAGGTTAGGGAGAAAAACGAGCATTCAATTCAACCGGGGAATTTTTCTTGGAAGGAAGGGAGACGGCAATTGAGTTGAGAGTGCCAGTAGTAAGGTGTTAGCATAAGGGGGAGAAACAACAGGTTGGCGCTGTGCCAGGCGAAGGTGCACTAGCAAAACGTGACACGGCAAGACATTTGGGGACATCTCAGCAGAGCACCTCATAACGTCTCATAACATTCCCCGACATTTCAGAAGCTTCCACCGAAACTGTGTCTCACCCCCCAGGCAGCGGGCGAGGCAGTGAGGCCCTGAGCCTGCTCCATGAGCGATGATCCCAAGGCGACGATGCAGCCTCCCAAGCCCTCCACTCACCCCCAATCTCCCCACACTAGATTTCAAACCGCCTCTCACTCACCCCCCAGGCAGCAGGCGAGGCAGTGAGGCCCTGAGCCTGCTCCAAGAGCGATGATCCCGAGGCCACAAGGCGGTTGGTGCGGGCGGCGTGGATGGCAGTCATGAGGGCGGCAAAGTCGTCCTGATGCTCCACCTCCACTGGCAGCCACTCGTCCGTCCCTGATTGGTCCAATGAGCTCATCAGCCAATCCTGATAGTGGGTAAGTGGTAAAAAACGTTCAGGTCAAGTGGCAATCCAGGACGTAAGATGCGAAAAATGGGAGAACGGGGAAAAAAACACGGGAGTTCTGTGGAAATAAAAACTTCAGTCTGCTATGGCATGCTGCCACATGGGCCCAGTTGTGTTACCGCACGCACCCAGTTGTCGTTGAGGAGAAGCAGCATGTCAGCAGCGGAGTTGATATTCTCTGTGAGAGGCTCCAACGAGCTCAGCACCAGCATGCTTTCCAGGTAACCGGGTTACCACACGCGTGCAGCCCTAGGTGTGAGCATTCTGCTACGACATGCTACCACACGCACCCAGTTGTCGTTGAGGAGAAGCAGCATGTCAGCTGCGGAGTTGATGTTCTCAGTCAGAGGCTCCAACGAGCTCAGCACCAGCGCGTTCCCCAGCGCCGCGTGCTCCTGCACCAGGTAACCCGGTTACCAGGGAATGAAAACATCGGGTAACCAGGGAGCCGAGTTACCAGGAGAGAGCAGCGCAAGCAGGGTTAGGGAGGTGGCCGAGACGAAACGAGGAACGACCCGTGGATCAACAAGGTGAATAAAAAGCCGGAGGCTCAGGAAGAACCGAGGTGATCCTTACCATTAGAAGCTTGTCTCTCACCTTCCGGAGCTGCAGTTCCAGCTCCATGCTGGTAACCAGCCGCTCTTCGTCAACGGCAGCCATGACTGTGTTCCACTTCGCGCGAATCTCCTCGTCCGTGCTCTTCGCGTAGCTGCTAGCATCGTTCGGATTTCGCACGTTTCTACTAATTGAGGCCTGGATGGCTGCTGAAACAGCACCACGCGATGCCTGTCCAGTGCCTCCGTGAACCATGATGTCTCTCCCATAGTTCGGATCCCTCTCGTTGCGATTCGCGACCTGTAAGGCTGCCATATTTTCACTGCGCGATGCCCGTCCAGTGCCTCCGTGAACAACGATATCTCTAGAACTAGTAACCGCATCGGCCCTGCTGGGACGAAGTCGATTGCGGTCTCGGTTCATGGTAACGGCTCGTAGGGGAATGACAGCCGATTAGAACGATCTAGTACGCATGTGACTCCTAATGCGTAGACATGGGCTAAGCCAGGTTTAGTATGATTGCGAAAGCTCCAACCCTAGTGCCATCACCAGCAGCACGTACTCAGAATGTCACACCATCCGCTATCATACGTTGATTCTGGTACTGGCCGTGTGTATTTCTCAATTGCTTGTGCGCGATGCGTATTTTCGGATTTGTTGAAAATACTCCCTAGAAAATGTCGAGCATATTAGCGAGAGTGGTGGTGGTGGCTCCAGGGAACAATTCTCGAACAAATCCTTCTGACAAACAATGTTATCCGCGATCATAACAGATGCGAATAGCATGAATTTGTGGTAGGATATATGTACAGAAGAAGTTTGCACCAGCTCTCACATATTTTCTTTGATTACCAGCTGTCATGCATGTCAAACAGAAGAAGCCGGGGGGCGCACCAACAAGCGGCTCTTGGTTCGCCGCGTGTCAAAGCAACCCGCCTGTCAAAACATGTGGCTCGCAGCGCTGTTCCTCCCCTACCCCCCACCCCCGTCATGGGGCTATCGTTTCGCAAGAACCTTGAGCAAGAAACGGACGGAAAGCTAGATTGAGGGAGGAAAGAAGCTAGATTATCTCTTGCTGCGTGCTGTCCGCTCACTGAAGCCTGCCGGTCGCCTCCAGGATACTTGTGTCTGCCTGGATTGGTTGCGCGTTGATACAGTCATCGCTTGGGCATTTTCCGTCTTCTGTGATTGTCGCCGTTGTCGCACACCGTCGTTACGAGTCGCAATGGCGTGGTCCGATTATGCGATGCTCGCAGTGTCCATCGGGCTCCCCATCGCACAGGGTTTATCTCCGCGTCGCTCTTCGGCGGCGGTGATTCGCGTGAGTCGCTGCTGTGCGTAGCCCCATGCGTAGCTGATCGTGCCAAGTTTCCGAATGCTGCGCTTTTCGTCCTCCCCTCGAGTGCGCCGTCTGCTCTCTATGGCAGTCACTTCTCAGAAACCTTAGAGAAATTCCCTTCGATTCCACGCTTTCATCGTTCGTCTTACCATGCTATTTCGCTTATCACGTACGAATGTCATTATAACTCCTCGCAAGCATGCTTGCTATCTCAATCGCAACCATAACTGTCACCATGTACAGCACCCTGTTTCTTATCTCCGTTATAGCATGACACCACAGCGTGGACAAGCCCTCTCAATATTATTCAATGCTTTGCAATCTACACTACCCTTGTCACTGTACCCAATCCAGCATGGTACAGGAGCCTGGACAAGCCCTGGTGGACCCCACCGGTGAGTGCCTGGGTCTAAACTATGAGAGAGTGTCGCCAAGTAGGGGTGGCGGTTTGGGATAAAAAATTCAAAGAGATGGAGTGAATAATTTCCAGTCGATTAGGCATTGTAGCAAGCGAGGCGTGGTGGCAAGCGAGTAAGGAAATGTTGCTGCGTTGGCGGCCAGGTCATCCGCCGAAATGCATTTTCCATACTCTGTCTCTGCCCCGCGCTGTCCCTCGGTGCATGCGCAGGGGCGGGTGTTCCCAGTGGTGTGGTGGATCAACCTCTACATCATGACGGGCGTTGCCGTGTGGCTCGTGTGGCTACGAAAAAAAACCACTCACGTCCCCTGCGACTCGTGTCCCTTTCTCTGTGTCTCTCTTGTTGCAACATGCGCAGGGGTGGGTGTTCCCAGTGGTGTGGATCAACCTCTACATCATGATGGGCGTCGCATCATGGCTCGTGTGGATGCAAGGAGGTACGCCATGCCCACAAGCGCTATCGTGCCTTCTCTTCCTCACTGCACACACCTTGCCCGGCCTGGTCCCTCGAGCGCACAAACTGCCTTCGTCCCACATTGACTCTGCTCGATGTACACTCCTTGTTTATGTGTCGTGCTGCCGTCTCTCTCTCTGCGTTGACCGTGCAGGACTTCTGAGACGTCTCAAAAGTTTATGTGTCGTGCTGCCGTCTCTCTCTGCGCTGACCGTGCAGGATTCTCCGCGCAAGCTCTCCCTCTGGGCATCTACGTGTTTCAGGTAACCTGAACCATCTCCCCTCTCACTTTTCGTCTCTTACTCTTCCCTCCTCCAAGGTCTTCCCACCCCCCACCCCTTCACCCCTCCACCCCCCCCAACCCCCTGCCCGAACCCCCTGCTCGCTCCGTTCATCCCCCCGCAAGGCATGGGATATCCCCCCTGCTCGCTCCGTTCATCCCCCCGCAAGACATGGGATATCCCCCCTGCTCGCTCCATTCATCCCTCTCTCTTGGGGATATCCCATGCCTTTCTCCCAAACCGTCGTGTTCTCTTCTCGTGTTCTCTTTTCCCTTTTTCCAAACCATCCAGCTTCTCGCGTTCTCCAGTATGAAAGCACGTCCATCCGTTTGCACAATCCAAAGGCCTTCCATGATCTCCCATCCATACTTGTATGCAATCTTCCTCTCGTGCTGATCCACCACTCTGCCGCCGTCTGCCTGTGTCTATCGCCCCCCCTCCCTGCGTGGCCTGGCCTGCACGCCAGTTGCTGCTCAACTTCCTCTGAACGCCGCTCTTCTGTGCCTTGCACAAGATTGATTCTCTCCTCCATCTGCTTTTTTTCCTTTTTAGGAATCCACCATACTGTTTATTTTCCTGCGTCTTCCCCTCGCCCCACCCCCCTCCCCCTTCCCCCACTCCCTGCGCGCCAGTTGCTTCTCAACTTCTTCTGGACGCCGCTCTTCTATGGCATGCACAAGATTGTTTGTCTCCCTCATTCGCTTTCTTACCTCAACCCACCACACTGTTTGTCTTCCTGCGTCCTCGCCCCACCCCAACCCCCTTCCCCCCCCCCCCTTCTGCGCTCCAGCTGCTGCTCAACTTCTTCTGGACGCCGCTCTTCTTTGGCATGCACAAGATTGTGAGTGGTGCAGCTGGGTTGCTGGCGTTGTGAGGCTAGTGGGGCGGCTAGTGCGGGGGCTTTGGGGCAGCAGCTATCAGGGCACCACAGTGGGTGGCTTTGGGTGGGTATCTACAAGGCAGCATTGTGGGTTGCTCTTGGTGATTATTCGCTTGGGAGGTAGCAGGTACTGTGCTTGGGAGGTAGTAGGTACTGTGCTTGGGAGGTACTGTGCTCTCTCCATAACCCCATCCCCTGTCCTTCCCTTCCCTTTCATCTTAGCCTACCGTAACTAACCTTCCGTTACTGTCCTTCCCTCCCCTTCCCCACTGCATCCCTGCAGGACTGGGCGTTGGCGGAGATAGTGCTGCTGTGGCTGTCAGTCTTCACCACCATCGTGCTCTTCTGGCCCGTTAGCAAGCTCGCTTCCATCCTCCTCTGGCCCTACATCGTCTGGTAACCACCCGCACCCTTGCTGCTTCCCACGTTCTCCCTCCTCTCAATCTACTCTTGAGTCAATTCAAGAGTCACTGCAACAAGCTAGCATCCGTTCTCCTCTGGCTCTACATCGTCTGGTAACCGTCCGCACCCTTGCTGCTTCTCACGGCACCCCTTTCTCTAGTTCTGCTTCTAGTCAACTCAAAAGTCACCTCAGCAAGTTACATCTTCTAGCTCAACGCAGTTCCGGTGTTGCATGCACTTACTCCTTCACCGCACACTGCCTCTCTCAACCCCGCTCAACCCCCCAACAGGGCGTCCATCGCCACGAGTCTCAACTGGTACATCTTTCTGCACAACGCTCCCACGCCCGGTGCTGATGGCCTTGCCCAGCCGCTCCGCTCCTCCGACTGAGCATAGAGAATACAGGAGACGATATGCGATCTGCCGCGCTGTGCTTATGAAGTTCCTTATAAATCCTGATACACAGCGCCTCTGCAGCAGTTCCTTTGCTCCTCGAACTGAGGGCCTAGAGTGCCTGTGCGACACTGTGCCTGCTCGCTTTTTGAGTCTACTCTATTTGAGTCAATTTGGGTCGATTCAATGGGATTATGCAATTTCCTCTCCTCCTTTGGTTATTACCGCTAGAGTCAACGCCACACATTGTGTTCAATCGGGTCAGGTGCTTCAGTTCACGCGCAGGGTGCACCTACCGTAGGCGCTTATTGGATTCAGGCTTCATGGTGGCACATCCCAGCAGACACCTAAATCAAAACCTTACAGCAGCGGGCCGTTTGATAATTCTTAGGTACCTATGTGGGGTGGAGTGGAAGGTGGTGCATTCAAGGAGCCATTTCACGAAAAGCTGTGAGAAGAAATCCTCACTCCGACTCCTCTTGTAGTCTAACAACGGATCTTCTCTGGTCTGGTGGTTATCTTTACCGCACTAAGCAGTGCGGAGCAGGATATTGGTCGGATACTTCACAAGGTCAGGAATGCAGAAGAGACCTGCCTGCCATGGTACTCTAGTCTAGCCTCCCTTCCATTGTCACTGATTCAGCAAGACAGCTCTGCAGCAAGTGGAACAGGCTTCTCGGGTCTCTCCTTGTAGTAGGCATGAAGGAAGAGAGACTTAGGAGGGATTAGATGCACCAGCGCGAGCTTGCCGTGCTTTTTGCTCTTCAACGTAAGGGTTATGGTAATGTTTTAAGAGCCGAACTAAGAGAGTTGTTTTTTTTGCACTCTTGCATCTGTTTGTCCTAATCAATCACAAAAGAAATGAAGTGATATTGAATATATAAGCAAGTCATTCATGACAGCAGCAGCAGCAGCCTGTGTCCTGGGAAAGGGCAGACTTCCGTCGTAGTACATCCAGATCTGAGCGGTTGTCGCAAGAAGCTCGAATTCGAAACTCCACGTGTAAAAATCCTTTCCGTCGAAAGGAATTGAGGTCTTCAATTTTGAAGTCAGTACAAATTTGGTTTGCATTGAAGCGATGTCTGACTGCGACCGTTGTGGGTTGTCTTGTGCAGGAGCTGACCCTTGACGATTGTCAAAGGTGAAGGATCTCTCGGAGTTGACGCGGCGGTCTTCTCCAGGGAGAGGAAGTCCAGCAACGCCACGTGCATAGCTTGAGCCATCAATGCTCATAGCCTGATGGCTTTCAAGAGCGTTGATGCGTGCGACTAGCTGCTCAACGACAGCGGCGTTGACGGAGGTCACCGCTGTTGTAGAGGGACTGAGTGATGTTTATAACGAGGTTGGAAACGGAAGAGGCGAGGGCGACGAGATTCGTCATGTTGGGCTGCGCGCTGCTGAGCTCAGCGAGATAATCATTGGCGCCGATGCTCACCACAAACAGCGCCTCGTCCAGCTTCTGTGGAGCAAAAAGGAGAGAAAATCAACGAAAAGGAAGATTCGAAAAAAAAAAAAAAAAAAGAGAAGGAGATTGAAGACAACGACGGAACAGATAAGAAGATGGAAACGGAAGCTGACGGGAAAGGGAGAAAACAAGGAGGGCACACGAGATCGGGATGGAAAAGGGGCGGGAGAATGGAGCGCGTACGAGATCGGGGTTGTTGGTGCGCTTGGCCTCGTTGAAGAACTTCTTGAACTCGTTGAACTGCTGCTGCAGCCCGCGCGTCTGCCGCCATGCGAAAGGGAAACCACAAGGAGGCGGAGGAAAGATGATGATGAGAAAGAAAAACGACCACGAGAAGGCGGACGGTAGAAGGTGGCTGGGACAACTACCGGGACTACATTTGAAAGTTTAGAGCACGCGGGAAAAAAAACCAAAAACGAGGCCGGACTCTTCCCAAGCGAGGAGCTGGCGAAACGTGAGAGGCTTTCTCGGTCTATTCTAGTACCTTGCCGCCGTTGGTGCCGGATTTGGCGCCGGCGCCAACCATGGCGTAATCAAGGCCAGTGAAGGGAAGCGACGCATTGCGGGGCGCGAGATCGGCGCGCGGCGAGGCGATTCCGAGGAAGTCGGCTGTTGGAAGAAGAGAGAAGGAGAGGAGGGAGAGGGAAATAGGAGGATAGAGTGGAGATTGAGGAGATAAAATTGGTAAGAAGTAGTACTAAAATTGGTAAAATTGGTAAAGGCGCCGTTTCGGGGGAGGGAGAAAGATTGGGCTTGAACATTTGTACGTTTTTTGAGAATTCTCGGAAAGAATACTGGTACCACTATCGGTGACTCCGCGACGATGAATTAGCGTCGTGCCGAGATAGTCGAGGACGAGCTTGCCGTGGGAGAAGCATAGAACTACATAAGAACTATCAAGAGCAGCAGAACGGATTTACAGCGCAGATTCGTACCGAGGTAGTCGACGACGAGCTTGCCGTCGGAGAAGCGCCCCGACGCGGGCTTGAAGCTGAGGCCATACGGCGCCTTATTCGCCTTCACGGTCGCGCGCGTGAAGAAATTCGCGTTGCCCACGTCCGCCGACTCGTCGCCGAACACGTACATCTGCGAGATCGTGGCGGCCGTCGCGGCGCGCGCGACGCACGCCAAGGCCGTGGCGAGCAGAAGCAGCGCGGAAGCAGACGCGAACCTCGAAGCCATGTTGAGGCGGGCGGAGCGGGTACTTGGCCGGCTTGTCGTGAAATTGGAAGTTTCAATAAGTTGAGAGGGCCACTGCGAGAGCAAGAGGAGGGATGTTGTGGAGCGGAGCAAGTGGCAGGCTTTATGGTCAGAGGTGGCTCACCCGAGTGTGGAGCAAGTGGAGACTTTGGAATGTAGCAGGTTGCGTTGCGGGTGGTGTGAGGAAGGGAAGACGTAAGGGGTTTTTCAATGCGGATGGCCCGCCTGCGTCGAGTCGCGCTGGAGGCGTCGCGAGGACGGGTTGTGGACGCATTACCTCCTGTAGGCCTCATGCAGAGCGGAGCGAGCTACCATTTCTGTTCATAAAATTGTGGAACTCTCTGTTCGATTTTCTATGCACCCAAAATGGTGGCTGCGAGCTTGCATGCATGTTGTGACTGGAGGGGGAATTCGAATTTCATGCATACGACACGAGATACCACCGGCAGCGAAAGATACGATTGAGCTTGAAAAATCTCGTATGAGCGTTACCTTGTTTCGTCAGTCTTTCGTGAAGTCATTCGCGACGCCGTGCAAGTTGGGACGACACTCTCATCACCTGGGGTACTGTAGGTGTGTTGTGGTGTGAGGGACGAGCCACCGCGGATCGCGTTGGGATTCAGCGATTCGAAGTGGTGCACATCATCACATTTGGGATTCAGACACAGCACCCCCCCCCATCATTTGTAACGCGGATGAATGGGAGGGCACGGGAGGAAGGTTGGATTCACGCAGAATAAAAGAAGAAACTCTATAGACTCAGATTACGAGGGGAGTGCGGACAATTACAAAGTCTGTAGCGTACAACGTGAAACACTGCCTTTCTACACTAAATCATCCTCCATAAGTCGACCACCTTGGTTCGTCAACCTTCGGAAGCTGTCGTGCGAGGCTGACGCGGCACGTGGTGGGGCCGTCGCAGCGAATCAGCAACGAGCTTTCATCGCCAAATTCACCGAACCTGGTGGAGGCACGGAGAGGCACGGTATGTGATGAAATCAGGGAGACCGACCATCAGCAGCCTTCACAAGTTACTCAATTCTGAGGCATCCCTGCGAAGTCCCCGACGCACTCCCTGTTGTTCCTAAATAGTGTCTTCTGACTCCTGATTACGAAGTTTCAGCTTAGCAGCAGAGAGCGAGTCTCGGTTTCCATCCACAGTGTTTCCGCTCTGAATGATCTGTCTTTATATTCCACGAGTCGGCGCCGTTGAAAGGTGGCTGAAATCGTTTGCGTTTATAGCGATCAGTTTCCCTTCGAGCTCGTGGCCGTAGTAGGTCGAAGTAGCACTGAAGCTACGTAAACGGTAACATCAGCGACATCGGGTGCGTTTTTTCCGCATTTCAGGCTACCTGACACCAAGGTCAGTGACCGCTGCGATATGTCGACATCAGTAACGTGACAAAATACCAGCTGCTGAATTGCTGTCACGCAGTGAGCGGATACAGAGTGAGCGGACAAACAGTGAGCGGAGCGGACACGAGGTAGGAATCTACCCTGATTATATCGACAGGGCATGTTTTGGTCCACTAACGGACGATGCTGCCGACGTCTCGAGGCGCGAGAACCACCAGATGCCACGTGTCTGCTCTGCAGAGTACTAGCAGATAATCTGGTACTTAGAGATTAGCCGCTGGTTGGAACTTAGTGACCTTAGCGCTGTACCGATTTGTCGCCATACCGATATGCCTAGGTCACGGATTCGGTCGAAGCTTTTGACTCAGCCGCACTAGGTTTAGGGTTACCAGGTTACCACCCGAGGTCTTTTGTTTAAGCGAGCACGGCCTCAAGGGTTTCGCGCCGGCTTCGCCATGCCTCGTGGTCGGCACGCGCCTGTGAGCTGGGCGACGGTGCTGCCGACCATCGCTCACCTGTGTCTTCTGCTCTTCACGTGCCTCTTGATCTTGAAACTGCAAGGCCGATGGCCTTGGTCCTGGTGGTGAGTGCAGTGCTATTGTGGTTGGTGCAGCGCTCTAGTGGTGTGTGCAGTGTCTCAGGTTTGAATCCTCCCTGTGGTGCTGGCGAGTTCCTGTGCTTACTGCTCTTCACGCGCCTCCTCATCCTGAAACTGCAAGGCCGATGGACGTGGTCCTGGTGGTGAGTGCAGTGGCTTAGGTGTGACTCCTCCCTGTGTTACTTTTTATCACCTGTACCTGCTGCTCCTCACCTGCTTTCCCAAACCCCCTTCCCCCCCCACCCCCCCTTCCCCTTTCTCCTTCTCCCTCTCCCCCTCCGGCAGGTGGATGTTCTGTCCGCTGTGGGTGTTCTGTCCGCTGTGGGTGTTCTGTCCGCTGTGGGTGTTCTGTCCGCTGTGGGTGTTCTGTCCGCTGTGGGTGTTCTGTCCGCTGTGGGTGTTCTGTCCGCTGTGGGTGTTGTGTCCGCTGTGGGTGTTCTGTCCGCTGTGGGTGTTCTGTCCGCTGTGGGTGTTCTGTCCGCTGTGGGTGTTGTGTCCGCTGTGGGTGTTCTGTCCGCTGTGGGTGTTCTGTCCGCTGTGGGTGTTGTGTCCGCTGTGGGTGTTCTGTCCGCTGTGGGTGTTCTGTCCGCTGTGGGTGTTCTGTCCGCTGTGGGTGTTCTGTCCGCTGTGGGTGTTCTGTCCGCTGTGGGTGTTCTGTCCGCTGTGGGTGTTCTGTCCGCTGTGGGTGTTCTGTCCGCTGTGGGTGTTCTGTCCGCTGTGGGTGTTCTGTCCGCTGTGGGTGTTCTGTCCGCTGTGGGTGTTCTGTCCGCTGTGGGTGTTCTGTCCGCTGTGGGTGTTCTGTCCGCTGTGGGTGTTCTGTCCGCTGTGGGTGTTCTGTCCGCTGTGGGTGTTCTGTCCGCTGTGGGTGTTCTGTCCGCTGTGGGTGTTCTGTCCGCTGTGGGTGTTCTGTCCGCTGTGGGTGTTCTGTCCGCTGTGGGTGTTCTGTCCGCTGTGGGTGTTCTGTCCGCTGTGGGTGTTGTGTCCGCTGTGGGTGTTGTGTCCGCTGTGGGTGTTGTGTCCGCTGTGGGTGTTGTGTCCGCTGTGGGTGTTGTGTCCGCTGTGGGTGTTGTGTCCGCTGTGGGTGTTGTGTCCGCTGTGGGTGTTGTGTCCGCTGTGGGTGTTGTGTCCGCTGTGGGTGTTGTGTCCGCTGTGGGTGTTGTGTCCGCTGTGGGTGTTGTGTCCGCTGTGGGTGTTGTGTCCGCTGTGGGTGTTGTGTCCGCTGTGGGTGTTCTGTCCGCTGTGGGTGTTGTGTCCGCTGTGGGTGTTGTGTCCGCTGTGGGTGTTGTGTCCGCTGTGGGTGTTGTGTCCGCTGTGGGTGTTGTGTCCGCTGTGGGTGTTGTGTCCGCTGTGGGTGTTGTGTCCGCTGTGGGTGTTGTGTCCGCTGTGGGTGTTGTGTCCGCTGTGGGTGTTCTGTCCGCTGTGGGTGTTCTGTCCGCTGTGGGTGTTCTGTCCGCTGTGGGTGTTCTGTCCGCTGTGGGTGTTGTGTCCGCTGTGGGTGTTGTGTCCGCTGTGGGTGTTCTGTCCGCTGTGGGTGTTCTGTCCGCTGTGGGTGTTCTGTCCGCTGTGGGTGTTGTGTCCGCTGTGGGTGTTGTGTCCGCTGTGGGTGTTGTGTCCGCTGTGGGTGTTGTGTCCGCTGTGGGTGTTCTGTCCGCTGTGGTTGTTCTGTCCGCTGTGGGTGTTCTGTCCGCTGTGGGTGTTCTGTCCGCTGTGGGTGTTCTGTCCGCTGTGGGTGTTCTGTCCGCTGTGGGTGTTCTGTCCGCTGTGGGTGTTCTGTCCGCTGTGGGTGTTCTGTCCGCTGTGGGTGTTCTGTCCGCTGTGGGTGTTCTGTCCGCTGTGGGTGTTCTGTCCGCTGTGGGTGTTCTGTCCGCTGTGGGTGTTCTGTCCGCTGTGGGTGTTCTGTCCGCTGTGGGTGTTCTGTCCGCTGTGGGTGTTCTGTCCGCTGTGGGTGTTCTGTCCGCTGTGGGTGTTCTGTCCGCTGTGGGTGTTCTGTCCGCTGTGGGTGTTCCACTGCAACTGCTCCATGTCCCCTACGCACACCCCCCACCGCCACCCCTTCCACCCTTTCATGCCCACCCCCTCACTCCCCCTTCCAGGTGGGTGTTCTGTCCATTGTGGGTGTTTCATGGTGCGCTCTCCTGCTGCAACTGCTCCATGCCCGCGCCCAGCTCGCCCCACGACCGCCAACCCAACCCTTTCTTCCACACCCCCCTTTTCCTTTCCGTTTTCTCGCGCCCCACACCTTCCACCCTCCCTTCTGTACCACTCTTGACGCAGGTGGGTGTTCTGTCCGCTGTGGGTGTTCCATGGTGCCCTGTCCCGCTGCAACTGCTCCATGCCCGCGCCCAGCTCGCCCTACGACCGCCACTGGCGCCCCTGCCACTCGCTGCTCACGCTACCGCTGCTCGTTGCCTTTGAGCTGCTGCTCTGCTGCTACCTCGCTGCAAGAGAGAGTGCGTGCTCTCTCCCAGCGTATTGTTATTTCCTCTTTCTCTTGCCACTCGCTGCTCACGCCGCTAAAACATGTCGCCTTTGAGCTGCTGCTTGGCTGACCCCTGCGGCCCTGCACCAATCCACTCCTCCCAGTCACCCCTCCCTCCACTCTTACCCACTGCACTGTGCGTGGCGCGGCCGCCGGTGTACCTGGTCTTTGTGTTCCTGCCTCTCTCTCATTCGCCATCCACCACCCACCCACGCAATTTTTCGCACATTACCCATCACCCATTCGCACGTCTTCCCCTCCCCTGCAGTGTGTGTGGCGCGGCCGCCAGTGGACCTGGCCATTGTGTTCCTGCCTCTCATTCTGCTCGAGGGGCTCGTGCTCGTTGACAACTTCAGGTGAGAATTCAGGTGGATTCAGGTGATTCCCGGCAGTGGGCGTATTAAGGTAAATTACGTAAATTTGGTAGATTCGAGCACTTCAGATGGGTAGTTGTGGCATCAGGTGAATTCAGGTGAGGTCTTAGGTAAGAATACACAAGGTCACAAGGAGGAAGTGCACGCACAAGTTCACCTGTATATTCAGGCGATGTTTTGATTTGACACAAGGCGTTAGTGCACGCACATTGACATCCTCATGTGCTTTCCCTTGCTGCCACTTTTGGAGAAAACGAAAAAAAGGAAACAAGTGTGGCACATCAAAGTGCGTGCATCCGTCTTCTACTCCCCCATTGGCCAATCGATGTGTGCCACGTCAGGATGTGCATGGCGCTGATGCCGGGGGAAGATGACAACATGACAGATGAGGCTCTGTGGGAGACATTGCCGGTATGCATGGGCATGCCAACGCATCATGGCAAGGTGTATGTATGCATGGATGCTGGTGCTGTGTGCAAGACATCAAATCTTGCAATGCATGGTCTTCGGTATGTGCATGGGTTGTGGTATTTGGGTCAAAGATGCCGTTTTTCATGGAAGCAGCTATATAATTGTGGTGATACCTATTTTCTCCCTTTTCCCTCCCTACTTTTCTTTTCCCCCCATCCATCTCTCCCCAACCCGCCACGTCTCTCCCCTCTCAAAGCACTCTGCAGTGGCAGTGTCAATGATATTTTTCATGGCAACAACTATGCGTTCACCTCTCTTACCGCTTTTTCATCCCTGCCTTTGTCTTTCCCGCTTTCCCCCCCACGTTCTCCCCACTCAAAGCACTTTGCAGTGGCGGTGTCAATGATATTCTTCATGGCAGCAACCGTGTTCTCTGTGCTCAAGCTTAATGGTAAGCCGTGGTCGTTTTTTTGTTTTCTTTTTGTTTATTTCAATTCGGCTTTAAGCCACCAAGATTCTGGTGAGCCACCAACTGCCCCACCCCACCTATGCTGCCTCCGCCCCACTCCCCTGTGTGGTGTGCTGATGTGACGGAGGTGATCGGTATCGACTGGTGGACATGTGAGGCGTCTCAGGAGTTTTTTCATCCTTGCCCCACCTGTGCTGTTGCCCACCCATGCTGCGTCTGCCCACCCATGCTGCCCCACTCACCTGTGTTGAGTGCAGATGTGACGGAGGTGATTGGCATCGACTGGTGGACATTGCTGGTGGATCTCTGGTGAGTGTGTGCTGCTGCGTGCTCACTGCTCACTCTGCTAAGTCAACCACGCAGTAAGCACCAGTAAGCACCAGTAAGCACCGGTAAGCACCGGTAAGCACCAGTGGGGATTCTCCTAATTCATTCAAACGCTCCTGGTGGACCTCTCGTGCGTCGAACCGCCCCCTGTTCCCCTCCCTCCTCCCAACGCATATGTGCCCCCTTCTGTCCTCCCCCCCTTCTGTTCTTAACAGCATTGGCGAGTTCTTTGCTTTCCTTCTCTGCATGCAATGGACCAACCCGCACCAACCTCCCCCCCGCCCCTCCCCAGCCCCCTCTCCTCTCCTCCGCCCATCCTACTCCTCCCCTTCCCTCCTCCCCTCCTCCCAACCACCCTCCTCCTCCTCTTCCTCCTCCTCCTCCTCCTCCTCCACTTCCTCGCCCCCTCAAGCCACCGCCATCACCATCACCACTCCCCTTCTCGCATCACAATCCCCACAGAGGGGCGGCAGCAGGGGTGGCAGCAGCAGCAGGGGAGGTGCAGACGGGGGAGAGGCCGAGTCAGAACCTAGATTAGCAGAGGGCGCCGCTGCTGCTGGAATTGCTGCTGCTGCTGCTGCTGCTGCTGGTGTTGCTGCTGCTGGTGTCGCTGCTGCTGGCAGTGGTTCTGGTAGGGTAGTTGATAGGAGGGTGGGTAGTGGAGGGTCGGGTGTAGGAAGGGCAGGGAGAGGGAGCAGAAGGCAGAGAGGAGGAGGAGAGGGGGAGGAGGCGGAGGAGGATGAAGAGGCAGAGATAAGACGAGGAGGGGACGGAGGTGGAGCAGGGGGAGGAAGAGAAGAGAGAGTTTCAGGGGGAGGAGGGGTGGGAGGAGGGGGGGCGGGAGCCGGGGGAGGAGGGGCGAGAGGGAGTGAGGAAGGGGGCGACGAGGACAGCGAGAGTGAGGTAGAGTTTCACTGCGGTGCCCCAGAGGTGGGGGGGCATCTACTGAAAGCCGGGGTGATAGTATTCCAAGTGCTGCTCTGCATGCGTCTCGAAGGCCAGCCCAACTGGGCGGCACACATGTCCTATTGGATGCTCTTTTCGCCACTCCTCGTCGTCCAGCTGGCGGCGCTGATGTCAGCGCTGACCCAGCTCGCGGAGGGCGTGCTGTTGTTGTACGCGCCCGAGACCGGGCGGCGGTTTTCGGCGGTAGTGAAGGAGCATGATCCGTTTATGTTTGTGACGCGGGGGATGCGGCTGGCAGGGTGGTGGTGGCGGGATGATGAAATAAGGGAAGAGCAGAAGAGCCTCACTGCCTCACTGTTTCCCGGGTGAGTGGAAAACATAATCAGGGTCACATCAGGAGCCATGCTTGGGGAATGCGGCTTGCGGGGTGGTGGTGACGGGATGATGAAATAAGGGAGGAGCAGAAGAGCCTCACAGCCTCTCTCTTTCCTGGGTGAGTGGCGAGGAGGGGTATGCAGATGGGATGTGGGTGGTATGCGGTTGACAGGGTGGTGGTGGTGGGACGATGATGGGAGAATCAACTGGAGGCACATCGAGTGAGAGAGGTGAGAATTTTGCCTAGATTGCGGGAGCATGATCCGTTTATGTTTGTGACGCGGGGGATGCGGCTTGCGGGGTGGTGGTGGCGGGACAATGAGGTGCGGGAGGAGCAAAAAGAGTCTCACTGCCTCACTGTTTCCCGGGTGAGTGGAAAACATAATAGGGTCACATCAGGGACCGTGCTTGGGGCATGCGGCTGGCGGGATGATGTGGCGGGATGATGTGGCGGGATGATGTGGCGGGATGATGCGGCGGGATGATGCGGCGGGATGATGTGGCGGGATGATGTGGCGGGATGATGTGGCGGGATGATGTGGCGGGATGATGTGGCGGGATGATGTGGCGGGATGATGTGGCGGGATGATGTGGCGGGATGATGTGGCGGGATGATGTGGCGGGATGATGAAGTGCCTTAGGAGCAGAAGAGTCTCACTGCCTCGCTGTTTCCTGGGTGAGTGGTGCGGCTGCAGGCAGCACTGGCGGAGCAGGTGGAGACGGGCAAGGCGCAGATTGCTCTCCCCTCATCCCCTTCCACTGCTACCTACCCTCCCTCCCCTCCCCTCCCCTCCGCAGCACATATGATACATTTGAGGCCGTCCCTCCGGACCACATAAAGAGAATGCGCCAGGGTCAATTAGCAGAGGAGGCGGTGTGGCTGCAGGCGGCGCTGGCGGAGCAGGTGGAGACGGGCAAGGCACAGCAGCAGGAGCTGGAGCGCACAGTGCTGCAGCACTCACCCACCTTTTGGGGCGCCTTCTGAGTTGACTCAAAAGCAAATCCCCTGTGCTATCAATCCCGCCCCACAACACCAGCACATATGATACATTCGAGGCAGTACCCCCCGATCACATAAAGCGCATGAGGAAAGGTCAATTAGCAGAGGAGGTGGTGCGGCTGCAGGCAGCGCTGGCGGAGCAGGTGGAGACGGGCAAGGCGCAGCGGCAGGAGCTGGAGCGAGTGCAGCAGGAGAAGGTGCTGTGCCGCGTGTGCTTCGAGCGTGAAATCAGCCTCGTGCTGCTGCCCTGCCGCCACCGCGTGCTCTGCCAGTGAGTCAAGTGCCATGGTTGTAAGTCGCCTGTCTTATGCCATTCCCCATGCCTCATGACCCATTCCCCATGCCTCATGACCCATTCCCCATGCCCCATGACCCATTCCCCATGCCCCATGACCCATTCCCCATGCCCCATGACCCATAACCATGCCCCATCCGCTCTTCTCCCTTCTCCTCCCCCCATCACACCACCAGTCCCTGTGCAGACAAGTGTCGGCAGTGCCCCATATGCATGTGCTCATGCTCATCCCTGCCCCGTTTTCTCCATCTCCCCTATCCGCTCTCTCCCTCCCTCCATCACACCACCAGTCCCTGTGCAGACAAGTGTCGGCAGTGTCCCATATGCCGGCGGCATATTGCAGACCGCATGGCCGTGTTTGACGTGTGAGGGGGGGGGAGCGACACACATGTTGGGAGGCGCCTAAGAAAATGGCATGTGAGGGAACCAAGTAGCCATGTCTTGCAGTGCCCCATATGCCGTCGGCATATTGCAGACCGCATGGCCGTGTTTGATGTGTGAGGGGGGGAGAAGGGACTCGCCGGCAGGGAATCTTGTAGTTGGGAGTGATGCAATGCGCGTGTGGTGTGGTGCAGAGGGAGAGGGGAAAGAAAGGGGGGCGGGGGAAGGAAGGGGGGCGGGGGGGGAGGAATGGGTGAGGGCCCAGGTGGATGGGGAGGAGAAGCGCTGCAGGAGACACTGTTGAAGGGCAGAGCAATGACTGCAGTGCTGGGTGTCATGGCAGCTGTGGTTTATTCGTGCAGTCAGGGAAGTGGTGGGTACACTGGTTGGTTGTACAAGGGTTGCACTGTTGGTGCTCCCGAGCTTGTTTGCAGCATATGCTAGTCAAGGCTCAGAAGGTATACCAGCATGTATTGTACACATACAGTGCCGAAGTACAACCCCTAAACGTTTGGAGGTTAGCTAAGGCTGAAAAATCCGAACTAAAAAAACATCTATCTAGCCTATACATTGATTAACTTCTGCCGGACACTTAACATACAACACACTAGACGTGAATGGTCAGCTTGGTACAGTATACTGGGCTATTCTCGAATCTGGTCACATGTAGCTCAGGTCATGGCAAACAAGCAGCAAGTCTACACATACAAGAATCACTGACATTCAGAAATAAAATGAAACTTGAGGTTCAACATGCGTTAGCACGCAACTCGGTTCTCATGCCCTGTTGCGGCGGCAATGCCAATGCAAGGCGGCAGTTCTCGTGGTTCAGAAGGAGCAGGAGGATTCACACAAGCATTCCCAAACTCCTGAAGCCTTGCGATGCAGGCTACGAGTTCAGGAACGCCGCCTGTAGGTCCGGACGGGTTGAGACGGTAGTGCAGCGCGGGCTTTAATCTCTTCTTATTTAGAAGATGATCCACCAGTTTAGAAGAATCCACCCACCTGGCGTTTAACCGAGCCACAACTGAAGCAGGTACTGCTGGGGTGCTGGCACCTGCAGCTTTTTTCTTTACTGTCACAGCACCACCTGCAGTGCTGTTCGTTCCATTCGATTCAATCACGCTGTTGTCTGTCACACTGCTGCCGGCCTGCTTGGGGCTATTTAGGCGGTCCGCGTGGCACAGGAAGAACACGTGCCCGCTGTTCCCGCTGTAGAAGGCCTCTGATTGGTCCGCGAGTGCTGCTGCCACGTCAGCAATGCGTTTCTCCCACGAAGCACCCTTGAGGTTGTAATAGCCGGCCTCATACTCCTCCACGTACTCCCTGCGACGTGGCAGCAGCAGAGAGGCACAAAGAGGCACATGGGGTGTGTGAAATATGAGATTCATTAGGGGTTGATCAAGGATCAATCACCATCCTGTACTCCCTTCACCGCCGCAGCAGCAGCAGCAGCAGCAGCAGCAGCAGCAGCAGCAGCAGCGGCGGCGGCGGCGGCAGCAGCAGCAGCACACTGAAGCACATGACGGTGAGAGTTTCTTAACAAACTCCCTGCAACGCACCTCACAGGGGCACGTGGGGGGTCAGGTTCGGCAAAAGAGACGGGGTGGAGCAGGGCAGGGCAGGGCGGGGTGGGGTGGGGTGGGGAAGCGCGGGTCAGAGAGGGGAGGGCGGGCCGGGTAGGGGGAGGGCGGGGCAGGGAGAGAAGGTCGGGGCAGGACGGGCAGGGAGGGGGAGGCAGCGCGCGCTGCATACCGCGCAGCAGTGCGGCGGGGGAGCGGTTGTCCGCCACGTCCTGCTTCCCCCCGAGGTAGGTAGTGCGGGCGGGGGACGGGAGGGAACCTCAGCGCGCAGGCGAGAGGGATCGGGGAGGGCGGGGGACGGTGGAAGCCTCAGCGCACGGGCAAGAGGCGACCCACGGTGGCGGGGGAGTGGTGAGGGCGGGGGAGCAGGGGAGCGGGGAAGCTGGGGAGCGGGGGAGTGAGGAGCGGCATACCGCGCAGCAGTGCGGATGGGGGAGTTGTTGTCCGCCTCCTCCTCCTTCTTCCCCCCGAAGTCAAGCAGAAACACTCCGCTCTTCTGCATCTTCAGCCTCCGCTTCTGTTTTCATAAATTTCTCAAAAATCAGATTCGACATACCGCGCAGCAGTGCGAGCGGGGGAGTTATTGTCCCCCTCCTCCTTCTTCCCCCCGAAGTCCAGCAAAAACACTCCGTTCTTCTGCATCTTCCGCCTCCGCCTCTCCTGCCGCCGCCGCCCCTTCTCCTGCAGCCGGTTCTCCGCCTTAATCTCTTCCAGCCGCTTCTTCCGACTCCGCGGATCTTCCTGCGCCAACTGCGCCAACTGCATCCGCGCATACTCGAGGAACCTCCTCCGCTTCTCCGCACCGCTCTCCGCTACAGGCTCTTGCGATTGATCCGAGGGACTTTGACTCTCTCGCATTCGCTCCTCCTCACTCTCTTGATCCTGATCCTGCATCTTCCGTTCTTGCTTCTCCTGCCGCTTCCGCGCGCTCTCCCTCTGCCGGTGCTCCGCCTTGAGCGCTTCCAGCCGCTTCTTCCGACTCCGCGGATCTTCCTGCGCCAACTCCATCCGCAACTGGTCGTTCATCCTCTTCCGCTTCTCCGCGCCGCTCTCCGCTGCAGTCTCTTGCGACTGATCCGCGGGGTTTGCACTCGCTTGCTTTTGCTCCTCCCCATTATATCGATCCGGTTCCTGCTTCACTACTATCTCTTGCAACTGATCCGCGGGGTTTGCACTCGCTTGCTTCTGCTCCTCCTCGTTCTCTTGATCCGGTTCCTGCTTCGCTACTATCTCTTGCGGCTGATCCGAAGGATTTGCACTCTCTTGCCTGTACTCCTCTTCATCCTGATTCTGCTTTGATGCGTCGCACGCGGATGCGCTTGCGCGGGGAGCCCCTTGCTTGCGCCCGCTCGCGGATGCTTGATTGCGCGCGGACGCGATAGCGCGAGGGGGGCAATGCCCGCACCCTTCTGTGTGGAGCAGAAAGAACAACCGGCCGGCATCGTCGTAGCAGTACGGAACGATGCCCGCGGCGCAGTAGTCGGCGCTCACCGCCGCGAGCCACGCGTTTGACTCCACCATCGGTATTGTGGGGTGGGGAGGACCAAGAGGGGGGTGTGTGTCGAATGGCTGGGGTTTTGAACTGTCTCGTACGCGATGAAAATCCCGAGACCCTCGAAATGTTCGCATTCAAACACGCAAGTAAAAGGATATGAACACAACAAAAGAAACGATGCAATGCAATACACAAGCTGCAACATATAGGGATGGTTCCTAACGAGATGGCAAAAACAAAACCGGCAAAAGGGATGCTTATGAAGCACACTCCCTCAGGTCCTACCTACTATGAGGTTAGTTACAAGTGAGAATAAATACACTGCACAGCACATACAGGGAATGTCAGTCAGAATTATCGGGAAATTAGCGGCGGCTGTGTGCTGTGATTTCGCAGAACATTTGAGGTCCTGTAGCAAAGCCCCTGTAGCAAAGAAGTTGACGCGGTGAAACGACGCGCGTCGTGTCGTGTGCCGTTGTAATGAGGTGCCGTGTAGCAAAGGTCGCCTCGCCTCAAAGCACTATATCAAAGTTGTTAATGCTGTGACACAATACAGCCCGCAGTCAGGGAAGGTAGGGCAGGCACGGCAGGCAGCGCAGCCGGGGAGGTCTTCAGAGGACACGCAGCCAATGAGAGCCCTCAGGTCAGAGAGCATGCCTAAAAATAATTTACAAGTTGCACCGCAGGAAGCATCGAAGAGCATGCTGAAGGGCAGCTGTAGAAAGTTTAGCTAGCAGAGACCATCAGCCTCCTTAGGAAAATGTGGATCCAAAACAGCTTTCTAGGCGCCTCTGCTGCTTTTGCCTCTGCTGAATTTCAGCCCAGCACAGCAGCCATAGCTGTAGAAAGAGGGTTAGAGCAAAAGGAGAGGGGGGGAAGGGGGGGGGGGGGGGGGGGGGGGGGGGGGTAAGGGCAGGAAATAATTAGACAAGAGACTTAAAATAGGCTGACTGACTGAGACTTGAGCAAGAACAGCCAAAGCACTCTTAGAAGAGTACATACACTCCTCAGGTGCCAGGTGCCCCATAAGAGGCCACTTACAAAAAAAAAAAAAAAAAAAAAACATGATGGAGAGAAGAGAACTCTGCTTCACTGGGAGGCCAGGTGTCAGCACCACACCCCAAGAAAACACACAGCGAAGAGAGTGGCCAATCAGAGCGTACCTCCCAAAGCAACAGAGCGCCACGTGGCAGCAGCTGAGCGGTCGAGAACCTCCATCACCTCCTCCTCGGTCTAAGGCGGTAGGGAGGGAAATGGAGAGAGATTTTGGGTGGGAGGAGCAGAGGTCAGGTAAAGACATCACAGAATTTCACAAGAGTTGTGCATAGTCAACCAGGGTCACATGAGTTGTTAAAGGAGGGCGTGGAGTAAAATGCAGGGTTAACTCACGCCCTCCTTAAAGCAGGGTTACTGCTCACAGTTGACATGGGCCACTCCCCCTGCTGCATTGCCATGCTGCCATACGCTTTCATCCCCCCCTCCCCGCCCCCATCCCATCCAATCTCTCCTCCCACCTCGCACTGCTCCAGCAGCTGCTCTCGTTTGGGCATGGCTCACAGCTGCACCGCCACAGCTGCACTGCCACAGCTGCACCGCCACAGCTGCACCGCCACAGCTGCACCCCCACAGCTGCACCCCACAGCTGCACCCCCACAGCTGCACCGCCATACACCTCTCAGCCTGGCCACCCCCTCAACCCCCCTTTCTCGCTCTCACTTCCTAGGCCCCCCCTTCCTTCCCTGCCTCTCACCTCGCACTGCTGTAGCAGCTGCTCGCGCTTGGGCCTGGCCCACCCCCACACGCCTCTCAACATCACAACCCCCTCAGCCCCTCTTCCGTGTTCTCAACCCCTTCAACCCATTCTCCCCCCTCTCCCCCTTTTCTCTCCCCCCGGTCTCTCACCTCGCACTGCTCCAGCAGCTGCTCGCGCTTGGGCATGGCCCACCCCCACAGCTGCACCGCCACCTGCACGGCGCGGCTCTGCTGATCGCGAGTCATCTCCGCGCCTGGCGAGTTGGGGTGGGGTGGGTGGGGGGAAAACGTGCGAGGAGAAGACGCGAACATGCTTAGTCAGACAACACAGCTGCACCGCCACCTGCACTGCCCGGTTCTGCTGGTTGTGAGCAAGTCATCTCAGCAACTGCAAGAGGGGTCAGGGAGAGGACACGGATAAGTCACAACAGGGGATAGATAAGGGGCAGAGCACACTGGGGCAGGCAGCAAGTCAAGGAGAGTCAAGCTGAGTCAAGACGGGTCAAGCGCATGCAGTCCTCCACCATTGTGAGCAGTTGTGACAACGAAGAGCACGTACCCCCCTTTGACAGGAAAGCGCACAGGTCAACACAGTCATCGTCCTCGGGTCAGGCAAGTCAAGCAGGTCAAGCGGAGTCAAACCGATTCAAAGTGAGTCAAACCGAAATAAACCAAGCTGAGGAGAGTATGGGAGAGGCACTTACAGTCCTCCACAAGGGTGAGTAGTTTAGCAACAAAAAGTGCCGATCCCCCTTTGACGGGCCAGTGCACGCTGGGGCAGGCTGCGATCCTTGCCACCACAGCCAGGGACAGGTCAACCCAGTCATCGTCCTCCGGGTCAAGCAAGTCAAGCAGAGTCTGCGCAGGGGAGCTCTCTGGCAGCACATGTAGCAGCCCGTGCATGCCCCAGTCCAACACCTCCCCTGCTGTGGCGTCCGTGCATGACCCATCCTCCTCTAGTTTCTGGAGTGGGGAGAGGGGGAGAGAAAGAGGGGGGTGGGGGGATTGGGGATGGGGGGAGCCCTCTCGCGTGGCACGTGGCTCATCTCGCTCTCTACCAGCCGCCACTTGCTCTGAGCCACCTTAGCAGAACCTACCAAGTGCAAGGACTAGGACACTCACGTCATAGCTCAGCCAGATGGAGAGCCGTGCATGGCCTCCATGAGCCGGGGCATGTGGCTCATCTCACTCTCCACCCATCCACATTCAATGTTTGGTAGTGCAAGCACATGAGTCACCTTTAAAACCCACCAAGTGCAAGCACTCACATCATAGTTGAGCCATATCGACAATGCGTGCATGGCATGGCCTCCATGAGGCGCGGCATGTGCGTGTCTCTTCTCGCTCTCCACCAGCCGCTTGCTCCTTTCACTCACCTCCAATCAAACCCACCTTACCGAGTGAGAGTGATACTGGGAAGAGAGAAAGAAAGAGGGCGGAAAGCTCACGTCATAGTTGAGCCAGATGGAGAGTGCGTGCATGGCCTCCATGAGACGCGGCATGTGGCTCATCTCGCTCTCCACCACCACCCTTCCGGTCCTTACCCACACATCCCGTCAGCTATCGGCAAGAGACACTCACATCATAGTTGAGCCATATCGACAGGGCGTGCATGACCTCCATGAGACGCGGCATGTGCTTCATCTCGCTCTCCACCAGCCGTCCAATGCGCAGCCACATGGGCCACCCCACCTCCGACCCTGGATTGCCCATCCTCTCCACCCGAGCCATTGCCCGAGCCTCGCGGTCAGCCTCGGAGCCCTCGCCGAGCCACTTGTTGAGCACCACCTGTGGCGAGGGAGGGAGGAAACGATGAGGAGAGGGAGGAAAGCAGGCAGAGAGTGAAACGCATATGTATACACAGACACCATACAGACTCACTCTCCATCTCGCCCGCACACACACCCCCACTCCTTGGACATGGCATACACACACCCAATCAAGACTCACCCGAGCACACAGGTCCAGCTCCCGTTCTTCCATGGGCGCCCCCCGGCTGTTGATACGGAGGAAATCCAGCAGCACCTCATACGCCCACGTGTGCTGCTTCCTCATCCCCGCACACATTCCCATGCACCCAACACTTACAGGAAAAAAAGGAATCACTCACCCGAGCACACAGGTCCAGCTCCCTCTCTTCCATGGCCGCCCCCCGGCTGTTGATGCGGAGGAAGTTCAGCAGCACCTCATACGCCCACGCGTGCTGCTTCCTCATCTCCTCACTCCTCAGCACCGCTGCCACAAACTCGGACACATAAGAGCTCTTCTGCTGCTGCTGCTGGTGCTGCTGCTGCAGCCGATCGCGGGGTGAGAGCGCGTGGCGTGCACCCCCCGTTGCCAGGTGTCAGCGCGCCATTCGTCCCGCCGGCCCAGTTGCTGCCGCCGCCCCAGTTACTGCCGCCCCCCCAGTTGCTCCCATTACCCCACCCGAACCCGTTACCGTTGTTACCGCGGTTACCGCCGCCGCCGCCACCGCTGTAGATGCTGGCAGTGCTGGTGAGGGCTGCAGCAATAGCACTTGCGAAACCACCACCACCACTAGCTGCAGCAGCACCAGCGGCAGAAGCAGAAGCGCTACGGGCACCAACACTGCTGACAGAAATTTCGCTGCCCGGGCCGAGCCCTCCTTCCTGGGACAAAACGTCGTCCTCCACTGCCCCAGCCCCGCCCCTGCTGCCCGTGAAACTGCCCATGAAAAAATCCCACCTCTTACTGTTACTCCCACTCCCCCCGCCTCCACTCCCAATCGCAGCCAGATTCCCACCATCCGCAGCAGCACCTTCGCGGCAGCTTCCTGCAATGCTTCTAGTATCCGACTTACTGTCTGCCCCTGCTTTCTCCCCATCCGCTGCCCCACGGCCCCCTTGCATGGCGGTACCCCAAGCAGACGCGGCAGCAAGAGCGGCAGACGCCCACTTGGGAGTGTTGGAGCTAAGGAGAGAGACAGAGGAGGAGAGAGCAGCTGGGTTTGGACTGTGAGAAGAGGTGGATTTTGGGCTGCTCTGCTGGTGGTGGTGCTGCTGCTGGTGGTGCTGGTGGTGCTGCTGCTGGTGGTTGTGGTTCTGGCTGTAGCGGTGCTGATGCTGGTCGCTGGTGATGCTTCTAGGGCTCGAAACCACACTGGACGGGCCTCTGGGGGTCCTAGGACTGGCCTGAGGCCCGGCGGTGCCGCCGTTGCCGTGGCTGGAGGTTTGGTACACGCCGAGGCTGCCGGCAGCTCCGGCACCGAAGCTAGAAGCTCCTGTGCTGACATAGCTGGTGCTGGGCCGCTGTTTCTGAGATCCGAAGAGAGAGAGGACACCTCCCAACGCCCCCCCACCTCCACTACTAGCCTTGCCACTGGCAGGGCAAGACTCTTTAGCAGAAGCAGAAACCCCCCCGGCTCTCCCCCAGGATGTTGCTGCTCTCTCCGGCGCGCCTACTACAGTCACGCTGCCGGTTGCACTGCCGCCCGCACTGCCACCCACGCTGCCAGCCGCACTGCCGCCCAGTCCGAGCATCCCCGCCCCCGCAGCTCCTCCGGGCGGCGCGCTCGCCGCCCCGCTCCCGCCGCCCAGAAACCGCACCGATTTCACCGCAGCAGTCAGTTTAGCAAACCTCATCGCCACAGACTGCACCCCACGCCCCACAAACACCATCCGCACAACCGCATCAAACCCCTCTGCACCCAGCCTCCCACTCGCCACCGCCCGCAACCCCGCATGAAATGCTGCCTCCTCCACGCCCATACCTTCCACTGCCGAAGCTACAGCCATGGTATCGTCCGGATGCAGGTTCGGCAGGTCCCGCATGGCTGCCGACAGCGTCATAGCAAGCAGGCCCGGGCCGAGGCTGAGATGCAGGTACAGCCGGTCCTGCTCCTCGCACCGCTCCTCCAGGCTCGAGTGCTTGGCCGCGGCTAGGCCTTCAGCCAGAGCGACTTCGGAGAGAGAAGCCAGGGACATGGGTGACCAGGCAGTGCGGAAGGATGGGCCTGGCACGGAGGGGGATGGGGCGGAGAAGCTGGGGAGCCGGCCCCGACGCTTCTTCGGCTGCTTCCGTATGCTGCCTGTGGTGCTGCTGCTGGTGGTGGCAGTACCACCAGCAGCAGCAGCAGCAGCAGCAGCAGCCGCGGCTTCTGTGGCCTCTCCATCATCCCTCTCCTCTATGACTACCTCTAGCACTTCCCCTCCTACACCCTCCCGGCCCCTTCTCCGTCGCACCCACTCGCCTCCTGCCACATCAGCAGCCGCTGCACCGCTGGCGTCGCGGCCGCCATGGCTGCTGCCGCCCGGTCCTCGCAAGAGGACAAAATCGCCAGCAGGCACGACACGACAAACGAGCGGCACGCAGGCAGGTTCGCGCCCGCCCTCTTGCCGCCCAGAAGAACGGACACATTCTGAGGGGAGGTGGAACAGGGGGAGGCTGCACCTGGAGCTATGTGACTCCCAGTGCTGCTGATACTGATGCAAATACTGGTATCAGCAGCAGCGGCGCCAGAAGCATGGATAGGGGTGGTCCAGGGACGCAAGCCATAAGTGGGGGAGGAGGGCGTGCTACTCAAAGGCGTACTGCTGAACGCACCCATACCCCCTCTGGTCGGTGTAGACCCTCTGGTGGGTGTACTCCCACCCCCTCTGGTTGGCGTCGCCACACCGCTCCCTCTCGTCGGAGTCCCCCTACCTCCCCTATGCTGCTGCAGCTCCTGCTGCTCCTGCTGCTGCTCTAAGAGGCGTTCAAAGAAGGCGATGCGGTCGAGCACGCGCAGGAGGATCACAGCAGCAGTGGCGGGGCGCCACGCGCTGATGGCCGCAGCCACGCCCACGAACAGCAGAATGTCGTCGTGCTGGCACCGCGCTGACAGGAACCGGTCGCTCTCCCCTCCTGCCAGCGCATCTTTCACCAGCCGAGACATTATCGATACTGCTGATCCCCCTCCTGCTCCTGCTCCTCCTGCTCCTCCCCCTCCTCCCCCCCTCCTCCTCCTGCTGCTGCTCCTGCTCCTCCTGTTGCCCCTCCTGTTGCTGCTCCTCCTGTGCCTGACCTGCCCCCCTCTGCCCGGCCAGCATCGTCGAACTCAGGAGGGGGGCGCCAGCGCTGCTTGCGGTGTGGAGTGATGGTTAGGGTTGGCGGAGAGGAGAGGTCAGAAGCATGTGACCCTTCTACCCCTCCTGCTGATACTGTTGCCCTTGCTGCTGCTGCCCCTGCACCTGCTGCCCTTGTCCCTGCTGCTACTGCTGCTGCTGCCCCTGCTGCTGCCGCTCCTGCTCCTGCTGATGCTCCTATTGCCCCTGGTGCTGCAGCAGCTGGAGAGCCAATAGACCCGGGTTGACTCGCCCCACGCCCCAGGCCCGAGGGCACATTGGCCGTGTACGGACGGTGCGATCTGAGCGGTTGATGCTGCTGCCTCTCAGCAACCGACGGCCGGGATTGCTCGCTGGTGAACGGCCGCTCTGCTCCCGAACTTGCAAGTGCTCTCTCCTCCCTATGCAGGACTCTTGCATCCCTTGCCCGGTCTTCCCTTACCCTCCTGCTGCTACTACCACCCCTCTCTTCCCTCTCCAGTAGACTGCTAGAAGCCCTCTCCCTCCTCTCAGCTGACCTGTCTCTCTCCCCTCTCTCCCCTCCCTCCTCTTGCACCCCCTCCGCCCGTGATTCACCAGACTCACTGTCCTCTGAGAGAGCAGCAGCAGCAGCAGCAACAGCAGAGGAGGTGATACTATGCCACTGCCCCACTGCCAGTCTAGACCCCTTGTGCTTCCCTGGCGAATCAATCACTTCGCCCTGAGACACCGCTGCTCCCCCTACATACAGCTCCGCGCCCCCTGCTCCTCTCCCGCCTCTCCCCCCTCTTACCCCTCCGCCTGCCCCTCCCCCGCCCCTTTCCCCCGGCCCTCTCCCCCCTCCATCCCCCCGCCTGTCCCATCCCCGTCCTCTTGAACCCCTGCCACAGCAGCAGCAGCAGCAGCAGCAGAGATCTGAATTCCACCCACAGGGGGAGGCAAGAAGGGAGCTGCCACTGCACCTGCTGTTGCCGCTATCACTCCTCTGCCACACATCCGCCTGCCCATACCCCCTCCATGCCACTGCACCCTCTCCTGCTCCCGCACCTCCCGCTCTCCCCTCTCTTCCTGTCGCTACACCCCCACCCACCCCGCCCCCACCTCCCCCCTCCGCTCCTCCTTCCCCTTCAGGCGATGAGTCGTCATTTTCAGCTGCCCAGGACGGCCGGCCGTCACCCCATTGGTCCCAAAACTTGAGCCAGACGGCCAGGGCAGCCGTGAAAACTTCGCCGGTGCAGACCGCAGGCAGGTGGTCCGACGTCTCGGAAGTTGCCTGGAACTTGCGGCAGATCCACTCAAACTCACGATGGGATGCCGAGACAGAAGACCAGGCTCGGCCGAGCCTCCCCGATCGACCCTTCATCCAGGAATGGACTGCTCCCGATGCTGTGCCTGTTGCTCCAGCTGCTCCTGCTCCTGCTGCTGCTCCGCTTGCCCCTCTCCCTCCCGCTGTACCCACTGTTCTGTCCAAGCCCCCTGCCAGAGAGTCACGGTCTACGTCCCAGGGGCCTGCTCCAACAGTAGCAGGGCGAGCTACGGTCAACCCTGCACCAGCCCTCCTCGTTGTTCTACCCACTCTTCCTCCCCAACCTCCTCCTCCCCCTCCCCAACCTTCTCCTCCCCCTCCCCCACCTCCTCCTTCAATAACAACAGACCCTTCACCCGTACCCCACCTTTCCTCCATCTCCTCCTCCTCCTCTCTCCCCCTCCCTTCTCCAACCCGCCTTCCCTGCCCCACCTCCTCCTCTCCCTCTCCCTCCCCCCTTCCCCTGCCAGAGCAGCCATTAGAACATCCATATACTGAGAAAACAGCAGCGACCAGTGCATCCGAGCCTCCTCAGCTCGGCACCGAGCCTGCGCGATAGGCCCGAACTCCCTGTAGGGGCAGGCAGCAATGGGGCCGTCAAGGGTGGAGTGCGGTGCGGAGGGTGGGAAGGGGGACTGGGATTGAGGAGAAGGGGGGTCATTAAGAAGTATGCTGAGATTGAGACTCGGACGAATTGCTGATGCTGATGCGGGTCCTGCTGGGGCTCTTGCTGCTGCAGCTGCTTTTTCTGCACTTCCGTCCACTTGTGATGAACCCGAACCTGCACCTCCCCCTCCTCCAACCACTCTTCTCCCCTCCTCTTCTCCCTCCTCTCTCCCCTCCCCCTCTCCCTCCTCCTCTCTCTCCAAAGCAGCAGAAGCAATGTCTTCATCGATATCGCTCAGATTCAACCGCCCAACGGGAATGCGGGAGAAAGACAGCTCCATCGAGTTGCCTCCACCGCCCAGATCTCTCCCACCCCAAGCAAACTTCTTGCCCGGCATAAGCTTCCGGTCCTCCCTGCCCGAACCTATCTCCCTGACCGAACCTATCTCGCTGCCCGAACCAAGCTCCCTGCTCGAATGCACCTCTCGTCTCAGACTCCGCCCGTCTTTGCTCCCCGCTTTGCTACCTTTCCCTCTCCTCTCGCTCCCTCTCGCTTCCTCCTCCTCTTCCCCCTCCTCTTCCACCTCCTTTTCCCAACTTCCTCCTCCCCCCTACCCTCACCCCTCTCACCCTCGCCCCTCTCACCCTCGCCCCTCTGACCCTCGCTCAGCATGACTTCAAAGCTAAGGTCCGCCTCTGCTGCTCCCTGCCGCACTCTGGAAAGCGCCTGTGGCGGAAGCACCTGCAGGCTGCGCGCAGGCGCACTGCTGGTCCGCGCCACTCCGCCCATCTTGCCCCTCGTGCCACTGGGGGGGAAATGGGGGGCATCCTGCATGTCAACACCCCCTCCCTCTCCGCTCCTCACCTCACCATCATCTCCCTGCCCCCGTGCATCATTCTGTCCTTCTCTCTGCCCCTCTCTCAGTCTCTCTCTCTGCTCGTCTCTCTGCGTCACTTTCCCCCGCCCGTGCTTGCCCCTCCGCATGGGCGACTTGAGTCTCGCGGGCAGCAGCAGCGGAATCACGGGCTGGTGCTCAAACTGCACGCCGCACGAGGGCGACCGCAGCAGGGGCGACTGCAGCGGGGAGGCCGACAGAGATGCACGCGGGAAAGGGATATACAGCCCTGAGGAGGCGTCAAGCGAGGAGGACAGATGCTCCCCCCGCATGGGGGCAGGGGAGCGTGCCCGCTGAATTATCGTCAAATGCCCCCTCTCCTCCGCCTCCTCCTCCTCCTCCCCTTCCCCCTCCCTCCACGTCCCCCCTCCGCTTCTCTCTGCCTCTTCAAGCTCCACCCTGCCCTCCCACTCGCCCATGCTAGCCCAGGGGTCTCCACTCTCCCTAGCCTCTCTAGCCTCTGAATACCCTACACTGGTATCAGCGCCACTGGAGCCATTCTCATCCTCTCCCCCTCCTTGGCCCTGGTCTGGATTGCTACCGAATGACCGCCGCCGCTGCTGTCTCTGCTGCTGCTGGTCCCGCTTCTTCCGCACTAGAGGGCTGTCTAGCCCGGACCTTCCCACTCCCATACCTCCGCCCATGCCCCCGCCCGAACCTACCCCGAGAGCTTCCAAAGCAGCGCGGCTAACAGGAGAGGCAGAGGAGGTCCGGGAGAGGTCTCGAAACAGAGGAGCCTGGGCAGAGGTCGCTCCTCCTAGGGCCCTGCTGCCACCAACCGCCAACGCAGCAGCAGCAGCAGCAGCAGCAGCACCGCCAGCACCTGAGATTGCACCGGCAGAGGCATTGGCACGTGCACCTGCAGCTGCAGTGGCAGGGGTAGGGGCAGAAGAACCCAGAGAGCCCGCGCGCACAGGGCTGCAGTAAGCGTCACTGCCACTGGAATCATCCTCCGCCACAGACGACCCAAACGACCCGAATCTCCGCCTCCTGCGTTCCCCGCCCTCCTCCTGCGCGCGGCTGGGCGGGCGCGGGGGCACCTGGGGGAAGTTCTTGGGGAGGGATGGGCGGAAGGAGGCGGAGGCGGAGGAGGAGGAGGAGGAGGAGGAGAGGTGGGAGAGGGAGTGGGGGTGCTGGGGCGAGAGGGTGGAGGGGAGCTGGTGCAGATGCTGCAGTCGGTGGTGCTGGTGCTGCTGGTAGTGGTGGTGATGCTGATGATGCTGAGGATGGAGTGAGGAGGGGGATAAAACAGTTTCACCAGCAACAGCCGCAGCAGCAGCCACAGCAGCAGCAGCGCCACTAGAACGACCGCCAGTACCAGCAGACGGGCTGCGGGCCCTACCAGCAGCAGAGAAGAGCGCCAGAGAAGCGCTATCAGCCCCGTGACTAGCCGACCGCACGTGACTCCTGGGAGGAATAGGAAAACTCAAACTACCCAGAACACCCGCCACATGGTGTGGCGCTCGAGGGGGGGTCCCACTGCCCTCCACCCGCCCTCCTCCCACTGACCCGCCCCCTCTCTCCCCCCACCCCCCCGCCCTCATCCCTCCTCCGCCCCCCAGAGCAGCGGCTCTTCTTGCAGCAGCAGCGGCCGCGGCTGCCTCTCTGACTCGCATCCACTGGTCCTCGTCCCGGCTGCCCCCTATCCGCCCGTCACACGTGCTCGATCGCTCTATGGGCTCTGGGCTCTCCCATCCCTCCTCATCTTCTTCCTCCTCCTCTTCCCTCTCGTCCTCCTTTTTCTCCTTCTCCTCATCCCCCTTCCCCTGCGCCTTCTTCTCAGTTTCCTGCTCCTTCTCCCTTTCCCTCATGCCCTCTCTAGTAGCACCCATGGGATCAGTAGCAGGTTCGGCATCAGTGCCCATTCGCCCAATCTGAGCTTCCATGGCACCGCCCACGCCACAACTGCTTGCATCATCCTCCTTACTGTCACCCGCACCCCGGACTGCTACAGCCGTCCCCTTACCTGCCGCCCTGGGAACCGAATCCGCTTCTCCCGCCCCGAACCTCTCTTCTTCCCCAACCCCCTCCTCGATAACTCTTCCCCCGAGGTCCCTTCCTTCCGTGGCCCATCCCCTCTAGGTGCTTCCTCCCGCGGCACTTCCCCTTCCGGTACTCCCCCCCGCGGCCCTTCCCTCCGCGGCCCTTCCCCCCGCACCCGTTCCCCCCGTGCAGCCGCCCTCCGCTGCTCCTTGATCTGTCGGCGCTTCTCTAGAATCTCCTGGACGACCGTCCTCGCCTCGCCCGCTCCCTGCCCGCTTCCCTGCGCCTCCTCACTCAACGCTATAGACTCCTCACTTGAGTCGCTCCCCCTCTCCCGCCCCCGCTCCTCCGCCCTCTCCGCCCTCTCCGCTCTCTCCGCTCTGCCCAGCCTACCCTCGCAGCCTATCTCACCTTCCGCTATTCCCCTTTCCGCCTCCCCTTCCGCCTCCATCTCGCCTTTCCGCCCTCCCCCCGCCCCAACGCCCCCGTCCCCGCCACTGCTCCGCAGCGCCTTCCGTTCTTCCCGCCGCAGCTGCAGGCTGTGCAGACGGTTCACGCGCTCGCGAATCTCCTCCCCTTGAATCGCGTCAGCCATTGACGGGGACAGGGGCGGAAACAGACACCCTTTCAAAGACCCTCCCCGGGCCTTAAGCCGCTGAGCCAGCTCCCCTTTCCCGTACCCCCGCGCCAGCGCTTCCCTCTCCCATTCCCCATCTCCCCCCATCGCTCCCCCTTCGCCCCCGCGTTCCCCCTCCCCGCTCGCCCCGTTCCGCCCATGGGGGAGCTTCAGTGACAGCCCGAGCCTGCGGCTGAGCGCCCGCTTCGGTGAGGCGGCGTTGGTTCGGATCCGAGGCAGGGCAGGCACGGGGAGAACCTCATGCCGATCGTCTCCGTCTGTCACCTGTAACGAATCAGACGAGCTATCCTCGTTAAAGAAATCCGGCAGCTTGTTGCTGCTGCTGGTGGTGTTAGCGTAGCTATTGCTGTTGCTGTTGCTGCTGCTGCTGCTGCCATGGCCGCTGCTCCTGTTCCGCGTGGTGAGGCTGCTACTAGAGCGTCTCATCATGCCCCCTCCGCTCTGACCCAACCCGCCCCCGCCGTTTCTGCTACTCTCGCCGCTGCTCTCCTTGTTGCAGCTACCCACCTTGCCGCCGCCGCCGCCGCCGCCACTGCTGCTGCGCGAAGCGGTGCTGCTGCTGCGGGAGAACACGCCCCTGATCCCCCCAGGCCCCCTTCTCCGCGCGCCTTCGCCTGCCGTTTCTTCTCCGCCGCGATGGCGGCCGCGCGCGACGGCGGGGGAAAGAAGTCCGCCTGGCGGCTGGAGCCGGCGGAAGAGAACGACTCAGACATGGCCTTTCTCTCCGGGAATTGCGGCCTCTCGGGAGTTTTCGGGCGCGCGTGGCGGAACATGCTGGGTCTGCGCGCGGGCTCCGGGTCCGTGCTTCCGCGATGATCATTATCCGGAGACGCGGGATGCGGGAGGTTCTTCTTGCTTCCGCTTCCGCCGCTGTTGCTTCCGCCGCTGCTGGGACGTTGAGCGCTGCTGCTGCTGCGGTGGGCATTCCTGTCCGAGTCATTACTCTCCTCCTCTTCAAAGCTCCTCCTCCTTTCGCTCACATGCCCGAACGACGCGGAATAAAACGGTCGCCGATGCGGAACCTCAGGCCCGGCATCCAAGCCTGCCGAAACTTGGCCCTTCCGAGGCTCTGGAACGGGCTCGACCGGGCCTCCGTCGTCCCTCCCATTGGTGCTGTGCCGCCTCCGGAGGCTCGGCATGCGCCACGTCCGGCCTTTCTTATCCTCCTTAAAAGACCCTCCGTTAGAGTCTTCGCCTTGCTTCACCAGCGCTCTCCGTCTCCTTCCACCGGGACTCTTAGCCGCATTCGAGCTCGCGCTTTCGCTCTCCTCCACACCTCGTAAATGCCGGTTTTCTGCCTCTAAATCTGCCGGATAAGGACCGCCGGACCCACCGTGAGAGTCGGTGGTAGATAGACTACTTTCGGAAGGAAGGAAACTATGGCTGATGACGTCATTAGGCGAATTAGTCCCTTTCGACCCACCATACGAAGGCTCCTCTTCATAGGTCGTAGTCGCTGTCCTGCCGTAACTCGTGGTAGCCTTTACACCCAACGCGCGACTCCTGGCTTCTACCCGTGCCGCTGCAATCCGCGCTTCGAATTTAATCTCCTCGCACGGGTCGGTTCTAGACTGCGGAATGTGCTTCGGATGCGCTGCGGGTCCTACAGTCGAGTTAGGGTTCGCTGAGCGAGGCCTGCTGACGTCACCCTGCTGATTCTGCTGCGTGTTCCACGTCACGGACCTTGGGACTGCCGAGCGGGGGACTAAAACTGTCTCACGGTAGGTATTTGACGAAGCCACGTGGCCGGTTTTGACAGGCCCGCCGGAGTTTGCTCTGTCAAGCTCAGTATTGGATGGCATTGTCGTTTTTCTTCTGGGTGCATCGCGACGCGACTCCTCGTGCTGCGATGCTAGCTGCTGTCGGGAAGTCTGGTGTGGCAACGGCGACCCTAGGTGCTGTGCGTGGAGGAACGACGGCGATGGCAGGTCAAACGGTAACACCGACGTCCCGCTGTTCTTCGCCATCGCATGTGCTTGCGACTACAAAACTCATGGGAAGAACTACGATTTAAAACCTAATCTAGTCATTTTTTAACTGCATTAGGAACCTATTCCAGTTTGGAGCCGACAGACCGACCGTGTAATCTCCATCCTCCTGATACCCCACCCACAAGAACTATCCGTTCCCAAGGTCCAGCAAAACATCAGCACGAAACAATTTCCTGGTTTGGTCGGTTTGGATACATGTATTCGCTATGCTCTCTGTCTGTCTTGCAAAGGCACTGTTCCGTGCCGTACGTACACACACCCCTTTTGCTGGTTGGTTCGGTTCGCTGTCTGTCCTGCTGTACGCACACACACAACAGTTCTGGCTTTTAGGGGGGACGCTCCGCGGAAACGCGCAAGACTGCTCTGCTGGTGCCCGAGCGCATGGCGCGGGAGGCCAGTCGCGGTAGTACCACACCTCGACTCTCGATGGGGGAGGAGATGGGGGAGGAGATGGGGGAGAATTGTGCGCGGGAGGGGACAAAAGACATCGATATTTGCTGCGTTGGCGGGACGGTTGGGGGGGAATCGAAAGGGCAAGGAGGAATAATCGGCGGAGCGAGGTTCGATCGGGTGTCGCGGAAGAACCCAGTTGCGCAATTCGTTGTGTTGCGCGGGAAAGCACCACAAGTCAAACAAGACCAGCCGGGGAAGGAAACTCTCCGCGACTAGAAGCGCAAGCGCATGCTTGCGCCAGCGAGATTCGGTGACGGGGGTGTACTTTCGCAAAAAACATGTCTGCCACCGTGCCAGCTCATGGGAATGCAGTTACACGAGCAGGACAAACTGACAGTACCGAGAGGCAAGGTTCGGGTGTGGTGTGGGAAACGGTTGGGGGTGCATCTCCATCTTTATGGGCATTCTTCATGTATCGACGGCCAAGAGAGAAGTCGGTTTTGTCGAGCCAACCTCCTTGTATGGAGGGAATCGCCTTCGGGGGCTTGGGGTGGGGAGTGCCCGTCTTTTCAACAGCTCATACAGAATCCTCAAGTGCCTGTTTCGAGTTGGATTGGGGGACTGTAGTTCATGACAGCATGGTATATGTCAGTTAAAAAACATATCATAACACTGTAATACTAGTAGTCAATGTCTGGGATGCTGGAGAAAACAGCAAGGTTTTAGAATATTATGGCTACATTAGTTCAAACCAAATGGAAACAGAGGGGGTAGGTGGAAAGGAATCACACCATTAACAGGTCAAAAGTCCCCGCAACTCTTCCAGCCAACACACATGTTACAGAGCAGCATAAGTCATCCCAACAAAGGCATCTGAAGGGATGCACTAAGCAAACAAGCTCCAACCCCCATTGGAGTGATAATGGTAGGCACAGGAAAGGAATGAACAACACAAGTTTGCCAGTCTGCACAGCACTGATAAATAATAAAGAAATCCGATGCGCATGGACCAATGGGGCAAACTTAAAACGAAAGGAACTTCAGTAAGAGGAGCAGTTGCAGACACTGCAGCTGTAGGCGATTCAACTCGAAAGGACCCTCCTCTCAGGTGGCTATCGCAAGGGGCAATATGGTATACCATAGCTGCATGAGGAGACGCCTCAGGGCAATCTCAGAGCAGCACTAAGAGGAGAAGTTACAGACGTTGCAGTTGATGGTGTCGTTTGCTGGCTCCCCGCAGGTGCCGGAGAGCGGTGCAATGCGGTAGTTGCACTTCTCGCTCAGCCTGCCGAAGCACGTGACCTGCTTCCATATGGCAGGGCGCGGGTTCAGATAGCAGCAGCCGTCGCACTCCAAATCTGCACGCATCAACATTTGAGTGCGAAAATGGGGAGGGGGAAGTGGGGGTTGGGGGGGAAGGAAAGGGACAAGAGGATTGGAAGATGACAAGCACAAGAGCAGGTGGGGATGGGGGGAGAGATGTGAGGTGGAGAGGGACGGGAAAGTTGACGAAGGGACACAAGAGGTAACAAGAGAACAGTTGAGAGGTTGGGAAGGTCGCCAAGGATAAATGAAGCGAGAAAGATGCGTTCAAGGAAGGACAGAGGGGTTGATGCGAACGGAACACGGAGACAATTATCAGCCCAGGCCATGAGAGAGAGAGAGAGAGAGAGAGAGAGAGAGAGAGAGAGAGAGAGAGAGAGAGAGAGAGAGAGAGAGAGAGAGAGAGAGAGAGAGAGAGAGAGAAAGGGGGTGGGGGTGGGGGGAAGGGGAGGGGAATGGGAGGGGAGGGGAGCGGCGAAGGAAATATACGAAGAAAGTCGGATTGTGTAAAACTTGAATCAAAGGTCGCTCAAGAATAGAGACAGAGGTGACATGAGAAACGTGTAATGGTGACAACATCGCCACGGGTTACGTGTGGGGAAGCGAGGGAAAGGAATGGACGTGACAAACTTTGATTTACACGAAGAAACGGTCGAGGAATCTGAGAAACGGTGTGTAACACACCCACAAGACGTGCGATTAACTAGCAGAGCAACTTACATCAGGCACGCAACGGACATGCGAGTAACGAGCAACGTAGAAGACATACCTCACGCATCAGGCATGCGGTAGGAAAGCAAGGTAAACCTATCTCATTCGACACTGCTACAGGAGGAAGTCGACTATGCCTCGCAGGTCCAGTTTCCGTTCACGGCGTGGACATTCAGTGGCTGCAACGGGCATCCACACGACTCACCACGAAACAGAAATAGGGTAACATAAGTAACGTAACGAAAATTCTAACCTCTTTGCACGATGTTGCACGAGGAGTCAACCATGTACTCGCAGTTTCCGTTCACGGCGTAGAATCCCAGCGGCGGCAGCGCAGCATCCATGGGACTCGGAAAGTTCTCCTGGAATCCGTTGAACCAGAACGGGGTGAAAGACACTTCGCCCGTGTCCGGGTCCTCGTTATAAGTGCACAGCCAGAAGACGAACCAGCCGTTGTGAAGCGAGTACGGGGACGCGAGCGTATTTGCAGCAGGCAGAACGCCGCCGTAAGAGGTAGCGGCGGAGATGAGCGGGGAGTGGTGGAAGAGGAGCAGGAGCGAGAGGACGAGAGGAGCCGCGAGCTTACTCAACCGAGGCGAAGACGGGGGACTGGACAGCGCTAGACGCTGTTGTGAGAAAGCCATTATGCTGATGACAGATTGGCGGATAAGATTCCAGAGAATGATGACTGAGTTTCTAAGAATGAATTTGATACGTTAGGAACGAGGAAGCGAGAGCAAGAGATGACGGGAGTATTAAACGAACACGTAAACTAAGTACCAAGTACCTGAGGATATTTCGCAATTTGGCGGAAACGTCTACGGCTGCACTACGCAAGATTAGCGCGGCTCGAACGACTACCTGGCCTTACGACATAAATATTACCGACCAATAGTAGCTTGTCAAAAGTATAATTTCTAGGGTTCGTTGGTTGCAAGTTCCAACCAAGCTTGTCTGCTGCAAGTGCGCGGGACCATGTTCTCCGGCCCTCCCCATCTCCTACAGTACACAGTACTCTCTGCGCCAGGCGCACCCAGCCCTCTCTGTTGTGTTCCGCCTGAGTGCGCGCACATCTCGGGGAACTTCTGACTGGCTCCTTCCGTCGGGGGGAGTGGTCACCACACATTCACCACCACCTCTGCACATCAGCTGGGCTGGTCGGGAGAGTCTTGTGGCAGGGAGTGCGCAGCGCAGGTGGTGGCAGATTAGGGGGAGGTGACCCCTACCACCACGTCGTTTAGCGCTGGATGGTCTCGAGAGTAGATGTTAGGAAATAATATCATACCGCATCCAAACTCCCTGCACCGCACAAGTCATTACTCCTTCACACTAACGTACACTCCCGTTGTGCAGTTATCACCCTTGACGTCAAGTGAATCTTGCTGGTCCCTCTGCTGCACTAAGTGGGTACTCAGCGTTTCTGATTTGAGGTGAAAGCATTTGAATTTCAACATCCATCACCTACACAAAGCTATATCATACCACATTGCCCACTACACACACTCATAAGGCTTCAACGATTTTGGCTTTATGCAAGAGCTGGAACAACCAGGGCTTCAGCCTCCTTGCCAATAACGGGCTTGAAGAGAGCATCGTCCTCGTCCTTGGGCGTGTGGATGGTAACCTGCATGAAGGCAAATAGTAAACAATAAAATAAATAGCATCTTTAGGATGCTCCATATTGTATGCACGAGACAAAAGGAATCTGAACAAGGTCAACTGGACATGCGCGTACAAAAAGTGGGTCATAATGGCGAGTACAAGGGAGACAGGAGCGGACACGCCATGGCACCCACCTGATCGGGCAGAGGGCGGACAACACCGGCCTTGCCAGTGGCGTCGTGCGGCAGCATGATCTTCACCTTGATGCCCAGCACTCCCTGATGAATACAGTCCAAGGGGGGAAAGGGAGAGATGGGGGTGGGAGAGAGGGGTGGGGAGGGGAGCTCTGCACAATTAGCGTCATGAGGCAGCATGATCTTCACCTTGATGCCCAGCACTCCCTGAGGGAGGGAGGTAGGGAAGAGGGAGTAGAAAGAGGGGGGATGTGGGAAGACTGGGGGAAGGAGGAAGTGATTGTGGAAGGGAGGGGGAAGACAAGGGGAGCCCTGAGCTACCATGGACATTAATGGCCAGCACTCCCTCGGCGAGAGGGGCCCTTCATGATCCCCTCCCTGAGTGGGCGCAGCACCTGGGCGGGCTTAACTGGCGCAGCACCTGGGCGGGTTCACCTGGCGCAGCACCTGGGCGGGCACACCTGGCTCAGCACCTGGGCGGGCTCACCTGGCGCAGCACCTGAGCGGGCTCACCTGGCGCAGCACCTGCGCGCGCGGGCTCACCTGGCGCAGCATGACGTGGCGCACGGCGGAGTCGATGTAGTCGCGCACGGGCCCACCGGACGAGATCATGTATCCGTCCTTGAACTTCATCGCCTTGGCCCTCTGCGCGCGCAGCTTCCCGCTCACAATCACCTGCGCCGCAGGCGGGAAGTGGGAGGGATGGAGTGAGAGTGGGGAGCAGGCGGGAGAGGTGTGGAGGGGAGGGCCGAGGAAGAGGGGGAATACGGGGGGAACACGTCAGCGTTCTGCCTTGCAAGTAACGGGAAGAAACATGTTCGTTTATTCCCGTCGCCACTTGCCACTCCCGCCACCATTGACATTGATCGAATTTCTTCCCACACGCCCCTCGCTACCCTCTAGCAGCCCTCAACGCCCTTCGTCGACACTCGCAGCCCCCACCATGTCGCACCCCTCCCGACTGGAGATAACCCCGTCAACCCCTCAAAAACCGCTCAACTGCTACCAAACGCTACCAATCCCTCCAGCACCTCTCAGCACCGCTTCCCACCTCGCAGCCCTTGGCGTTGCTCTCCATGATGAAGCGCAGCACGCCGTAGCACGCGCGGCGCACGGCGAGCCCGCCGAGCAGCTTGTAGCGCAGCGACTCCGCCTGCGCGACGGCGCAGAGGCCCTTGTTGGCGACCTTCTCGGCGTAGAGCTCCACCGTGCCCTCCTTGAACTTGAACCGCTTCTGCACCACCGACGTCAACTCGCGAATGCGCCGCCCCTTCTCGCCTGCCAGGGGGAGGGGGAAGGGGGTGGTGGCCGGGGGCGAAGTGGGGGGAGGTGGGGAGGGAAAAGGCGGGGAAAGGCGGGGGAAACGGGGAGGAAATTAGCGCAGGAATGGCGGTGTGCGGCGGGGAGCGCAGAGGCCCTTGTTGGCGACCTTCTCGGCGTAGAGCTCCACCGTGCCCTCCTTGAACTTGAACCGCTTCTGCACCACCGACGTCAACTCGCGAATGCGCCTCCCCTTCTCGCCTGCCACGGAACGCGGAGGGGTATGGGCAACGTGCGATTTTGAGCGCGAGAAATTTCAGGCGCCAAAGGCGATCGTCTCATCCCACGAGACAGGAGCGGGGTCAAAGGTCAGCTCGCGACGACAGAATGCGAGAACCTTATGGTGCTACAGATTTTGCGTGCGCGCGGCTTACCGAGGACGTTCTGAGTGCGCGTGGCGCGGATGATGATCTCGACGCGCATGGGCGTGTTGCGCACCTCCACGCCCGAGTACCCCTCCTCCGCCAGCTCGCGCGTGAGCAGCTCGTTCAGCTCCGCGTAGAACACGCCGTCCGCCACAAACTGTTTTGAGGTTATAACGGGACAAGCAGTAGCGAGTAAAGTTGGGCCAAGAGGAGGAGAACGGATAGAAAAAATGAGCGCTCGCGCTTGAGGAGCTCGTTCAGCTCAACGTTAAACACGCCGTCAGCGACAAACTGTTGATAGGGCATAACGGGACATGCAATAGCGAGTACAGATGGAGTAGGACTCGCAAGAGAGCAGGTACTACAGCCGGGCGTCGAGCCCGCCGTCCTTTGGAATATGTCGGCGGAAACAGTGCAATGATGTTATACGATACGAGACGAGCAAGGAACATAGGGTTGCATGAATTGCAGGAAAAGCGGGGAGAAGGGGTTCGTGAATTTGCTAAGCACGAGATCCGCGGCGTCTCAAGGGAAGCAGGAGGAGGGCTGCGACGGCTGGGATCGATCGTGTGACGATGACAAAATGGTGACCTAACGGGAAAACTCGAAGCGCCACTAACGTGCCGAGAGAATGCTAAAGGCGGAGAGCCGACGCTTAGCGGGTAAGAGGTCGAAATAGCAAATCAAATGCACTCCCGTATTGCGCTAGTTTTCAAACCTAAAGAGTCAAAGAGAAGCAAAAACTCGTCCAGTGTTAATTTCAAATCTTGCGCTTTGACTAACGCAAAAAGTTCGCCGAATTCGGGACACTACAAGCGCTGAACGAAGACTGGCGAATAACGAACCTTCTTCTTCTTGTTCATGGTGGTAGCCATGATGCCTGGAGTGCGACTAGACAAGAGGAACAGCGACCAGAGGGAAGAGGAAAAGATCCTAGGCAAGAAGGCGTAGGGTTTATAACGCTGGAGGCCGTAGGACGAGAGAAAGGGGAAGCGAGAGAAAGGGAGAGAGGACGAGGTTGGGAGGTGCGATAAACGAGACGAGCGGTCGGGAGAGGGAGGGAGGAAGAGGATGACCACAGCAGCACGCAACGAAAGCCGACGAAGGCGTAAACCCCCTCGCAGAAACCAGGTTAAATGTTTAGAATTTCAACGTTTTTTTTTTTCACGACAACATCACCACGTCAGTAGTCCAATGGTTAGGATATTTGCCTTCCAAGCAAAAGATCCGGGTTCGATTCCCGGCTGACGTATTGACAGCTACTTCTAAGTTTTTGAGTCCTTGAGTACATTGTCATCGCGCATCTCGGACATCAAGTCATCAGCCCTTCGTCCCCCATTTGTCTCTTCCTAGCTTTGAAATTGCCCCACGAACAAGCCACTTCGTGTCTCACCTGATGCCTTACGCGAGCTACAAATGTACCCTTTTGTCACCGTCCCCATTAGCTCTCAGAGTGATGGCTCTATTTGACATGCAGACAGACCCTTCCTCTGAATCGTCAAAGCGGTTTCGAAATTGGCGATTTTTTTTTCCCGCTGATCCGCCCAGAAATTGGTGCTAAACCTGGTGAGGCCTCCAAAACCAGACGAACTCATCATGCATGTTGAGCGCACCTTTTACATGACGAATTGTCCGGTCGGAAACGTCCCAAGCCCTGTACAGAGGCAAATGTAAAGGTAAAGGTAAAGGTTTTAGGGGAAACCCCCTTTGGTATTACCCCGGCGGGCAGTCGTAACCCGCCTACCCATTTCTTTACATGCCTCGCTGGGTATCGAGGTTGTTGTATCCACTCCCAGATGAGCATCTGTGTAGCCCCTTTAAGTGGGAGCTGGCTATATACGCCGCAGGGGTGATTTGATCTGGGGACCTCATCTTTCGGAAGTGAACCAGCTAACTAGCTGGGCCACTTCAGGATAGGCTACTCAGCGCCATAGGATAGGCCACTTCAGGATAGGCTAACCCTAGCCACAGGCTAACCCTCGCCTTAGAAATCGAGTGCTTGTTGAGCAGGGCCGGTGTTATAGCGTCATGGACCAATCAAAACTCTCCGTGTAATTTCATTCATGCAAATGTGCTATACATATAAATGTAAGGGAACCAGTTAGCCTTCGATATTTGTCGAAGATAGCGTTACATTTTCATATCAATGCTTGCATCCGTCTTGCTCTGGTTTGTCTCCTCTGGAATCTCACTAGCATTACGAAAGGGTGTAGAAATAAACTGCAACTGAGGAGATGCTGTAAGCAAACAAACTTGGATTAGGAGGTGCTACGATCAGAGAATGATCGCTTTGCCGGGATCTACTCGGGAAGGTTCGCACACAGGGAAATGTAGTTGGTGGGCCCGTGACCTCAATAGCAGAGTGAATGTAAAATGCTTGAGATGATTAAAACATGCAAATACAGCAAGTATAAATATGAGTACAGGGAAGACGAAACGACCTAGCTAGCCATGTACTCTAAGGGGTACATTCCCTTATTCAAACGCATTCTCAACCGTGCGGCGCGTACAGTTTCGTAACTGTTCCCGCCAAAAACATCCTGCCTGCAGCTGTTCGATGCCATCTGCTTCCGACGGTCCAGATGCGCCCCAACTGTCTGACACTTGAGTCAAACTCCAACCGTTTGGCGGTTCGCTTTCTTGCTTCGATACTGCGTGCTTCTCTTTGCTGCGGTGAGGAGTGCTCAGTAACAATTAAATGTTACTATTCGTAACACCCCCCTTCACTCCTGGCCGTAGCTCGATTTGACCTGCTTGACCACGCCGCTGAGTTCGGAGCAGTGCTGATACTGCTGACGTGGCAGTCGCTTCGTGAGGAAGTCCGCTGCCATGTCACCGGTCGGGCAATAGGTCAAGTTGACCTTGCCCTTGTCCACTTCGTCCTTCACGAAGAAATATCGCAGCGCAATGTGCTTGGTGCGATTGACGAAACCAGGTTTGTTCGCGATGCGAATCGCGCTCTGGTTGTCGCAGTGAAGTCGAAAGGTTGGCGAAGCTGGAATTTTCGCCTCCTGTAAGAGTTCCTGTAGGTAGAGGCCTTCGCGAACTGCTGCGGTTGCTGCGATGAATTCTGCTTCGGCTGACGACAGGGCAACCAGCTCCTGCTTCTGTGAGTTCCAGGAGATTGGCCCCGTTGGTTCGAGTCGGAACAGGAAGCCGGTCCTGGACCGTCGATTGTCGGGATCTGCTGCATGATCGGCATCCACATAGCCGACGAGATTGAAGGATGGGGTTGGTGCAGTTGAGTAGCACAGCCCGATCTTGGGCGTTGAGACGAAAAATTGCAAAGCGCGCTGCAGGTCCAGGTGATTTTCAGCCGTTGGTTTCCGTGAGTGCTGGGCAAGCTGACTTGCGATGTAGGAGAGGTCTGGCCTGCAGGTGACAGAGGCGAAGAGGAGGCATCCCAGCTGCTGCTGGTAAGTCTGAATTCCAGCAGGGGATAGGGCTTTGTTGTCAGGTTTGTGGTTCGGTCCGGGGGTTCGGTAGGGAGTCGAGAGAGGTGCGGGTGAAATCTTGAACCGCTTCCCTAACTCCTCTGCGTACTTGGCTGCTGACAGATGAATGGCTTCAGGCGCGTAGGAGATGTTGAGGCCTAGGAACTGCTTCACCTCGTAGTTGCACGTGATGTCGACGCGCCCCGCCAAAGCCTTCTCGAACTGCTCGAGCAGCTCGTTGTTTGAGCCCGTGTAGAGCAAGTCGTCGACGTAGACCGTGAGGAGGATGTATTCCCCGCGGAAATCGCGGCGGTACATCCCTAGGTCGTGGGGCATCTGCTTGAACCCGATTTCAAGCAGGATGTTGTGCAAGTACTGCTGCCACAGCCTCGGGGCCTGTTTGATGCCGTACAGTGACTTGCACAGCTGACATACGCGTGAGTCACCTTCGCCATAGGTGTGTGGCTGCTCCACGTAAATCACAGCGTCCACTAACGCGTATAGGAACGCGTTTTTAACATCGATCTGGCGGAGTGGCAGGTGCCTTGCAGCTGCGATAGCGAGCAAGATGCGGACGGAGGTGTGGCGACTGACGGGGGCGAATGTCTGGTCGAAATCGATCCCATGCCTCTGGTCATAGCCGCGAACCACCCAGCGCGCTTTAAAGCGCTCAATCGTTCCGTCAGCTGCGGTCTTCACGCGGAAGACCCACTTCCCCGAAAGGATTCTTGCACCTTTGATTGCTGCGCGGTCAACGAGCACCCAGGTGTCGCGTGACTCCAGTGCCTTGATTTCCGCGTCCATTGCCTCACGCCATTCCTTGCTGTGTGGTCCAGAGAGGGCTTCGCGCGGGTTTCGGGGCTCGATGACGCGCGGCGCTTTCGAGGTTGCGGTGTGAAGTCCGAGCAGTTGTAGTCCTGAGACGGTACTGTCGTGGTGACGCTGCGGGACGACTTCCTGCACGTCATCATCGTCGCTCTCAGGTTCAGGTGGTGCTGATGGTGTTGCGCCTCCGCCGCTTCCGCCCGTTCCGCCTATTCCTCCTCCCGAGGAATCATCGTCGTTGTCGCTGCTGCGCCGATCTTCCCAAGTGAATTCGGCCCTGGTGTCCTGCTCTAGAAGTGCTGCAGCGGCTTCGTCTTCGGGCGTTGCGTAGCTGTGGCCGTTGTTCGCGTAAACGCGATCTGCATTCCTCTGCTCGTCGTCGCGGAACTGGTCGAGGAAGAGACGCTCGTAGAAAATTACGTCGCGAGCGTGAGTGGTTTTTTGACTGAGGAGGTCCAGCACGATCCATGCCTTGTACTCGTGACTGATGCCGAGGTGGATCCCCCAACGCGCGCGGCTGGCGAACTTGCCGATGGTTGAGGTCGGTGGGCGGTATTGGACCATACACCCCCACACGCGGAGCATGGAGGTATCCCCCTTGGTCCCGGTCCATTTGACGTGCGGGGAGAGATTCCCGGTGATCGCGGTGGTTGAAAGCAGGTTGTGCACCCGCACGGCGTGGTGCATCGCGTAAGTCCAGTAGATCGGCGGCAGCTTCGACTGCTTCATCAGCGCCCGCACCTTCGTCATCAGTGTGCGATTCGTTCGCTCCGCTACGCCTTGCTGCTGATGTGCGTAGGGGAGAGAGATGTGATGCTCGATCCCCTTTTGCGTCAGGTAAGTTTGCATCTGGTTGCTCCTGAACTCTGCTGCGCCGTCAGATTGCCAGATCTTTAGCTTCTTTCCAGATTGCCGCTCCGCATGCGCTAGCCAGAGCCGAAACACCTCGTAGGCTCTGTCGCGCGTCTCCACGTTCACGACCCACACGTAGCGTGTTCCAGCGTCAATGAAGGTAAGAGTGTATAGCTCGTCCTCGACTCCGCAATGCCCTACGTTCAGGAAATCGCTGTACACCTTGTGCAGTTTGGGGTAGCGGTTCGTCCCAGGTTCGAGCAGCGGGAACGGTTGGTGGCTCAGCGCAGCTTCGGGGCAGACTGTGCAATTGCGCGGATGCGTTGCGCCTCTCACTTCGGAGCCATCAGGGCGCAGGAGTGTGTCAGAAATAACGGACTGGAATGATGGACTAGCAAGGATTGTGAGTACAAATATGAAACCCTAATGTTGTGACCCCCCTATAGGCTAACCCACTACAGCCTACACAAATACAACATGTATAATGTTTGACACACCCCCATAGGCAAAGTGGGGGAGTCCTAGGGGTCACAAGACCAGTCAAGGCAAAACAAGGCAACAACAAGCTCAGGGTGGACCTCAAGGATTCCACACAAATTCCGAGCACAAGCTAGTGGTCACAAGACCAGTTCACATGCAAGTTTATAACAGAGCAAGAGATACAGTGATCACAACCTAGCAAGAGTAAACATGCAGGTATAGATATATATAGTGATCACAGTACAAGCAAAGTCACGAGGTAAGCAAGTGAGGTCCAGTAGGCA